ACCACGCACTACTCCTCACCGACATGTAGTACCAACCTTATATTCGTTCTTCTCAGACTCCGATACATGAGGCACTGCAGGCAGTGCGAAAGGATCTCGGCTGGCCGAAGCAGGCTTAGACGGCTTCAGCACGGCCGTGTTCCGTACAAGGTGGATGTTCACCCACTTCCCTTGCTGGTCCATCAGGCGCTGGCAGACTCCCATTAGTTCATCCAAGCTGATCTCACGCTCTGCAGCAGGGAGAACGAGTCAACCTTCCTCACGAAGTCACGTCATACCTTTCAGGACACGAACGAGATCCCGATTTTGCATCTCTAGAATCTGCATGCGATCCCTGAGATCGATGGAGTACAAAATAATGGTCACGATCCACCTCACCTGTCACGCCGAAGAGCATCGATTAGCCTTCCTTGGCTAGAGATGATCTGCTTCAGAGCATTAACCTTAAGACATTAGGATGCCTGATGGAAGATACCGAAGATAACGATGGTTACCTGCGCAACCTGGTGTTCTTCCGAGCCACGAGAAGGCGAGTCCTCAGACGCGGGGCTGACCGACTAAATAAACGAGTTTCTACATAGTGCAGTACCATACCAGGAGAACCTCCATCATAGCTCTGCGTGCTTTGGCTGACAGCTCAGGAGAGGAGGCGTCATAATTGTCAGATGAAGCATCTTGACTATCATCTGTGATGGACGAGTCATCTTCAGTCTCTCCTGGACAGAGCATATGCAGAGTTGCATACCTGAAAGCAGAGAGGGACAAAGTACAATAATACTGTACTAACCATGCTTTGAAATCTTCCACGCCGCTGCTAACGATCTCGACATATCGATCGTATTTAGGAATGACCTGTCTCAGGCAGTAAGCAACTGAGATATAGTTGTCGGTGACTGTGTACTACTAAGACGACCGAAGGATGGTTCTCGTTGAGACAGACGACCTTTTCGACGTCCTCCAGCTCAATCACGATACCTGGCTAGACGACGTCATCGGACCGCGAACCACTAGAGAGCGCTAACTTGGCCTTGAACCCACCAGGATCCTTGCTGGCATCCGTTGACTCCTCGTCCTTCAACGGGGTAAACTTGACAGACTCGAGGTTACGGTTGAGGATCCCAGTGCCTGATGGAACATGATCAACGAGGATCTGGGCTAAGCGATAATATATCTTACAGATAGCAGACTTCGTCACGGGCTCGTCGTTCGAGTCGCCGTCATCGTGTTCGACACGTAAAATTACGGGAATTCTGAACAAAAAACGCCATAAACCAAGGCAGACAGCCACAGGAGATAGTCAGCAGTACAGGAAGCGATAGAGATAAGGAGAATCCATGAATGAACCTACCCCTTCATTAGCCTCTTGATGTAGGACTCCACCTGTGCTAGCAGAGACTTATCCTTACTGGGGGAGGCAGAGTCTGAGCGGGTGTCGGAGCTAGACATGGATCAACAAAGTGGAGACCGAGCTACAAAATGTCGAGGATGCCGGCCGCCACGCCCTCGAAAATGAGCTGATGGACCTAAGAAGCTGATGAGATGAAAACTCCACCTCAAAGGCAGGCAGTTGGGTGGTGACGATCACTAGAGATATCGTAGATCCATACCCTGATATTGAGTGGCCAAGAGGTAGGAATGTTGCTCGTAAACTATACACAGAAGAGGAAGTCAATCACTTGTGCGGGCGAGCGCCAAGTTGAAACGCAAGATTCTCTTATAACCTCATGTTGAAGATATGAGGCTACACCGAATCATCTGCGTAAGACAGTTATTTTCGCGATTAAATGACCCTGGAAAGCTCCGAGTGCATTCGAGCCGACCTCCTGTCCACATTGAGCGACGTGGAAGGGATAACGTCAACCGATTTCGGCCCACCCAGCACGTTTAACCACGAGAAGCTCTTCGACTCTATAATGCAAGTGGCAGAAGAACGGGTCGCAATGCTCCGAACACAAACAATGTGAGTGGCCGTTCGAGAATCTGTATTGTCTCATATGCACTTCCTTGATAGTAGGAAGGAAACTTGCCTAGGGGTAGTGATGTTACTTTGCCTCTCAGTGGTCGCCCCGAGTTGAAAACGGAGTATGGCGTCGCCTCAGTCTACATACCCTGTAGACTTCATCGAACTCCCCGCATCAACAGGGCCGCCACGCCACCTTCAACGCTCCAACCACGACAGAGTGACGTGGCCGCATTACAACGCCTTGCGCGTGGCGGCGTGTCGGAGCCATCGTCAGGCAGCATTTCCTGGGACGCAATTGCTCTCAAGTGTCGCTCATTGAGTCGTGCTATGGAAGATGTGGCTGGTTTGAACTTATCCGATCTATCCTAATGCTTCGCAACCCTCAACGGTGAAGTATTGATAATATAATTGAACGCAGTGTTCGTAAATGCGAAAAGCTGCGACTGATACCTCTGCTACCATGACCTCGCTGTGTGTTCATTTGCTACTGATTTGCGTTGACAAGTACCGAAATCAGTATAGTAATTCGTAAATATTTCCGACCTGAGAGCGTCAGATATATGCAATACATACTATGTACTCGGTAGCTACGATATTCTATTGACAACTGTTCGACGGGAAACTTGCCAGTGCTCTCAGCACAAGTCCAATAAAGGAAGACGCGACTACTGTCAGCTCGCAATTGTCTCCAGCTGTCGCCGCAAGATCGACGATTACACTATGCGGGGCCACGGAGCGGATCTGCGGGTAGAGAGAGTTGGTGTTAAAACCCACGAGTTGAACCAGCAAGTAATTATCTCACCATGGCATACCTATTTCATACCCCCTACAAAAACTCTTATAGTTGAGCAGGAAAGTGCCCCCACTTAGTCGTGAACACAAGGCCAAATTGTGAGAGCAACTATAAACCATTAGCAACTTTATCACTCGACGTACTAATACATAACCAGGATAAATAAGACTTCCACTATGAGCCACCTTAGAAACTAGGGCTAGTCGTCAGCTTGTACTGCTCCGTGCCGACCGATACGGCTTGGAGGACACTCTCCACAGCTGAAGGAGAGAAAACAGTTCTCCTTGCATGTTGTAAGAAGTATTGATTCGACACCCCATCTCACCTGACGGTATAATGAGAGGCCAGCGCAACCAAAAGGGCATGTCTTCACTCAGTGGACCGGAGCGCATTTGATACCCGAAACCGAGTGCAGCAATCACCGTCACAGATGTCGCGAGCTTGCGCGAGGACCCTGCTGGCGGAGCAGTACCCACGACGTAACGATAGTAGAGCTGAGGTGGATCACATCAGAGAGGGCAATGGAATTTATATTGCAGCACGACTGGACGATAAATGCAGGTTACCTCGTGTCCGCAGTTGGTGAGCAACTGAGCACCCAACAAACAGTTCGCCCAATTGGCCAAGCTTCGCTCCATCTTGTATGCGATGTACACAGCCATTGCAGCGACGGCACCCTTCGTAGTGAATCGGATAGCCAAGCGGGAGTTCGAACTCAAGGATCGGCCTGATATTCGCGAACTGAGCAGTTAAAAACTGCCATGAGATAAATCTACCTGTTTCAGACTCCTCAAAACGTTTGAGCTGTGGGGATAGGAATTGATTGACCACGCCCACGATGGTGCTGGCGGTATTCATTCCAAGACCAAACCGAGCAGCATTCCTAGAGAGGGCTGTTGCCAGACAGGTGAGGACCTGACCCAAATAGGGTAGGAAGGGCCTCACAACAATCGGCGCACAGGTTGAACAAGAAATGCACGTCTACTCTACCTACTTGCGTGTATATGTTGCGGAACGCTCTGCTCAGCTTCTCCGTATCGATGGTGCGTAGGACCACTTCTAGTACACCTAAAAGGAGAACGCTCATCGTATTCAAAGGACAGGGCCCAACTTAGTCAATACTGCACGCTAGATTCCCATCCAACTAAATACGCATACAATGCCTTACCAACATCAGTAGGAGAACGCCCGACATCTGGTTCATCAAGATCAGCCAGGGCAGCATCACCATCCCGCTTGTAACAAAAGAGAGGTATGTTCCCCGGCAGACTGTCGCGCATATCTTCTCGAACCTATACCACTCGCTCACACGTAGATGTCGGGGGCGCATCGATACCTCGGAGTACACTTCTGCAATGTCATCAAAGTCACGCTTGAGGTCTTCAACTCGGATTGATTGAAGCAGCAAGGATGTGTACGGAAAATGACTAGAAGAGAGACCAACAGTTTCCATCTAATGACACCGCCGAATGGTACGCACTTGCCATAGCGCAGGAGGAAGAGGCCTAGTAGTCCGCCCAGAATTGTCCTGTTTTTGTCTACCACATTCCTCGTAGTGTCCACGACTGCCGAAACCCGACGATAAGCCTTGTGGGCACTCTCCTCCACCTCCTGCAGTGTAACCACACCGTCACCATCGATATCAAGCATGCGGCCTGCGCCACCCACCACAGAGTCGCGGAACTGGTCCATGTATGATATGCTAGAACACAAAAAATCCCTGTTCGAGTCGGCACTTCCTCAACACTACTCGCCCCCTCATTGTTGAACCAAACCCATTAGCCAATAAGAATCAGTGATGTTAATCCTCGTTTTGTGCATGCATTCATAGTTGAAAACAGTACGCCACATAGAGTCGAACATCCTACGACGAAGCTGTAGCCACAGATGCCAATACCCTGAGAGTCGAGACACACAAACTGTAACAGAGAGATGGTCTAACCCATGTGGAACGAACCCATGGCCGGACGATCTCACACAAGCGAGGTGATTCAAGAAACCAATACTCACATGCAGATCAATATTATGAAAACGCTCATATCACGTGGAACATAGAGAGAACAGCTTAGTTTGGTTGCTGGGCGACAGCTTCAACTCCGCAACCAACGATTTGCTTTCTTTCAACGCTCCCTCTAGCTCCGCCATAGAAGGATACAGACTAGACACGATGATCGCTAGCTTGGTATCGATACCTAAACCATCGAACTGTAATCATCACGATTGTCAAGATCTTCATCATGATGATTCAAATCGTAGTAAAGACAGGCGACTGAACCTATCTCCCCTATTCCAGCTCCAAACTCGTTACACCTTAGATAGTCTACTAACACCCATACACACCTCTGTCGAGGAGTTGCTCTTCAACGGCAATACGTGCCGTAATGGGATGATGCGGATCATCGGTTAATACGTAACGAAGGAGCCGATGGAAGGCTCGGCGTCTCAGACCTGGCGATTCAATCCTTACACTCTCCGAGGAGGACCACAACTCTCTCACCGAGCTGCTGCCACCAAGCATCCAATTCCGAAGCTGCTGTTGGTATTATTTCCCTCAGCTCCTTCAGTGTACAACACTCACCAACCACTACAAGGGCCGTCTCACGTGTGATGCCTGAACAACCATCGGGGATTGCCCAGCTTCCGAGATCGACCCACCATTGACATTATCGGCCAACTCTTCAGCTAAAAGATATGCTCGATATTCGGGAGAATCGTCACCGCATGCCAGTCTGATGACGCTGATCGCTGTCTTCTCCTCGAGGCCCCAATCAACGGTCAAGAACTTCAACTTATCAGAGGATCCTCCCAGCATTGTCCTGAGCTCCTCCATGGACCGGACGCGTTTGAATACCATATCGTGCTGGACTCCGCGAATGCCAGCCGTTCTGAGCTGCTCGGAGAACTCTTCTCCGGCCGCAGGTATTGGGCACCAATCCTCCCCCATCACCGAGGCCGCCACTCTATGAGCAATCAGTTGACTCATACGAGACTGCGTCGATCTCGCCAGATAGTCTAGCCCGCCAGGCTTCTCGAGGGCCTTCACCAGCCGCCTCATATTCGGGAACCTCTTCGCCGTGTGATATGCAGTGCGCATCGATACTCCCTTCACTGCCATGAGCATATTGATCATGCTACGGTCTGCCGTTTTCTGAGCTTTCATCACATGGGAGGATATCTTCGCTGGGGCGAACTCTGACGGCCCGGCACACAGCTTCTTGAAACTCCGTACCATTTTATCGAGCAAAGTAATTGTCTCATGCAGCGATTCAGTTCGCAAGAGTACCAATCGGTCCCTTATTGGAAGCCTCACCATGTACCCGTATACAACTTCTGTATTGTAGCTGCTATCCACAGAGCCTTCCAACAACACGATCACTCGATGCCTCTGGTAGTCAACGGTCTCCAATAACGCCGACAGCTGATTCCGGAGACGGGCGTCTCTGTGCGAGGACAAGAGGTCTCGAATAGTCTTCCTCTCAACGATGAGCTTTTCATGACTGTCGTCTGCCGCCTCAATCACAATATCCCCAACGTCAAGCTGAGCGACCTCGTATCTACTCTCGAGGTCAGCGCCGTCCAATGCACCCTGTCTGAACCCACCCCTCCGCGGCATCTGCATTGTGTCCGAGAGCTTCCAGCAACAACCCTTCTCGCGTGTCAATCGTCACCTTCACACCTCGAGGAGGTTTCCTCAATCCAGTGCCTTCAGGGAGATCCTCGTCCTCATCACTTCTATCCAGGAGCCAGTGGTCCGCCAGCACCGTCGGAAAACTGAAGCAAACGATAGTATTTCCCCCCCATAGCATGGTAGAGCTCACGATCTTCGTCCACTCTTCAACTGATGCGCCATGTAATGCCCCCACCCCCTCAAGTACGGCGGCCAGGGTCGGTCATTGACAACCAAGTGCCGCAATGATACGACCTATCAACATCGTCACACGCATCCAGAACCATTCGACTCCGAGGAAGATACAAAGCCGTGCATACGAGCTCAGCCGTAGTTCGTCGTTGGCTAAAGCTACAGCGAGCAGTCACTCTTGGCGACCCCGCGCAGTGGCCATCAAAGACAAATACGAGAACCCCCCACCCATACCATGGACCCCGCCTCCGTCGCCTCTTCCTCCGAGAGGTCTCTAATCACTCCACGAGCCTCATCATCCGACTTGAAGGGGGACTTGAAGATCGAGTCGTTCTCGAGGTCCGGCATTGATCTGTAGGGCAGATAATGCTACTCCGAGCCCTCTCATGAACTTCGTGACATAAAGCTTACGCGTTCGGTTTCTTCAGTAATGTGAAAACGAGGGGCGCTTGGCACTGGTCACCATCACCGTAGGTGCTAAGTAAATAAGCATACATCTTCTATATCACTGAACAACAAAGCCTCACGGTACACCATTCAAAGGCCGAATCAGTGCAAGCTCCGAACAAATTATCATAGCCTAGAACAGATGGGTATGAGCCTAGAACTACCAATTTGGTCTTGAGTTTCACCGGATCTTAAAATTGCGTTCATGAACCTACCGGTAACGTAGTTTGGTCGCAAAGAAGTGCGCCCAAGCCCTCTGGGTTTTCGTCCACTGCGACCCACTCTCATAATGGTCGACTAGGGATGCTATCTGAGACCGGATCAGACCATGACCAATGTAAACCAGCACTCAAGGTTGAACTCAGAATAGATCGTACAAATTGGTCAGCCTTGTCGTTTTGAGTGGCAAGTACTTTACGCAAAGTCTTCGATACTTCATCATCGGATACGAACGCCGATTGGAATTTCATGGGGGAGGACCTACGAGAGGAGTGGTAAGAAAGAAGCATTCATCATCACAAGCTCACCTTTGTTTCGGTCGTACTGTAAACTTCAAAGGAGCAGCCATCTGGGCGAACAGCCTTATCGGTCTGTACCATACGTTCTGCAACGGCCTCCAACAAGATAGGAGCATCATCACGAGGAGAACATAATAGCTACATGACCAACTCAAGTCATCCAACCCCTGAGAGCAACACGGCCGAGAGGTCAGACAGGGAGGTCCGCTGAGAGATTAATTGAAAGCCCACTCCACACGAATGCCAGGGGGTAATTAGAAAATGAAATCGGTTTAGTTGACATTCATATGTGAAACAGCAACCACATGGTCGTCGGCATATACATCTAAAACGCGTTAGGGTCGCGTGGGTACGTAGTCGGTCAGGTGAGAGAGCTGAAGGCCTAGTTCACACGCCTAGCCACGTCGACGTCAGCTGGGCGAGGACCATCCAGAATCGCCCTAGTCTGGGCTGGCTTGAACATCTGCAGCATCCTATGAGTAATAGCGAAGCCCCCAGACACGTTGACTAAGCTGAAGAATACGGCAGCTAAGGCGGATACAACCTGAACATAGCAGAGCCTTGCACGACCCAGATCTCTGGGAGTCTCACCTGTCCACTAGGGAACGGTCCGTTCATCTGAAGCATACCGCCAGTGGCGATGACTCCGCTGATAGCGTTGGTCACCGATATTAACGGGGTGTGCAATGCAGGGGTCACCGCGGCCACCGTGAAGTGACCAATCAATAGCGACAGCACCTTCAACACACTGCCTACTACCAGTAGGCCTAGGTAAGAGGATACTTACGAAGTCGCCAACAAGGCGGACGTTATTGACATCAGCAGAGATGCCCAGCGCCAAGACCACTGTAAAGCCTAGAGCCACAGCCACAGCCTCTGAGTGGTCACACAGGTAGTCTGATAGAATAACCGCTTCCACCGTCAGTTCCACTACATACCAATCCTACCGAGCACTGCCTGGGCGTTACTGTCATCACGGTGCATCATAGGCAGTAGTTCCACTCCTACCGGTAACGATGGGGGCACAGGCGTTGGAGGTTGCGGCATTGGCGGAGGTGGATACCTCAAGACACGTGGTACGTAACTCCCAGGCCTCTGCAGCTCACAGCATCTCCCCGTCCCTCGTGAAGGTACTTTGCCTCACAACAACGTCGTCGAAGTTGAAGGTCAAACTGGCGGGCCCGCCAACTTCTCCCGAGGACGTATCTACTCCGATCCAAATACCTCCCGTGCACATCACTAGAGTCCCCACCTTTGCGCAGTAGCTGGAGCATCCCTAAGAGATTGTGGCTGAGCATCGTCGAGCTCTGCTGCGGCATGTCTGAAGTGAGCGTTGTGCGGCCCACAAGCGTCACCTTCGATACTCCATCGACAAGCGTTCGACCGGGAACCTGCCAATGCTCTCAGCATAAATTCAAGTCAGGAAGGCACAACTACTGTCAGCTCGCAGTTGCCTCCTGCTGTCGCCGCGAGATCCACGATGACACTATGCGGGGCCATTGAGCGGACCTAAGTGCCAAGTGGAGGAAGTGGGTGTTAAAACCCACGAATTCAATCAGCAGGTAGTTATCTTACCATGGCCGCAGTCACCAACACCGGAGCTCTTCTATTAGGAATCATTGCTGTGCATATGACAACGTCAACCTGAATGTGCTGAACTCTCTGCATATAGGCAGATAGCCAGGCCTCGTCACCTTCTTCACCATGGCAGCATAAGTCTCCATCTGTGCCCGCTTGAACTCAGGCGAGCTGATCTCCGCCGCATACCCTCCCACTCCTCCAGCTCCGGACAACTCCCTACACTCGATGCGGACGAAAGTAGCTCCCATGGACTCAATCTGGGACAAGACAGAGAGCGTGATCGGAGGCAGAGACGCCTGAGGCAAGTAGCACACCTGTTCCTTGGTAGTGTCGCGAACATCGCTCGCATATACTCTGGCTCCGAGGCTCTGTGCTGTCGCTACTGCAGAAAGCCCGGCCACCCCAGTGCCTGCCAGAACGATACTACAACCCCTCATGCTGTACTTACCAATAACAAAGACACTCGCTGCTGGTAGATGGCCGCTAGCCGTGACTGACGGACGGGAGATGCGGGGGAGCACGTGGAAGGCCTCCACCACAGCCCTGAGACAACATAGAGCTACTACCGAGCCACAGCTCAGAGCCGTCTCACCTATAGCCGGCAATGTTCGCCATTGATGTGAGGACATCCAGCTTCTGGGCTCGACTACGATAAGGACAAGGCGTGTTGAATAGGAAGGGCCCATCCCAGGTAGTATCAGAGAGATGCCACAAGTACTCGAGACTACCAAGTGTCCCCTCCCGCCCTACCTAATCCTCGGCACGGCGGCCATGTTGATGACGGTAACCTTTCTTGCACGAAATTGTTCGAGTAGAGCGAGGACTTCGTCGTTGACCGGAAAAGTCGATATTACTACCTAACGACAGCGCCTGTCCGGACTTGTACGGACTTGTACGGGCGTGCAGCCTACCTGGACAGAGCCCTCAGGGGAGTTGCCGTCCCGACATAGTCGAACATCCTTGCCGCATAATGCACCAACTCGCAGCATTACGTCGGCCTTGGCATACACTTCCTCCTGAACGAACGATCCAAGCTGTCAGCACAGCAACGTATCATACGGAGCCTCAACAGTTCTATCTATGCACTACCGCTGTCTTCAGCCGAGTAGCCCCCATAAGCTCGTACTCCTCATCGGAGAAGCCAGCAGCTTCACCACTACCCTCCTCAAAGGCCACGTCAAAGCCCAGCATACGGAGCTTGCGTGTCACCACAGGCGTTACAGCTACTCGTCGCTCTGTCTCTGTTGCTTCTAAGCAGAAGAGCTATTCATGAGAACGGACCGACAATGCTAGGATCTACTACCAGCACTCTCGAAGATGCACTCATTGACGAATCCGACCATAACACCGACCGGAGGGTACTCAATCCTCTGCTCCTCAGTGCTGCTATCACTCGACCCATCCTTCCCCGCAGAGTTGCCAGTCTCCCCGACGACAGCTGTTGGACCTGGGCGAAATGACAGATCGACAGCCACAGTCAGCAGCGCCTCCAACAAGTAAAAAGCAGACAGGACAATGAGCCTTCCGGACGCCATCATTCGGACATTTATGGAAGTTTCCTCTCAGGCAACCTGAGCACTCTTGCTGCCTCACCTTGCTGAACGACGTCTTCGCTAGGCAACTGATCGACCAGCTCGTTGCGGATTTTATCCATCATCTCGCGGGCATGGCCGAACAGCATTCGGCTGTTCTCATGGAAGAAGAGAGGGTTCTCAACACCAGAGTAACTGACAGACCTCCACAATAGCAGCCGTCACCAGACCGACCCTCCTCGCCTCACCCGGTGGCCATACTCCTCTTCAAGACAATACACTCCCGACACTTCCACACCTCAATAGCCGGCATGCCGTATATCGGGCTGGAAGGGTCACTACCGGTCGTGGGATTCACGATGTCGTTCGCGCCAAGAACGATACACAAGTCGAAAGAGGCTATTTCCGCATTCACCTAGGTTCATGGGATAAAGCGACACCTAGAGGGAAGGGCGTCCCACCTCCTCCATCTCGAGGACGATATCATATGGCACATTGGCTTCTGCCAGGAGCACATTCATATGGCCCGGTAGGCGCCCGGCTACGGGGTGGATCCCGAAAACTACCATCGCGCCACTGAAAGAAATATTACGATGGGGTTAATGGGAATAGACTCCCTCGGTGGTGACGGACTTCCGATTGCGCAGGAGATTTGCGATTTCGGATACCTGCTGCTGGCACCGTGCGACGGCCATGCCGTAGCCCGGGACGATCAGTACCTAGCCGCGGAGGGGACTTGCCGTGTACAACAATCCACGACTTTGCAATACCTTCTTTGCATGAGTCAACTTCCGAACAAGCTCTGCGGAATCGATAGTATGGACCTCACCGGCTACAGTACCACCTGATGGTACCGCTAGCGAGCCGTCCTCCACTCCAAAGCCTCCTAAAGAGACGTCCACCAGTGAAAAAGGACCAAACTGGATCGTTCAATCAACCGACCTTGTAGAACACTGACGAGGCTGCGATTGATTCCTCTGCACATGATGTCACTCAGCAAGGCTCCGCTGCTGGTCACCAACGCACCAGTCATAACCAACTGAGACGTCATTGCTATATTCTACTACTGGCAACAGTGATGTCACCATAGAATTGGACATCATGAACCCGGATGCAGATGTCGCCAGCCCGGACAAAGAGTTGAGCAAGCTCACTATAACCGGCATGTCGGCGCCTCCGACTGGTAGTACCATCATAGCCCCTGACGAAGATGCTATATGGCACGGCAAATCTCCAGAAGGCATTCAAGCATGCGGAGCATAGTCAAGACCAGAAAAGACTAGGACTACAAGTGTAAAAGTGCCGTCTACAACAGAGACGATCGGCAAAGTGGCGTAGTTCTGGAAAAGGGCGACCCTGGGCATCGGATATTGCTCAATGCGGTTCATGAGTGGGAATGTCGAATCGACAGTGTCGATGCAACATTGTATAGACTCTTGGAAAGGCTAGAAAATGACCGAGGGACATACGCCGACTTGATCTCAGCATTTTCTCCATAATAATTAAGCCTATGTTCAAGCGTGGGAGAAGGTGAATCACGTCCCATGGCTTGATAGGCTACAAGCCTAGGGCGACCAAGGGCTCCGCGTGATCCCACAGAATGAGACACTAAAACCACCACGACGCCGCAGGACTGTCTAGACTCGAAGGATAAGCGGGTTCGGAGCACGCTCGTTGATTACGCGGGAAATGATTATCATATTATGATAGATGCAGAAAAATGATATGAGAGGTCAAAGATTGCTCGTGCACTATGTTCGTTGAGTAGTCCGTAACTGAATTGATAAGTTATGGCCTCAGGGACATGCAAGATACGGAACCCTTACATGGAAAACTTCACTCCCCGGCCTATGAATATACTAATCCAAGGGGGACTATCTCAAATGGTAGAGCGCTCGCTTAGCAAGCGAGAGGCACCAAGATCGATGGCCGGGTTCTCCATTTAGCATCAACGACGAGTGGCTATTTCGCTCGTTCCGTTTACGCGTGAGGTTACACGAGGTGTCCTGAGCGCGTGGGCTCAACAAGAAGACATTGTTGAGTCAGGAACGCTGACAAGATTTAGGAGTTTCACAGGAAGGGGTCAGCATCTAAGCGCTCAGGCACACGTTAAAGAGATAACTCATATAACAGTCAAGTGGATCTAAAATGGGACCGGATTTCACCTTGGTGGTGAGAAATACACAAAATGTCTGCCAGAAATTTAAAACTATGGTCGATGCAGGGCTCGAACCTGCGACCCTCGCGTTATTAGCACGATGCTCTAACCGACTGAGCTAAACGACCGATGATAAGTATTTACAGAGCTCGCCATCGGTCTATTCACAGTTCATCTAGTTTCCCCAGCAATTCCTTAGTCCGAGCGAACCGAGCAAGCAGCGAACAACTGCAGGACCGCAGTGAGATGTTCTCACGCGAGCTCTTGCGCGCTCACCCAGAATGCGCCGAAAACTTCCCAACCATCCCGCGTGTGAACTGGGAAAACGCACGAAGTAATTTCAGAGGCATGATATATGCCCTCATCTTCATGGCCTACCTATCATAGCACTTGCTGTCATGTTAGCGAGTAGTGCTCCCGTCCTCACCCAAGGAGTGCCGACACCACAGTACACAGTAGTGAGCAAAGCCAGCTTCGTTAGACAGAGCCCATTGATTGGCCCACTGAAAAGGATGATCAATGCCCCTAATCCCAAGGTATGTAAACAATCACCAAACTATGCTACTCAGCAGTGGCACAACCGTAATCCTCACGCTTTCTCAGTCGATAGCTCGACTGCCGACTCGAAGTATGTCGGCGAAGGACACCCTACCGGATTTTCATGCCAATGGGCCTCCCAGGTATTGTTCCATGTAATTTCAATGCAGCAACGACTGAACCACTGAAGGTCGCCGCGCCTGGTTCGACAACAGGCTCATAATGATACAAAGACCCAATGGGGCCCTACCGACACTAACCCCGATGAATGTTTCCAGTGCTTGGGCGAGGGCTCCCCCTGCTGCTGTTGCTGACGGATTCAAGTGAGCTGATAAACCGATGAGGACCGCAGCAAGGCCAGTGAAGCTGAGGAGAAACCATGAAGCAGTGATAGAGGTGATAATCCAAGATTGCCTATGGAAGCCCGCTACTAGCTGAGGCATCTCTTCCATCTGGACACACGAAGCAACACCCAAGCCGACGGCACAAGCCGCTGCAGCTGTTGGCATGAATAGCCCCATCGATCGCAAGAGGACAGCTGAACAATCAAGGACACAAAAGATGGGACGATGAAGACAAGCGAACATTGCCGTCATTACAGGAGGAGTATTGTGGAATCCAAGTGGTTGCTACTACGGTGACTACCGCCGAGGCCGCACCAACAACGCCCAGCCAATTTCCTCTCTTGGACGTCTCATGCGAATTGAGGCCCCTCAGAGAAAACATGAATAAAATCTGATCAAACTATAAGTCCCCAGACCAGCGGAAATAGACTATCATCCCCCTCACAGTTGATGCCATCGGCAGAGTGACGGACAGAGCGTTGCTGCCCGCAGCGGCAATAGCTGCACCCGAGGCCTTAGCGAAAGAGGTCACAAGGGCCCCAAAAGAGCCAGTCGATCTGAGATATCCACAGTAAAAGGAACACGACCAGACGGCTGTCTCTACTACCCAACCGCAGTACCAGCGAGAATCGAGGTAGGCGGCAAGGCTTCTAAGAACAGACTCCCAGCTGCCAGACTGAGCGGTATCCATAATATACGATGTATTCTGGGCACATGTAGAGCCACTACACTCTCTTCCTCATTAGAATCTGATTCAACTCACAACCGGGATGGAGCTACTACCACTAAGGCCTTGAAAGCTCACCAGCATCTCGTCGATCCTCCTCTTTAGCGGCATCCCCCAGCCAGTCAGCCCAGTCCATCGTCAAAGTCTTCGTAGACAGGAATGAGCCTGGCTGGCACTCGACCTCGCCACCTGGCCGGTAGAGGATCGTACCTAACCAGCGTTTGCCTCCAGGGATGATGCCAGTGATTCATCGATCCTCAAAGACATGCTCTATAGCCCCACAGTAGAGGGCATCGACGACAGGGCGGCCTTACTCCACAATATTCTCCTCGGTGACTGGTCCGATGAGGGGGATGGGGACCGGCGCGGCTCGCTACAATGATCCTCCTCATCCAACAGGCCTATACCGCCGGAAGAATCGGGGGTGATAGGCAAAGGGCACGAGAACGAGGTGGCCATGCGTGATGACCTACAACCTCACCAACCGTCATCATGACCATCCCCCACGGTCCAATTTACTCGATAAAACTCATAACAGAGGTCCAAGCTGTAAGCTTAACCATGCGACACACTGAGGGATAACTTCCCAACCCCCCACCCCCCTGATTTACCGCTTGAACTCTAGACTGGAATGATAGCGAGACTTCGTCATCGTCTATATAGGGTACGAGCTTACAGACTAGATCCCTCTATGGTTGAAGAGCAGTGGCAATGGTGTATACTGATGGCACTCCCACATGAGGGATGAAGTCGAGGCTTAACGTTAGTCTCCATCCAGTCCGCCGCCTTAGACGTTCAATTCTTATCGGGCACCTTTACCCTTACCCTTACCTGAATACCATAACAACTACAACGCACACAAGGCAAACCGCATTACCCTTGCCCTTTCCCTTACCCTTCCCTTTACCGAAACCTCTATCACGGGCAGCTTTATTCTTCGGGCCATCATCAATCTACAAGACTAGCCATATCACCAGCACTAAAGCACCAATCCACCACTACCAGTAAAGTGTCCAGAGGGATGTGGTCAGGGAGGATAAAGTAACGGATAGTACTACCTAAGACAAGAATACTAATAATACACAACTACAGCCGACTCCATAGCGTACCGCGGATGGTTAAATGGTCCATGCCCACTGGGTTGCGGCCGCGCACTGTGACCTTCACGTTCTTCATATGCGTGTTCATCGACACATCCACACCTATCACCCAACCTTGAGGACTCCTGTCACGTAGTACACTCACCAGTGACGGTCCCATGAACCACTGTGCCGTTCTTCAACTCCACAGTAACTGTCTCCGAGTTGAGCTTCTGCAAGAACCGTACGAGCTTCATAAGGATCGTTCACCACAATAACAACCAATGACAACACGCTGTGAGACCCACTGCCCCCCGCCCCAACTCAAACCCCTCTACACTGAAAGGGATGCTCTCAAATACGTCGCTATAATAGGGGATGTGTCGGGCTGTGTATCAGCAACGACAATCTAGTGAGGCGACAGAGGGATGAGGGGGTAGAGTGGTACATATGGTAATCATAGTAATAGTATAACAAAACCAGTTGAGAAAAATGACCATGAACAAGCACGCGCACTCTGATACCGTCGCCTGCTTTCGTAAAAGCTTCCGAATAGTGACGAAGAAGGCGAGCCGCGATTAATATAGATACTGACGGAGTTCCGCCATCTCGTCATCCTCGCCACTTTCCTCTCCAGAATCACCATGAGTCATAAGAAGCTCCTGCTCCTCAAGATTCTCATCGTATGAGAACATGTAGCTGTCCGGATTCCCCTCGTATTGCTGACCATAAGCAGGTCCGGCCAGAGCCCCAGCAGCTCGCCCAACTGAGCACGTATTCAACTGGCGTCCCCAGGCTGGGCAAGTATTCGAACTTAGAACCTCATACCTACAACGACAGACCATACACAGGATTGACCACGAGAGTAGCATCACCCTGCACAAGCTGCCGAGGACGATGCAGTTGCTAAAGAAGCCAGCACGTCAGAGACCTCGTGCGGGTCAGCTACGAACCATCTACCATAGAAGACGGGTATAACAGTCCGAAACAAGCAACAAAACCGGCCTACTTAGCATGACTAGGCTTCTTTCCAACGGAGACAGTGAAGACCTCAGTGATGCTCTTGGCATGCTGAGTCGATGCCTCGCCTTGTGGTCGTCGAGTGCTGGTGCCATGTGATGCCAGCAGCCCTAGGTTACCACCATCTTCCTTCCATGTCGCCGCTTGAGCACCCTTCGATGACGGTGTCGTACTGAAGGGCGGCCTAACGAACAGCTATATATATGACTGTCTCCACTCAGACGATGGTATTACCTCCGCACACCAGTACCCAACTGGTTGAGATCACGATGAATACTGCCAGAGTTCAACCCGAGCGTTCGCTTAGGCCGTTCAATTGAGCTTGTATTACCAGCAGAGCCGGCCGGTGACGGTGGGCGATGCTTAGGGCCTGCCATGTGAGAACCCTAGGGTGATGACCAACACGATGAGACCTGGCCTACTCTCAACATGTACAGGGATGGGAGACGACTTGGGCTCGTAAAGGTTCTTCAACTTCTCGAACATTAGCTCATCAGACTGGTCATCTCCCATTGCAAGCACCTAGGAGGCGGCCCATGACCTCCACAGGGCGTGTAGCTATAATTCCTTACAAAGTCCGGTTGACCACGAATGCTCGAGAGCTTCTGGAGTATGATCTGTGCCGCCACACCCTTATTGACACCCTTCAACTTTATCTCTACAAAGCCCTTGCCACATACCACCTCCACATTATACCTAGATCGGAGACACTAAACAAAGTATCATTGAGATACTCACGTGTCGAGGAGTTCTTCCAAGCTGTTGGCCAGCTCCTTCGCTTGCCACTGCCCGAAGTCAGGATCAGCATCCCCATACTGCCACACCAATGCCGACCCCTTATACTCGATATACGATCCCTGTGTCCGGGCTACATACCTAACACAAGTTCATCACTTCCCCTACCTCCGCGAACTACCCTTACTGCTTCATCAGCTCCATAGCGATGGCCTTCCACGACGTGTCGTCCCTTTCAGAAGCATAACTATCACCTATAAAACAAAAACTGCAGGTATGGTGTCCGATACCGCAGACCTACTGAGAAGGCACTCCCAATGCCGACGGGACGAGGAAACACCCTGTTGATGATCAGGACCGTTGAGGGCAGGTACTTGGTAATAGTACCCATGCTCAGCTGCCAGGCCTAGATCATGACACTAATACAGCTGCCAAGGTTGGTGCTGTGCGCCTACCAATGTGGTCGACACTGCTGAACCACTTCTCAAGGTGGTCCGGACTGCGACCACTCAAGATCACTACCACATTACGAGGGTCCCGACACATCACTCTGACCAAGAACATAATGGAGAGTAAACAGGGACCCCCTTACCTCAGCATTTGCAGGACCGTCTCACTCGGTGGACTACCATGCATATGTAGATTGGTCAGCTCCCCTTCACTGGACGAGCTAGGGAACTGTCCCGAAGAAGCCCTAGGGGAGCCATACGCATTTCGAGGGATATAAGACGTCGAGCACAATGTCCCTGATTGGAATCACGACTCAGCCGAACACACCACAAATGAGGCAACTACCTTCGTTGTCGAGGAAGAGTACTCTGAACTTGGCCCTCTTATACGCGGCGAGGATCTCCTCATGTTCCAACCTTTGGAAGTCCTCAGACAGTCCCATCAACCTGCAGCACCAACCTCAGTGCATAGACGGCCCCTAGTCGACCCACCTGAAGTTGGCCCCGAATCCATAAGTGATATACATCATCTCAGCCTTCTTTCTTGCCCTGCGGAGATCACACAGGAAATCTTCCGCCCAAGAAAGCAGGGAGTGACTCGAAACGTAGGCCGTATCACGGTAAAGCCGCTCGGCAAGCTCAGGGGTACCCTATAGAAACCAATGCCGCATTAAGGAGGTATCATCTACGTCCTCACCAGCATGTGCTTTGCATCCTGAATAGCTAGGACAAGCTTGTCTGTGTTCCACGGGTTCACACTAAGACTGCCAATAAGCACTCGAGAACACCCCGAGAACTCGCTGCACATGACTGCTCCTCTAAGGTTAGTCGGGCTAGTCGGTGGTAAGGCAGCACGGGCCACATAATATTCAAAAGGGACTGACATGCGTCCTCCCATGCCTCCAAGGACCGAGGCAGACTTACCCAAATTGAGACCCGACTTCACGCTCGTATCCAGCAGGACGTCCGCAACGCGCAATAATGCCATCCGATCAACAACACTTAGTGGTCCCGATTCGAAATGGATAACTAGGAGAGAAAGTATAGGGTTGCCTCCCTTGAGCCTAGCAGACTACCTTCACTTCCGAACTGTTTATTAATCGAGGCTGCAATATCGGTCAATTCGCAGGCCCTAAGAACCATATCACGAAGTCGCCTCATAAGGTAATCCTTACAATTTATATGCCAGCTTAGTCGAGTGAGTTTTCGGCACATAGGCATGTTGTCGAAGCACGGCCCTTCCTACTACATTAGGATGCTGCTCCAGAAACAACCGCCACGCACGGAACTTCAAACCAATTCCAGAAAGTCGATCACACCTGAGCCCAGAAACAAATACACAGGATATGAGCGACCCCTAGTGTAGCCCACCGGTCAACAGAAGCATAGACTATAACGTTATCGCCGTAGTGGGTTCGAAGGGCTCGAGCTCTCTCTATGACCTAATACTCCATTATTGCGAACGCGACCTCGTACAACGCTCATACTAAAGGATCCTGCATCTTCTGCATTGTGTAATCATAGTGAATACAAGCATGACCAACTCGTAAGGCAACCTCCCTTCCCAAATAGCTACACCACCAAAGTCATCAACATTCCTACCGCCACAGCGATACCTACTCTACTGAGACGAATCCTCCCTTTTTGAAATGATAATCTAGTCCAAGTATCCTTTTGCAACAGGTCAGGAAGTGTCTGACATGGATCCCTGATGGAGCACCCCAGCAGGCCTTCACCTACCTCTCATATTCAAAGAACTGGAAGCCCACCAAGTCCGCACAGAGCATCCCTTTAAGGAGCTCTTCTCGCACAGGTAGACACTTATACAAGTCCGAGCTCGGGAACGGGGTATGGAGGAACAAGCCAACATTAGCTGTGCGCAGCTTCCTGCCAACCAGCCTGAGCCCAAAACTTCCAAAGATGAATGCAAGAGACACTACGCGTACATCGGCATGAGTAGTAGATATATATCATGGATCCATACCATGTCCTGATCCTCTCGACATGATGTCCACACCACCTGAGTACGGCCATTACAGCTACCCCCAGGCTGCGCCCGAGTACCTCTGAGAACTTCTGGTTCACTGTTTGGTAGGCTGCCCATTGCTGTAGGTCAAAGGGACGTGGATTATCATCGTAAACGAAGGACATGACGACACTGTGGAAGATGGGCCAGAGAAACCTGTCAAGCAAGTAGGATGCCTCAACACTCGAAAAGGTTGAGCACCTATCGCAGAAGTTGACGAAGTTGTGGTATAGATCTTCAGCGAGGAAAACAGGTATGCAGTCATAATCCAAGAGCAATTCGCGGATCTAACAAGGATGTCATTTCTGATAGAAAAACCATAAAATAACGTCAGATCGCCCACCTCTCTTTGCTCCGTATAGTCCTTCACATGAACTCCTGGCCAGCCAACAAACATGACTCTAACCGGGTATTGATGTCGCAGTTGGTACATTGAGGGCATCACATTACCCGACTCCGACACTCTAGCTACCCATTCACCTACACCAACGCGCATAGAATAACAGAACCTAACCTGTCGACTACTTACCATTCACTTTTTCAACTTTCACAGGTAGCTCAAAGCTGACCATGAGCACACCATTGTTGCTCTCTAGAGGCGGGAAGGATTCCAAAGAGCGAATTGCCGCCATCCGTTGCTCGAAGAGCTACCACACACCGTCTGCTGATGCAACTAGCCGCCCTATACTTACAATGTGGGCATTCGTCTCAGGCGTCTGTGAGATCTGACTAGACGCCTCGACACTCGACCGATCGTCAAAAAGAGAAGAGACATCCTCAGGGTGCAGGGCATTCCGATACATGCCAAAGTCGTCCTCGACCTGTTGATGGGAGGGCTCTACTAAGTAGCCAAGACCCCAAGTACTCACAGTCATTTCCCCTCCTGTTGGTATCATACTTCGCTTGTCCTTATCAATATAGGCGAACAGGTTGCCATCCTGGCTCACTAAAGCGTATTGATAAGATACGCGGACTCTAAGGAGCAAGGCAATAGTAGGAAGGCACATTGCCATAGCAGAAGAGGGACCAGATACCATCACTACTTAGTTTGGAACTTCACAGGTTCCACGGTGTAAAAGCATGGGAACATGTCCTCCTGGGTGAACAGCTCGACCCCTTGCCGATGGTCCCAGTGACCCAAGGATGCACAGTCCCCAACCACGACCACCTAACGCCACCACTATTGCCCTCGTCAGCTGACAAGCATTCTACTTTGCCGTTATCCTCCTTCAACTTAGTGGCGTACTCCTGTGGTACTACACACCTAAGAGGTCAGGACGATTATGGAAACGACCTAGTACGGCTAAGACCACCTACCGAAAGAATACCCTTGTGTAGAGCACGCGTTCCCCAGCTGGGACCGATAGTGGCGGGTCCTCAGAAGTGGCGTCAGGCGCCGGCCCTTTCCCCATTACGGGGTTGTCAGCTGCTGATGCTGTGGGGTCCATCAATCCATGCAGACCCAAAAGGAAGAAAGCCCTTCTACCAGCAGAATACACTATAACCCCGAACCCCCCTAGATGGCCAAGACATACGAGACAGTGCAAGAGGCGAGACGATGACCAGCAGCAGCACCAGCCATACCGAACTACTATAGCAACATATATACGGCAAGGTAAGACGTTCAGTGAACAGGCACCTATTGACGTGAAACACGCGAGCGGAGACCGAGAAGAAGCGTACGGGCTCAACCATGCGTTGATAGAGGGCATCGTGATCGATTTGTTCCCTCAACGCCATCATCGAAAAATACGCTGAGGAGTAGCAAGTGAGATCAAGAATGCAAGTGTCCATCTACTGTGTGCTTGTGGTAGAAGTCCTATACCAAATCCACGAATTTATTTTTCCCTACCTATTCGTTGGTAATGGATTCTTCCAACGAGGCGTACCATGAGGATACGACAGCTGCTGCGAGTATGATTCAAAAGTACTCACATGGGCAGCTTCTGATGTCTACAACTGCTCACTATAGACGCGTCCGGAGCTGGCTGCGGCGTAGGAGGCTAAGAGCCTTACTGAAGAGGATCAAGGCCCAACACAGGTGGTATCTTCGTGTCTCTCTCGGGTATCTTACTCGAAGATACGTTGAATACCACACGCGACTGAGCAACCAGCTGGCTGCTAGGCGTCATGACTTAGCCACCATGACCCAACTCTTACAAGAGCCTTCCGGTGCTCGGCAAGTATATTCATCCCGTCTTTCCTCAAACTCCCTCCCAGCATCGGTATAGGTATGGATGCACCAGGAGCAGGTAGAGTGTAGAGCTGCCCTGAAGTAGGCCGGGCTCGGCGTCGCTGAGTCTTACCCTCTACCACAGGGTTCAAACCTGGTGGCGTGGCAGGGCTTTGCTTGCCCAGGCTAAGGCCCTGGCTAGAGATATAAAGAGGGTAGTAACTGGATAGGACTGTGTGGAAGTTGGAGTATTCTTGGCCAGAATCGTGCAGCTCAACGTATCCAAGGAAGTTGGCGTATCTTGAGGTCCAGTTGGAGACCGGAGAGGCCACATAGTAGCGTCCTTAGCCGAGGCCTGGAGAGATATCGACTAGAAGCCATCGAAGCGAACTCAGAGGTCCTCCACGACCAGTGTTGCAGCAATCCATCGAGTTCGGCTGTTATCGTTTGCCTTATATCCTCTGTTGGATCTCTTCTTCTGAGCAGTTCGATGAAGTCGTGATGCAGGGATATGATGAAATGATCAAAGGCCGTCTAGCAACTGGTAGGACTTGCCGTTTTTCCCTGCGGCCTGCAATTCTGATTATTTTCCCGGAGCCTGGAAGGCCACTAGGCATGTTGAGTGCACGTGTTGGAGCGCGCTGACGAATAGTGGCCTTTCTGCTGCCTGTAGGTTTGTCTGTGATCGACGATGCCGAGCTGGAGAGTATGGAAGCACGATCATGGAATGCCTACGTTACCTTCCTAAACCAGCTCCCTGTGTAGTGCAGAGTTCCCTTCCCTGGTGATACGCTACTCATTGTAGGGCGCGCCGGAAGGAAAAGGGCAGCTTTGTCATGATAGAGACATCCAAGGGTAACTGTGGGGCTTCTGGAGGTCATTCGACTTTTTTATAAGATTTACTCGCCGAGTTCGAGAGGTTGCTAGAGTCGGATCGATCGTGGTACTCAACGGTTAAAGGCATGGTCGATGTGGATGTACTGAAGGAGGCTCGGAAAAACTACGAGCGTGAGAGGGCACGTCTTCTGAGGTCATACTTTCACCTACGGAGCTCGTTCTCGAGCTTACCCACCATATTGTTTGATACATAGTACTCGTTGTGGCTCTTGTAGTGATCGTAAGGAGGGTGTCGACAAGGCTGGGCTCAATCCATCTATGGAGGATGATGAGGCCATGGACAGGTGTGACACCGACTCGCTATATACCAGTGTCTCCCGAGAGCTTTATCGATCGAATGCTGTACTCAGGGACCTCGATATCCTCTGGGGTACTCTCTTCAGGGCGTCTTAGGCATGTCAGTGCACAGTATGCGGCCGTTGTTCTCAGCCATTCATCGATCTTTGCGTTTTGAGTCTCGGAGTACTACAATAGGAGGCTCTCGGATTTGCCGCTACAGTTGTACTATGGCTGAACCGTCTACTCAAGCACCAGAGGTGGCCACACCGACGGCTGAGCCTCCTAAGGACGAGGTTCATTTCGCGCATCGTGCGAAGAAGTTAGTGCTGGATGCTGGTGCTATCATCAAACTACAGCGAGCTGACAACTTCGCTAAAGAGCTCTACACTACCCCGCGGATCCTGGGGGAGATCCGTGACAGACAGGCCCGTCAGCATCTGGCCAACTTGCCAGCCCAGCTCAAGGTCCGAAGTCCGGACACAGAGTCCATGAAGAGCGTCCAAGACTTTGCTAGGAAGACGGGCGACTTTGGATTCCTCTCTGTCAACGATATGGAGGTCATGGCCCTGGCTGTGATGCTGTATGGAGAGAGCGGTTGTGATAAGGAGCTCTGTAAGGCCCCGTCCATGGCGAGGTTCGAGGATGGTGGTAATAGGGAAGGGAGGCTAGTGGAGCTCCTCGGGACCGTATCGCGTATGTATAGTATAGTATGATATGTTGGCCGCTGTTGATGGGCGACGGATTGGCTGTAGTATTAGTCTCAGGTGACAAGGGGCGGAAGGCGTTCAGCTGGCGTCCTGAGGGAGAACAGGAAAAGTCTAGAGGCAACACCATGCTGGATACCACAGAGAGTAAGCTATGAACATCTGAAGGGGAACGCCGGGACGTTCTCTACTGTTAGGTACCGCAGCTCCTGTCACTGAAGCGTCGGTCGAGGGTGATGTGCAGAAAGATGAGGCTAATGACGATGATGAGGAGGAGGAGGAGGAAGGGGGATGGATCACGGCTACCAATTTCAAGAAGTAAAATGGTGCCATCTTCCTTGGTATGGTTGGTTCTTAAGGTACGCTCGTGACAACCATGAGTCGGCCACTAAGGATGGCGAGGAGGAGACCATATCGGAGGTCTCTATCATGTCGGCTGATTACAGTGTGCAGAACGTTATGATGCAGATGGGCGTCGATGTGAGGAAAGGAGACACTTCGTTGCTACTGCTCAGTCTTACTAGGTCCTGTCCTTCGGTGGATTCATGATCCGTTCAGTAAAGCTATGGGCTCTACTTTGTACTGCATGCCATACTGTTACTAGAGATACCTCCAAGGTAGTAGTAGTAGTAGTAGTAGGAGTACTTCCTGTTACTACTCGCTACACATGCCCCCACTGACAGGTTTTCTGCAGTAAGTGTGGTAACGACACGGTGTATCGAGTGCCTGTCTATGTTGACTCGGAAACACGAGAGCTAACAGTAACTAGGAGTCGTAGATGGGAGAAGATGACGTCAAAGAGGAACAAAGGATCGATGTGAGCCAATACTTCCTAGAGCACGTCGTCTCACCGCCTCCTCCTAGTTGGTCTATCCCGAAGAATCGTGGAGGCCGCCAGAGCAACCCTCTGATCCTTGCGGAGGATGAGCTCCTCATGTCCGGCCGAGACAAGGAGTATCGACGCAAATGCAACCAGTGAGCGTCATGACTCAAGGTCCCTCCTTGGGCACGTTCTCTGACTTAGGTTCGAGAAGGAGCGACAGCTGCATAACCCCTTTGCCTCGGACTCCCTCTATCAGGCTGATCCCCTTATGGGCTGGTGCGCTAGGAGTACCAACTCTAGGGGCAATGCCTTGCTGGGAGTAGGTCCTTCTCACCGATGCTGCTTTATAGTACTCTTACGTTTCAGGACTCCTCCAGCGCTCCGAGGGTGGAGGCAGGTTATGGTCGCCGAAACCCCAATCGAGGCAACTTCAAGCATACCAAGGGGAAGCGGAAATGAGTACTCTCTCCTTACCACTGTACAGCCGTTTCGGTTCCTACGTCTCACGCTCATCCCGATCATCTGTTGTGTTACTACCCCCTGTCAGCTGTACTGGGCCAGTGTAGGTTGCCCTATGTCGGCATCTACTTCGCAATCACTCTCTCACACGCATCGAGGGCCCATGGCCGCTCAGACGCCCCCGGGTCGACGGGACCGGCGGAGCGATGCTGATCTGCCTCTTTTGGGAGGGTATCCAATAGCTGAGGAATACGATAAGGGTGGGGGTGTTCTGTGGAGTTGAGCTCATGGCCGCGTAGGTGAGGAGGATTCTGGCGTGAGTAGTATCGCTTCCTTTGATACTTTGCGGGATGCGGTCAATGGTGAACTCCAGGATATGCACAGGGAGGTTGGCAAGGTACTACCCCTTACTGCCCCCTGGGGTATTGTCTCCGGTCCTAGGCCCGGCGGATGGTAACGGCCTCATCAGCATCCCCCAAAGAGGAGGAGAAGCGCATCCATGCTAGCATCAATAAGGTTCCTATACTGTGACGGAATGCTAGTGCACACACTCTAAAGGTGCGCCGTTCCGGAATAGCAGTACGGCAGATGCTGGACAGGATGAGGCAGCTAGCTGATGGGGAGGCTGCGGAGCAACTAGAGGAGCAGAGACTAAGAGACAGTCTCGGTAGAATTATTTTTCTTCTTGGGCATTTCCTATACCTTCCCATAGGCTCCCTCTTGTCATCACTTGACCAGCTACTCTCCTCGTTCCTCGTGTCGGAGGAGCGGACGCTGGAGAAGGAGCGGGTCAGGGCGGACGAGATTGATGAGGGCATCCGAGCGAACTCGCAGAAATACCGTATGTCCCTACTTCGTTTAGCGGGGTGTATCTTTGCTGACCGTCTCAGCGTCCTATGCCTCCACCTCTTACACTGGGATGGTCGAACCCATGGCCGACCACAGCCAACCCGTAGAGGACCCGACAGATGCCCTATTGCTGAGTATGGCTGAGTTGGACCTCCAAGTAGGTTGTCATTTATCAATAGTGTAATGGTGCTGTAGGAGGACATCATCCGTGAGCGAGAGGAGGGTATTAGGAACATACACTCGGACATAGTAGCTATCAGGGGCCTTTTCCAAGAGGTTGCTTGGCACGTATCGGAGCAAGGACAGGTCCTTACATCTCCTCTTTTTCTATGGTACAGTGAGCGCTATAGGTAATAGACAATATAGAGACCAATATGGGCCAGGCTGCTCATCGGACAGGGCAGGCTAATCGTGAGTTAGCCATAGCTAGTGAGAGAGTTCGGAAGAACATGTAGTAGTGTTGCGCGGCACTTACTGTGGGGTACGCCTCCCAGGTATTGGTACGTGTGCTACGTCCTGACAATAGTCATCATAGTGCTGCTCCTGTTCGTTCTAATCAAGAGCCTAGCCCCAATTGCTATTCGCTGACCATGCGTGTACTCCGCGATTCTGTAGCCTTAAATGTTTCCTTGCAACATTGCAGGTGAATTTTTTGAAGCACTGCTGTGGTTGTTGGGTTGGGAGGAATTGAGGGCGATATTGTATTATGCGGTTTTTCTATCAGTTTTGGAGCAGTAGTGTCCTTGTGATGCCCCAGGGTAACTCGCTACCATCTGGATGGAAGGAATACCACACTCCAGAGGGGAAGCCGTAGGACCATGGCGATGGCCCCGACCAGCATTGCTGAGAGCAGATACTATCACTGCGCTGCTAGAGGCATCACACAGTGGGAGAGGCCCACCGAGGGCGAGCCCCAGATGGGTGACCTTTTCCAGTCTGACGGGGAGAAGTCCAGTGGTGAGTACGCCGCTGGGAGCCTCTTGTGAATTTCAATCAATAACCTCAGATAGGCTTCTCCTTTGCTGTGGTGCATGTTGTGTGGATCGTCAGGGACTCCCGATTCGACTGCTAGTGCTCGAGACGATGCGTCGGCGGACATGCGACTGAACGATAGGCCGACTACTACCGCCACGGTGAACCTCTCTGGCACACCGCAGCAGAAGCAACAACAACAGGCACAACCTAGAAGTGGTAGAGACCGCCATCGCCTCCTGCGAGATTGGACTGTCTGAGTGGCAGATGCAATGGGTCGGGCCGTAGAGCAGTTTGAAATTGGCAATCCTAGGAGCGTGGTCAGCAATGCTGGCACGAGTCGGTGAGAATAGCCAGCAGCCCTTGTCGTCGGGCCTGTCCAGATCGGAGCCAGGTTCGGTCCTCCATCCTTCGCCTCCAACACCTTTCAGAGTTTGATCGGTGGGGCAGTAGGGGTTCTTGGTAGGTTCCAAGGCATGCGAGGCATTGGCCAATATTTCAAGGCCGATCCAGAGACCGTAGGGAGGCAGTGCACTCCTTGTCGACCATCTATGGCCATAGGTGTCTACCAGGCTACGACAGGGTGTGTCGATGGGGATGGGCAGTGGCACTAGTCGATCCCTTATGGAGCACCCTGATCTCGTCGGGCCCAGCATCATCCTACTCCTCTCGGTAGGCCTCGAGGTGGTTGGTCATTGGACTACTCACCTGTCAGGTCCTGGCCATGTCTATTGTGACGATGATCACCAATGTGTCCCTGTCCACTCCTGTAGCGGTCTTCATGTCTGGGTCTATGATAATGATATGTGGCATGACCGGCGTACCACTCCTCATCATCATCTTCCAGCGATACTTTGGCGCCACTGATCCCAGCTCGAGGTGCCCCCGTAGCTCCCTTGTCTATCCCCATCGTCCCTCCCCTCAGGTACTATGCCCCCTCCCTAGGAGCCCCTGTACCAGGCCCTGATGATGCCCAGCCTCTCGAGTACATACCTCTAGTCTCTGCTTACAGGTGAGTACAGTATGGTGGAGGGCCATCAGCCATTGACCCTAACAGTTACTCCTTGGCGCCAATGCCGTTGGCCACAATGGCCAGCCTATTCCTCGGCAACTTCTCCTTCCTGGCCGGCGCTGGTGCCAGTATTGCCTACCTCAACGTAGCCTTCTAATGCCGTGCCACCCCTCTATCTCTCATCATTCCCTCAGGCCCACCTCGGCCCCCCTCTGGCCAGCGCCTTCGGTCGTGGTCGAGTTGGTTCCCTCACCATCCTTGCTGGTACCATCATCCTGTATTGGCTGATTATGTCCCTCATGTGGTGATAGTAATGGCAACATTCCACGTCGTTTCTCTCCTCCGTGACCACACTCATAATGACCATTTGATGCTTACCTACAGGACCTCGCGTTTTCAATCAACGTGGCCCTTCCTGTCCAGCACATGCCAGTTTTTCGACCCCAACGATGTCCTCCGGCTCGTCTAGTGAGTCGCAGCTTCTGTTGTCGAGCTTTATAGACTCCTACCTCCCCCAGCTCAAACTCATGTTCTCGACGCTATCAGAGGCAGCGATCCAAGAGGAAGCGGCTGTGGCCCAGGAGGAGAGCACCACGGCAGAAGTCGACATTGAGAGAGTCCTACAGAGGCTCATTAAGAGGGCCAGTGCTGCCCAAAGCGAGTGAGCCGACCGTGAACGCCATGTGAGATCATGTTCCCTCCTGCCTTAGGGCTCCTATGGACTTGACCCTCTCCGAAGACCCTCCAGTTGAGGCAGAGTCGTGGCAGACGGACGTGGAGATTTTGGACGCATTGATGAGAATTGAAGATCCTTTACAGAGAAGTTTTGCCAGTAAAACGCTGGCTACTGTCGTGAGGAACATCGTGCTTCACGCGCCACAAAATTCGAAGTACTACACTCTGAAGCTGAGTAATGCCAAAGTCAACCGCCTCTACGACCTAGTCGGACCCCTCCTACTGCGGCTTGGCTTCGAAGAGGTCGAAGATGCAAACGGCAGTACTCTCCATTGGAACCACCAAGCCTCAGACCAGCATCTCATCGAGGCACACACTCTGCTGGAAAACGTCGTATCTTCGCCTCAAGAGTGGATCGGTGTGGCTCCTGATGTCTTCTCTGACGGGATGAAGTCGCTGCCATTATTACCATCAGTGGGGAATACGTCCGTTCCTTCGGGCTCGCGGTTTACCCCTGGTGGAAAACTCACTCGAGAAGCCATTGCGAAGCTCACAGAGGAGCGGTTGAAAAAGCAGGGTCGAGGAGGCGGCTGGGGCTCTGGGGTCCTGTACTCCAACAAAAACTGCAAACGTATGGTGCACGGCATCGGGGACCTAGAGGTGGACTCTGGCGCCACGCACTTTGCGGACGACTACCTTCGAATGATTCATGGTCCGACTCCAGCCGGTTCTATGGCGGAATTGACTCAGAGGTACTCAGCCGTTGAGTACCTGGGGAGGAAGATTGTGGACCTTTGCAACTCCGCGAGGTATGAGAACGGCAAGCTCCTTCGTCTACAGTGGCACGATGGGATTGCTGCCGTGGCTCGGACTCATGCGGAAAAGATGGCCTCAGGGGAGGCGCCTTTCTCCCATGATGGTTTCGATGCTCGGTGTCGTCAGCTACCTATTGCTTATCAAAGTGCTGGTGAGAACCTGGCGTACAGCAAGGGGGTCGCTGATGGTGCCGCCACTACTGTCAAAGGCTGGATGAACAGTCCAGGGCACCGGAAGAATCTTCTCACACCAGGGTTCACCCATTGCGGGGTAGGGTGTGCGTATGCTCGAGATGGCTCGCTGTGGGTGACGCAGCTTCTAGTGAGTGCACGATGACTTCAATGTTTTTTTATCAGAAACTACGCCAAAATTCACTCGTTGTAAATTACTTCTGAGGTGCGTTTTTGTTGAGTTTGAGGCTGGAAAACGACAGTTTGAGGTCCCTCGGTTGTGGGGACTCGCCGCTGGTTATGGTCAATGAGCTCCTCACCACTGTGGGAGAATCGAGTCTTTTCTAGCCTTTTTGAATACCACATGCTTCAATCGCTGGATGTAGGTGCATGGTCACTTCAAGTGATCCGTGAGAGCCTCGCTGCCGACACCCTTCCCTCGGACTCGGCCGAGCCTTCCCCAGAGGCCAACGCTGAGCTCCGCAGGGATGGGGTCCTCTCTAAGGAGTGTCATGGTGACGATCAACTATTCGAGGTTTGCGTCGAATACTGCGGCCGCTACAACGACTGTTGCTACCCCACTGGCCTGGCCACTGTAGTGAAGGCCTGTCGGGGCATCATCGAGGAGGACCCCTCGATGCACCTCATGCTGCTTATCCGTTGTATAACACATCACCTATGTCGTCATCCCAAGATCAGCCTCGTTCGAGCCGTCATGGGCTACTTCAACGTACCCGATGAGAACACTGAGGCAATGGAGGAACTAGTTGTCACCGGCCTGGCATCGGCGTGCACGACGTGGAAGGCAGCTCTACGACTTTGGGCAAGCCTCATAGTCTCAGAGCAGTCGTCAGCCACGGTCCCTCTAGTAGCTGCTGCTTACGTGACCGAGTTCGGCGTTACAGCTGGGCTGGAGGCTGATGATGTAGGCAGACTATTGAGGAGCGCCGAGGCCTTCCGAGTTCCACAGACATTCGTGGCCCAGTGGGACGGTAGCTGCGATGGTGACGACGGGGCTGTCCTGATCGTCGATGCCAAGCTTGTCGCAACAGTATTGCAGGATGAATTTAAAAGGGACGTCCGAGGGAAGGAGGATGGGCAGGCCCTAGAGGGGCTCTTCGGGTACAGTTTAAGTGGTCATCCAATCTACGACACAGGGGCACCATCAACCAGCACTGACGGTCATCACTTCCTGCTCTTGGATGCCCGTGGTAGCGACTGTGTAGCTCGCTGTGAGTCCCAGCCTGTGGTTGAATCTTATTGGATCCAGCGGACCATCCAGCCCAAGCGACGCCCTACTCTGGTAAGCACCTCACTTGTCCCCTCGAGAATCATCTTGTCGCCCTCTTAGCCCACCGAGGACTGGATGAAGGAGCTGGACGAGCTCGATGATGATAATACGACAGCTGCAGCAGAGAGCAAGGGAAGTTCGGAGAAAGCTGCAGAGCCGAAGGTAGAGCACATCCGCAAGGAGCGGCCTGTGGTAGTGCATCGACTACGAGGCAAGTTCGCCAGCACAATAGATGGCGATGCTGATTACGGTAAGTAGAGATTTCTCGAGCGAACGCTTTGACTCGGCATGATGATGCTTTAGATGGTTCGACGACGCCAGAGAAGGATGCCCTCCTTGGGAAGCTGTCAGCAGATGCCTATTCTGACATGCACATCATCATCATCGGCGAAGGTAGGGCCTGGCCACGATGCTCAGTACCTCACAGCTCGGATCAGGGCCTGCCCCCGACCCCCGCTCTTCCGTCATGTTGCGCTGTTTGGCGTCTATCAAGCACGTCAGTGTACTACGAGGAGGTTGGCCCGAATTGATAGCGGCACTGTGCGATTTGGACAACTCTGAAGAGTTCCTCAACTGGGTAGCCTTCTGCAGCCCTTATACGGCGAAGACGAGTAACGAACCCAGCCTGTTGCTGTTGTACTTTTATCCCTTTCCATGGCAGTCCCTAACCGTCGCTCGGCATCTCAATCAAGTGCCACTAGCGCTTTGCTCAAGCCAGAAACGCTAGAGAGCCTACAAGTGAATTGGGAGGAGTCCAAGAAGAATATGGCTAAGGGTTGGGATGCTTTCGGTCGGAGTGTACGTCTCAGTCGACGATGCCTCAATCGCTCATTGATAAGTTCATAGATGAGTAGCGCCTGGAAAGACCTCGGTGCCGCAGCACAGAAGCAGAAAGCAACAGCAGCTACTGCCGCTGCACGTCAACGCAACGCGGCCACGGCAGAGTCCCAGGGCCTGGCATCAGAGCCGACAGGAGCGCCTCCATCTGTAGGGATTGATCAGCTCATCGCGATGTACTCCGAGGCATCATTGCATTCAGAGTTTGAATTTCAACGCAGTGTTTACAGAACAGGACAAAGCCGCTATCACGGAGAACATGAATAAGGCCAAGGTGAGCAGGCAGCTCACGTTGAGTGTCATCTCGAGTGGCCTCCTACTGTGTAGAACGTCATGGCTGGATGGATAGCGAAAAGCGATAAGTTCATACACGAACAACAGGCTAAGCTGGCGAAGCAGCAAGAGGAGGCGAAGCGAGAAGAAGAGCGCAAGAAGGCGGAGACTGCCGCTATCATCGCGGCCATGCAAGGTGGGGGTATTTTAAGTTTGGTAGCTGCTGAGTGGTACTCAGGTGATGGCTCTTCAAGCAGCGGTGGTGGCAAGGAAGTAGGGCAGCAGGTGACGTCTGTGAGGCTAGGGAGCTTAGAGGCAGTTGTTGCCTTGTAGAGATCCCAGTCGAAGGGTGCCAATGCAGCAGCGTCGAGGAAAGCGAACGAAGAGGATGTTCTTTCGGAGGATGGAGACGATAATATCTTCGAGATCGGGGACGAGAGCTCTGATGATGAGAACGATGACGATCTGTTGGACGAGGGCTCTCCCAAGAAGGATAAGAATCAGTCATCCTCCGAGCAGGTAGCAGCTTTCTTCTCGTTTCCTATGCCATTCGTATTAACGTTATCAGTCCTGTTTACGAGATGCCAGCGTGATGGTCGGCAGCTTGCAACGACTACAGAAGGGCGATGTGATCTCTTGGAAGGATGACTTGATGCTGGCTGGAGCACGGAAGTTCTATTGCCAGAAGCTAACACACCAGTCTAGGCTGGACACGAAGAATGCTACCCCGCAGCCTGTTGAGACTACTGAACCCAAGAACTGGTGGAGCAATGCGAAGAAGTTCGCCTCCAGTCTGGCAGCACCGTTCGACCCAGTGGTCCCTGTCGACCGAGTCATTGTGCTTGTGCTCAACCAGCTGCTCATTTGCGAAGACCTGGGGGATTCCACGATGAAGGTTAAGAGCAATCACCGAGTGCAGCAGCTACAGCGAGTTAGCTTTGCTGAGGATCAGCCGGACAGGATATCTTTCTTGTATAGGGTAAGATGCATAACATGTCGCATTCGTGTAGCTCTCCCTCAGAACTCCCCTAAATACAACACTTACAAGTTGTTACCGATGCAGGGGTCTGCCGATAAGTCCACAAACGAGCAATTGATGGCGTGTCTAAAACAGCGACTCAGCAGCCTTAATGTTGGCATGCGGTTAACCGTCACTGATGGCCCGCCTGCCCGTCCTCAAGTGCCCCAAGCAGAAGGGAAGAGCGATCGCGGAGTCGACCATGATTTGCTCGACTGAAGATCTCCCTTCTATGATACAACAGTTGGCCATTTTAATCTGCTTTCCATTTGAAGCATCTATTTTGCGTTTTGCCAATTGAAATGAGCTACTCAGTGCCACATGACCTGAGGTGACTTGGCCAACCCGACCAGTCATTATGTAGAACTTCTCACACACAATGAGAAAGGATAGAGTCAACAACCTCATACAAGACAATAAAAAGTACCAAATCATGCTTGTGTTAATAATGCGCATCGCCCACGGATTGATGATCCAAGGCCACATGCACGTATCCTCGTTCTAACTGTCACGTTATAGAGAAGGGTATTGTAGCACTGAGCCTGACGGCATGTTCGGGAGTATCGCGAATTTAGCTCCAAGTTTTGGAGATGTACTGAACTTACGGATATGAGTGGCGTACCGCATTCTTTCCAAAAGTGCTGCCTGCTACCAACTAGGCGAACCCAATTCCCAGGGATGAGAGAAAATTAACGGCCAACACCATCAACATCCATTGTAACAAGCTCCTCAAGTACTTCCTCCAAGCCTTTCTCCTCCCCTTCCACGTCAGTCCGCTGTCCCCTCAAGGCCATGAGCTCCTGCCTCACAACGCTAAGCCCCACAGTATACACTAGGTCAGCCACTTGGTCCAGCAACCACAGAGGGACTGGGGCCTGACCCCCTGTTCTGTATTGGAAAACTCGTATAATGCCCAACGCCTGCAGTATGGCTGGCTTCACCATCCTCCTTCTCGTGTAAAGTCGCAGCAGCTTAGCCGAGGCCCTGGGGCAAAACCCGTGGGCCTGAATCATTCGACAGGCCAATTCTAAGGCCGCGTCACCACTTTGTAACCTCTCTGCCAAGCCAGCCAGGTAACACCACATCTCACAGCTCTTCCGAGGGACGGCCTCCCCACCGACTATCTCCTGTTGCCACTTGATGGACTCATTCAAGTCTACGAACAGTCGACGAAAGAGGCCCTCCAAGGCCTTACTACACAGGCGCTTTCTGAAGGTCGTCCGTCCTGTTGCAGTCAGGGGCAGGTGCTGGCCTTCCGTATTGCCCGACAAACTACGTGTTCTACCACTGAGTCTCTGCTGCCTCTGTCGATACACCTCCCTCAGGTCCACGCCTTGGGCACCCTCAGCACCACCAGCAGTAGTATCATCGTCCATAATAAAAACGCGGCTCCGAGCCACTATAAGGGAGTCCCAGCCTATGTCTTGACATATCCCTACTAGGACACTATACATCCTCGCCTCGTACTGAGTCATCTGGCCATGCTCCCCCACTGCCATACCACTGTCCTCGACAGGCCTCTGCCTCTCATCCAGTTCAGGATTCAAGCCTACCCCTGGACCAAGCACTATCCGGTCCTTCTCGTCTAAGCCGCGGCCCCGCTGCTGCCTCGGTAGCATCTCGTAGGTCGGGGTCTGCCTTATAGGATCATGGCACAAATATCCAGTGATTGGGTCGGTGCCACTCCCATGCTTCTTGTCAGGAACGGTCTGTTGGCAACGGCTCACATCGGGGATGCCCAAACTCCATGGAAGAGTCTCATCGCCAGGCCATGCCACTTCACGATCTTCCTCTATAGGGAAGTTGTTGAGAGCCATAAGGGCTTGCTCGAAGTTGAGTGTCCGCCTATAAGCCTCGGCCAGGGTAGCCCAGACCTTGGGATCCATCGGTATGGACTCAGTGGCGAGGCGTGCTGCGGTGATAGCTAGCTCCCAGGCAACGGGGTCGTCGGGTATGGCGAGCAACGTCTTCGCCTGGTAATGGAGGACATGCCCATCTGCTGGTATTTCATGGAGGCATCGAGCCAAGGTCGACATACAGGCATCCAACCGACCTGAACAGTCTTGCTGATACCAAAGACCCCAAGCCTACTCTAACTACCCATTCTGCGGTAGCTCCGGGCGATGTGGATCATGACATGCGGGACGGCACTCTGGAGTGAATTGAATACCTCGGGACAGAGCCGTAGTCGCCTGATTGGATATAGCCTCTCTCCGCAGAAGGCCACACATGAGCAGCCAAATGGATCGGTCGTGGACTTCTGATAGCATTATACTCACCTGCTCCTCACAAAACCATCGGCAATGACCTCGGTGACTATGGTAGTCCCGAGACGTCCTACATCTCCTTCCTCCTCATGGGCGTATATATCAGTGGGGGAGAGGGAGCCAGAGGGTCCAGCGAACGAGGAGTTTGCTGTGATGAACTTGGAGGCTAGGCTGATGAAGTTTGGTAGTATCTGCTGCCATTCCAGTCTCCTATCCAATGCCCAGTACCAGCAGTTACCTCAGCGTTACCCAGATTGCCCCGAATAGGACATACGACGCCCACGACCAAGCCCGGCACGATGGGGGGTTTGATTGACCTCAACCAGGACGATAGCTGAACGCCCTGAGGAGTAATGCCGGCTGGAGGTGCTACCACTGGCGGTGGCCTACCGCCCTCACTACCTCACCTCCCAAATCGATCTGCCTATCTCTTCAACGGTGTTACCATCAGTGTCGACCATGACAGCCCGTACAGCTGGATAACCACCAGGCCGGACCTTGTGGAGAAGGACTAACTCATACCACTCCTTTCCCAAATGATACTCACCTCTACCCGAACATCGCACTGATGGAAGATGTCCCAGGAGCAATAGATGCCGGACTCAATCTTAAAGGCCGAACCAGCGAGGAATCCAACACCCTCCTGAGACGTTATTCTCAGTCAATGATGACCTCTCAGGGCTACCTGTCGAGATATCAAGTTTGATATGTAACCTGATATCGCCGAGGCGCTGCCCACGTCAATCCCGACCACGTAATGGAAGTAACTCGGCCGCCCCTTCTTATCCGCACTCTTCCTACTGCCCTTCGGTATCTGTCAAACCTGCTCGCCAAGCCGTGTATTATATTCACATCACCTTGGTTAGTCTACAGAGGTCCGGCGGCCCAAGCCCTAGATACCCCGGCATGGCATGGGTTCTAGCCTCGAGGGAATTCACTCCTGCCACCTCTATGATTTCCTGCAGACCGCTAGCAGCCTCGGACATCACTACTCACACCAGTGGCAACCTATGGGATAACCTACCGATTCGTTTATGATGAGCCGCGATGCCTATGATGCCCATCGACTGACCAACACAAGAGGAGGTGTTTCGGAGGAGGATAAGAAGAAGTAAAAATGGTGGCAAATATTATGTTAGGTAATCGCGATGCGGCGTGAGAATAGTTAAGATGCAAATAAAAGAGGGCTAGCTGAGGTGAAAGCTAGCTGGGTCCCTAGCTGGGTCCCTACAGGGCGTTGTGAGCCTAACCAAGCCATGTGGAGCTACTTGGACTGTAGCACACGGTCTGCAATCGAGCACTGTAGTAAAAGAATATTAGAAACCGAATGACGGGTTTTACAACGCAGAAAGCCACGACGGCTCAGTAAATGACGACCAACAGAAAGATAGCGATCATCACCGTCGCGACAGAGCCGAACCCCCTGCACCACTTGAATGCTCGTACGCCCTTCGACTCTTCTGTCTAGCAGCGAACTCCTCAGGGGTTTCGTCATCCTCTGGCACCATTAACGTCTGTGGATATTGAACCACACGTGCTCGACCATCTAAGCCGTAATATACCTCCCCTGCTGCAGTACCACGCTCCTCTCCATTATCATCATCATCATCGCCAGAGGCTAGGTCAAACATATCCTTCATTGCATAACTAGGCCTATAATACCCTCCTATCCATCCTGGGTTATGCCTACCGCCACGTCCCCATTTATTGACGATATGATACCCACGAGGAGGGCCAACCCTGCTGCTGGCCCCCGCAGACAAGGGCTTCGATGCAAAGCCCGAGTGCAGACCAGGATGATGACCCCCATCTGCGCTGAATGAACTCGGATTGGCTCCCCTCACGACAAACCTATCAAACTGGAGCTGCTGTCTAGGGCCACTATCGCGACCACCGTTGAGCCCACGCTTATTGCCGAAGCCCCTCAATGGAGACCCTTTGGTAGGTGACGATGGCCCCTTGTCTGAAGCTATCAAAGAGTGCAAAGGATGGCCTTCGTCGATGGGCAGCCCGTACGTCCTTGCCGTGTGATGGACGCTATTCAGCTGTTGCTGCAGAGCAATGAGATCACCACTGCCTGCAGCAGCCCCTTTGGAGTATATGCCACGGAAGCAAACCACAAAGTGGGCAGCCACAACCATAATCGCCAGAGAGGATAGAGTGAGAGCAGCCCAATGCTGCCAGGCGTCGAGCCGTTTCTCGGCCAATGTCCCGAACTTGACATATGTTATCCTGGCGGGTTGCAACCTAATCCAAGGTATACCATCGGATGCCGCATCATCAACCGACTCCATACTAACAAAGGGTATGGAGTCCGTCTCGCCAACACTATGAGTCCCATTCGAGCCAGGAGCGGCCAATTCGATTCGCTCTGTAACTACTCCATCATCAGCTGAGGGCCGCCGCATCTGCTGTCCTTGGCCGAGACAACACAATGCCAAAAACATAGCATAATAGCATGATGATCTCCGCATAACCCGGGAACTCCGATGATGATGGTGATAGCGTGGAGACATTCAGTGCCTTCAATGACACACGAGACGATAAGGCTGAGACGATACGATACAGCAACACACTACTTTCCGACCGGCACAGTCTTCCCCTGAGAAATTACCCCGATTATTACACAACATGCCCTGACAACATCACTGGTGAAACCTGTACATTGCTATACTCCCTTGAACGTATACGATGGGAGGACCACAGTAGGAAAACGAGTGACAGAATCGCAATTACACTAACAGTATCTACTCTGTGGAATCCTTAGCATAGAAAACAATGACAGCCCTGCCAGGGGCACCGGTAGCCCTTCGGTTGTTCTTGTCTATTGCCGAGTCCTCAGCAGCATCCCTCACCTCAACTTCACCAGGCAAACCCAGCTGCTTCTTGATGAGCCCTAACAGTGAAGCGACATAACAGTGATACTGCTTCCACTTCATCACTATCCCAACCATAGTGAGGACTTACCCTTCTGATCCTCGATCATCCTGGTCTCATCGAAGGGCAACGTGAGGGCCAATGCAGCCTTGCCCTTGGTCCTCACTTCAGTCTGCATATGGAAAGGGGCGAACTTCATGGCCATACCCTTCTCCTGCTTTGACAGGACCTTGATGAGAGGATGGTCCTTGAAGAAGTTACCCATAAACTTCTTGTCGACCTGCAACAGCCCGAGTCTACCACTACTCATAATAACAGCGTAACACCGCGTACCGGCTCATTATTCTCATCGAGCTCGACTTCACTGAGCACCTTCAGACAAGTCTGCTGGAAAGGCTTGTACTCCTTCGTGACATAGATCACAGCATCTGACCATGACCACCGCTCGACGCACCCCAACCATCTCACTACCCACCAGTAGGAGCAACGGGCGCAGGACCCTTCTTCTTGGGCTGCATATGCTTCTGGAGCTCCAGACGGAACTCACGAAGATTGGACTGCAGCATATTATACTGTCGGCCTGCAACACATATCATAATGAACATAAGTACAAGATCAACTCACCAAGGGACTCATCGAAAGGAGCATCAACCTCAGGCCACAACTGCTGGACGGCCAGACCCTGAGAGCACCTCATACTCACCATGCTAACACTATGTATTCACCCTACCTCCTTATGTAGTATATCGCTCCAAATGTGCTCACAGAAGTGGGGGGTGATGGGGACCATTACCAAAGCCTGGACCTCGATGTAACGCCTCAATAGGTCACGATGCATAGAGCCATCGGTTAGGACACGGTATTGGTCCCTAATACCAACCATTACCCGAAAGATCTGTATGCAGTGATGACCAACCTGAGGTTCTGCATGTCGAACCAGCCAGCCTTGAGTGCGTCCCTCATCATCATCTTGGAGTATCCAGCATCAGCCTCCTTAATGAGCCTATTCAACTCGTTGGCAAAGCACTTGTCCACGAATGTATATTCTCCTGAGGCACTTCCGATATAGATCAATACCCACCGTAGTCATTACCATCACGTTCCTTGGCGAGCTCAATAGGGCTAGTCGTGACCTCTGTAGCCCAGTTATCAAATGTGGTGAGGGCGAGGATACTGTCGTTAGCAGTCTTCCTCTTGAAGTTGGCATTCTCAAGCCCATCACCTATACAGGGACAGAGAGTACTTCTGATCCAAGACTTCATACCATACCAGCATCAGCCAAGGCCAGACGAGTCGCATCAGCCGAGAACTCCCCGCAGGCCTGGTCAAGCGTGAGGAAGTTGCCGCGAGACTTCGACATCTTCTCATCATCCACCATCACATGTCCATTGGTGAAGAAGGCCTCAGGCCAAAGGTCCGGACTAGCACCAAAGGCATCTCACACAGTCAAGCTCACTACGATGCCTACCGATCCTCCCAAATAGCTGCATGGCTGTACAAGCACATGGTCAAGTGATTGGGTATTAAGTCCTTACCACTACACCTCAGACTCATAGGGTACCTACCCATTCACCGACTCCTATACACTGAGTTCACCCGCTGTAAGCCTTACCAGTAGTTGAACTCCCTCTTAAGCTTATCGAGACTCTCGCGAGAGATAGCAGAGTCCGCTGGGGGCTCATCAGCGAGGTCGAAGATATAGTCGAACACAGCATCAGTCATCTGCTCAGCGTCAATACCAAGAGGATGCTCACCCGAGCCATCAAGAACACCTAATACCAAGACTACATCACTCGCCAAGCCTGAATACACCAAACCTCCTTGCAGTAGATGAGCAATGGTGTAGTAGGCCATGTAGATAGTGGAGTCCGACAGACTCTCGATGATCCATCGCTTATCCCATGGTAGGCGGGTACCAAGACCAAAGTTGCGAGAGCACGCCCTGAAACCGAGGCAAACCAACCATCAGTGGCAACAGCGAACCCTTTACAGAGCCACCTCCTACCAATTCTTCAACCACTCAATAGCGCTGATCTGCTGATTCAAACTGCTAGGGTTGAACGTCTCGAAATGATTCTGGATTTAGCCAGGAATGTCAGCTACAGGAGCAATAGCTACCCTTACCTGCACATGGTCGAGGACCTTGTTCTTCCACTCCTCCTCACCATATCGTATGTACCATTGATCACAATAGGCAACAACACATTCATCACCAGACCTGAGCCGTCACATATCAGATCACAGTGGAAGGATCAATGATCACCTGCTGACCACCAGTCCCTCGGGCTCGTAGTATTTGATGGCCAAACCGGCATCGATGAGGTCCTTACGCACCAAGGGCTTGGCCTCTTGCACTGTCTTCCCAGCATAAGGACCTAGCCAAGGGAAGTGCAAGCGATAAGGGACTAATGAACGGCTTAGTACCGATGATCATTTTGCCCTGGTAAAAGCCCTTGTTGTAGCACAGCTTCTTCGCCTCTGTGAGCTTATCCTTTTGCTTATGGGAATCGATCTTCATAGACTCGCACAGATATACTGCAGCCTCATCACCCCACTCTGGCATGTCTTCAATACGGATAATTGGGACGACCTGAAGTAAGGGAGATACTCACTGCTAGACGCCAATGAACGGTCACGCTCACCTCAAAGGGCACACACCACTCCTCCTTAACTCCGTACTGGTCACGCCAGTTCTGCCTCGTCTTCCAGTCCTTCAGAGCCGCATAATCATCCGGAGCATCGGCAGGGACAGACGTCACAATGCCAGTACCCTTGCCCTACACCCAAAGAAGATTCTTCCAAGCCATCATCGACGCTACTCACCATGCTGATAGTCAGGAGGGGCAGGGCGTAGACGGTCGAGTACTTGGCAAGAGGGGCGCTCAACGGCGTACCAAGAAGGTCCGAGCCCTTCACGGTAGCCAACTGGACTGGGCAATCTTCTCCTGAACAGGTCAAATGGATACACAGGTTGAGTCCATGAGATCCCTACCATCCTCATTCTTGGTCTTCGGTCCTAGCTCCTGCATGACCATATTCAACGCCGATCTATAGCTGCAGATGAACGCCTGGAGACGAGAAAAGAGACATCCCTACTACCGCCAGCGTAACTATCACTCACCTCTCCGTTGTTCATCTGGAAGATACCGTATTGTGCTGTAGGCAGTACAAAGCAGTTGGTCTGACCGTACATGGTCTCAGGTCTCAAGGTGGCGGCCACAAAGAAAACCTTATTGTCACCTAAGACGACAGGACAAGATACCCTAGACATACCACAGTGGACAGCGCTACCAGTGTTCCACTCAGGCTTCACTTCTTGTACACCCATCTTGATAAGAGTGTACTCCTGAGGGTTCACTCCTTCTCCAGAGGCCCTATCATGATCAGCACAGGGTTGGCCATCACCTAACACAGTCGCCACCGTGTACAATCCTTCTACCACCCTCCTTACGAATGGAATAGATAGTAGGGCGGTTGCCGAAAGCCAGGCGGTTGCCGGCCTTCAAATGACGGAATTGCCACTGCACGAAGGCATCCTGAGTGATGAAGGGCATTTCCAACAGACACCATGACGGGTAGACTTACAAAGAAGGGGTTGGCGTCAGTAGTGATGAAGCTACGCCTCCAATCAACAGCAACACCAAAACGCTTGAGATCACGCTGGCCCAGAGGAGGGAAGTACTCCAACCAATGCTGGGGCTCGCAAAACTGAGAATGCCAATGAGGACCAACACTGAGGATCTTTTAACCCACCTTAGGGATCTCCTCATCCGGAATCCCCATGCTCTTCAATATTTCAATTTGGCTCAGGCCGCCGGTCTTTGCCTTCGTCTTAGACTTCTTCGAGTGGAAAATACCCACTGCTTTCCGCTCCAGCGAGGCTGCCGCACCTAATGATTCACCATCCCACGAAGCCCACCAAAAGCGGTCTTCCACTTTCACTAGAGGTCTGCTGCCCCTGCTCGGAGCTCTCGGGATCACTGGCCTCATCTTCGCTCTCCAATGCATGGGCCAACTCTCTCTTGAGGTTACCTATCTCACAACACCAGTTGGCCACTTCCAATGCACACAGACCTCGTACCAGCAGCAGCTTGGATAGGCATACCAGTACAGTGGAAACCGAACGGGAAGAGTGCCTGAAAGCCAACACTGTAGGTCGAGAGTAGACACTCAAAGTGTTCACATCCTTGGCCCCATTATTACATTCTTGCCCTTCAGCGACTGATAACGGACAGCGAACTCAGCCTTGGTGAGTGAGAAGGCATGACCAAGATGCAACATTCCGTTCATATAAGGGATAGCAAATGTGACCATAAAGTGTTCCTAAGGACAACAACTATCACCATCCCTGCTCTCCTCAAGGCCTCATCTCTACTACCGGACCATCGCCCTCCTCGGGTGCATTCCGCTCATACACGTGGGCATCCTCCCACTTCTTTTGGGCTGTCAATTCGTATTCAACGAGTTTGTCTCGTCGAGTAAAATTGCCTGAAATCACATCAAGCTCAACCGTACCCTTTTCCCACCTCGAATATCCCCATCGCTATACATCTATTCACGCTAGCTATGCACTCAAAGACGCCTCCTGCGTCACCAGAGCTTACCCATTCCAATTCACCTTATTACCAGTTTGATTTTCAGCAGTAGCCATAATCTCAGGTACTAGGAAACAGTTCTTGATAAGATGCACACAACGGCGGAAGGAACGTGGACCGAGCGCGGGAATCGTTCAAGGTACAAGGCTGTCGTCATCACTGCTGTCGATTGACCGTTGAGGAATCGCAAGTGAGCAAGATTCATACTCATTCACTGCAGCAGATGAGCAACGATAGTGACAATGACCCCTCTATTAGTGCATAATTTCTTCCAGAGTATCTCCTGTGTGGTATAAATGGACAGAATAGGAAAGTACCTGTTAGAACCACGGGCAGCATTAACACTATCAACCCAAAACACGAGGATGATGGTCGAACTGTTGGTTGGCGAAAAGGGTAGTTAATGATATCTTCAAAGTTAGCAGAGCACTCCACTGCCACTGGCCCCACCACTAGAGGGTAATTAACCCCAATGGCCCCGACAGGCAACAACAACGATGCATAAAAACATCCAGGAATGTTCTAGGGTGAAATTATGTACTGTAGATCGTCCTTGTCGTTGCTGCTTATAAACTAGTGATCTTCAGCCAAAAACACTTCATCGTCATAATGGAATCAAAAAGCAAGTGTAGGGACGATGAATGGTAAATCGACATTGTCAATAGTAGTGAGGACGAGGCCCTACTAAATGCGACCAGAAGCGGCGATCAACGCCGATATTTCATCGGGAGACATGCCCACAACTTGGAGGTTTCCCAGCCTTGCAGAATATTATCATTAGCAACGAAGTGTGGAGTAGATGTCCGGAAAATGTTAAATAGCAAAGAACGTACGGGAACATGTACATACGATGTAAACGACTAGTATCAATGTTATTGTGGTTCATGTAAGAAGCCTGACTACTCTCGCTTGGGAACTGGGGTCTGCAGAACTCCTTCAGCCATCGACCTACACACATAACCAACCCTTTACACTGACGTTCCACCTAGTCATACTAGACCCACCTCGGTAGCGCAGCAGAAAATGGTGTCAACCCCAAGGCCGTACCAGGACTCACCAATGGTAACGGTGATAACACTAGCTGCTGCGGGGCCATGTACAACTACACGACGTAATGCCAATCCAAGAGAGAACAGCTTCCCTACATAGTTATCACCAGCTCCTCGCTGACCCTGCTGCATCATCGCACCTTGACTAGAACCCGCAACGTCAACAGAAAGGCCCATGCCAAGGTCCGCCAAACGAGAGCTCTTCGAGTTACCAACGGATCGTGATGAAAGAGTGGGAACACTATTGTCCTTTGCAGAGGATGGCATTCCCAAGGATGCTCCCTCTCGACTCTCAGCCTAAAGAGCATCACAGTCCATCCACCACTCGCCCCCATACCACTCCTTACGTAATAATTCCCTGCTGCCTGGGAGAATATATTGGACTGTGTATCATTCTCCGACATACCCGGTGGCTGAGAGAGTCAAGTAACTTTGAATATGCATGAGTAGTGGCAAGCTCACTGGCCCGGCAAGGATTCCAGTATCGTCTGCAGCATTGCTATCCCCTACTATGTCCTTTTCCAATGGTACAGGAGTCGATGGACACTGGATGATTTCTGGTCGTATAAGAGTTACCTGTATCCACTACTGCCTTCAAGACCATCCACAGTCACTGCCCTACCTTCCCGCTAGCCCTCTGACCTTCTATGAGGAAGTCCTTGGGGAAACGTAAGAGCAGTTGGCCAAGCCGAGTTCGGTTGAGCTTAAGGAACATCCTAAACAAGTAAGGGTCGATCCAAGAAGCGTATCCCTCCCTTACCGAGATTGTGCCGAGATACGTGTGCCTAGTTCGGACAAGAGGAGCTGCCTTGCGGAGCCACCTGCTGTCAGTAGTAAAAATGAAACCTAAGGCGGACGATCATCATCCCCCATCTCATACTCCCTACAACATCACTACCTCTTTGATGAGGGCAGCCAGTTGTGGTGATGCACTCAGCGTTTCCATGTTCAATACACCACGTTTCGGCTGGGTTTGGCCTACACCACTATAACTGTCCCTTACCATTCGACATGGGCAGCAGCCCACCTGGTCCCACTATCGGCCTGGCCAGCCCACCTTGCGACATTCCCGGTGATATCCCTCCCCCACCGCCTGCCGCAGCTGCATGGGCAGCTTGTAAGCGTATCGCCTAAGACCCACCAGTCAACTTGGTATGCGTCTCTATGATGATACTACCACTACCACTACTGCTACTACTGCTGCTATTACTACTACCTGTTGTATTGTCTGCTGTGGTGGTAGCGGGGAGGCCAACACTCCCCCACCCTGTGCTGCCATCATGCTACTACTACTACCTCCCTGCATGAACTGACTATTCGACAAGGGAGACGCCAAGACCTGCGTAACACATCCCCCTCCCACTTTATACAACTCCAAATACTACGGCTTGTTGTTGTTGTTGCTGGAAGGCTAGAGGGGACTGTACTTGCTGGCCAGTCAGAGTCCCTTGGCTTTGCAATAATGCAGCCATCTTCTCCACAGAGCCCGTATACACTAGAATGTCAGTACCCGTGACCAGCGTCAGATCGCCCTCAGAAGCAGATATGAGGTCGCTCTGAGTGACCTAAACACCATCAAATGAGATAAGGACCATAGGAGGCACATTATACTTGTTGTTGTCGAACCAGGTCCTTGCTAGTAGGACTGAGTAGCGGTAGCAGCTGGGCCAAGGAGGCACACATCCATGGCGTGTTGGCGAGTAACAAGACAAGCTCATTCACCAGGTCATCCAGCTGACAGGGGTTCAATCGTTGCAGGAATAGACAATGTAAAAGTTTCTACCAGAGTACTGCGGGAGGCCTCCCCACTGATATCAAAGCCAGCTTGCACAGGCATCGTAGCCTGCTCCGGAACCGTCGTCAAAGAGGAGCGTGTCATCCTAACAACCTCCAATAGTACTCTATAGTTGCCTTGTAATACTACCACCTTCCTGATGAATGCTTAGTGACAGGCAGAGACAGGCCGCCGACGCTTTTTGATGGCCCTTCGTCCGCTGGGCCGGCAGCAGCAGCAGATCTCCCAATAGCCGAGGTATGAGGTGAGTCACTACTACTCTCGCCTAGGGCTTCCTCATCACTGGAGGGCTCACTCAGTTGCACGAGTAGGTCCTGTATCAAATACTGTCGGGTAATGCCATGCAAGGCTACCTACCATGGCCCCAGGGGTAGAGCCTATCCACCGTGAAATCGGGTCCATACAGGTTCTCTCCCCATCCTCCTTCTCTTCAGCCTCGATCCTCCCTACACCATGGAGATCGAGCCACAGTAGCCTTCCCCTTCACTACCTTTATACTGCTCCAAGAGTTTAGCAGAGAGGGCAGATAACAGGGCTCGCTGCTTCGGCGTTAATGATGGCTGCTCCGACATGGTCATCCACTGATGACAAAATAAACACTACTTGATATTAGTCAGAATTGGAGAAACTGTGACCAACCCATGCGTACAATAGTAGGAAATAGTTCAAAGCACGACACGGCGAACGATCTCATGGTGCGTCCTGATTCGAGAATCTGAGACCATGATTTGACTCGCCCTGTAAATCTGACTCAAGATTCAATCCACAACCGGATTCAAATTCTTTGCTCAAGAGGAAGATTCGGGAGTTCAAAACAAGCTCAGAGTATAACATCAGCTCGGGAGTCGATGCTCGGAATCTGGATTCGTAGACATCGAGATTGATTTCGATGACGCGAGATACTTCTACCAAACTTGCAATCCGTTACATTCAAGATTAAACTCGTGATGCAAAAGGTCCAGTTTCAACATGGGGATCATCCTTCACTCTGTACCAGGAGTCCGGGGCCCCACTATGAAACCCTCACTGATTCGCGACCTTGGTCGGCGTGCACCCATGGTAGAGCCCTCTAACAGGGGGCCTCTACCAGGTGATAAAACCAGTCGGAACACGCATGGATCCTTAGGCTAGAGCGCGTGAGACAAGATCATTGACCATTTTGCTTGCGGGAATGTTCACTGCACGCGTGGTATGATGTTGCGCTCCAACCACACGGCGTACGCGTGCGTGCACAGTGTTGCCGGTGTTACTAGCATAGTGGGGAATGTCTGCTACTCTGCTATTTCGGGCTAAAGGTGTTGTTCAAACCTAGCTCTGTGAAATCCCCATTATTCTAGCGCGTGCGATAACCTACCAGTCGAGGTCTGTAGTAAGATGGTTAGCCAAGTTGACTCTGACGCTTGAGCGAACATACTGGGAAGTTTCAAGTGTGGATGTGCACACGTGCGGGGAAAGATTCCTCTTGGAAAGTTATGTCGTTGATGTAGTAGAGTGGGAGGTACTCATGGGTGAGAAGCATGAGTCTCAGGTTCAATTATCACACTGCGACCTTTTCTCTCTTTTCTGAACTTATTGACTTTTAGTTGCCGGGGGTAGCGACTAGATTCAGGAACATCTGATCCAGACCGTGATAGCCAGAAACTCGAAAATACTCAGATTCAACGCAGCCATCCGCAAGTATTCAGCTTCGTCATCAAGATGTATCTCATAAGATTTTTTCAATCACAATTATTGTTTCTTGAATCGGGGCGGAGATTCATAGCTCATCACGATGATCGCCTGACTCCTTGGTCTTGCGTAACAACCAGCTAATCAGGGGTTAATTCTCACCCCTCTCTAGGTTGTTCACTGAGCGACTAACACTCTGACTCACCCCCCGAATCAGGATCCATATACGGCCCTTGAAGTGAGGTCCAGAGAATAGTGTCGTTGTCGCTATAATGATTGATTCTGAATAGACTCGGAGAGACCATTAGACTACTCAGCCAGCGAGGCCCTCAATAGTACTGGTATTTGTAACACCTCTGCGTCGTTGCGTTGGAGAGTTGGTTTATGAGTCTTGTGAGAAGGAGCATCAACTTTCTTAGGGATGTTTGGCAGCAGTAGGTCATGCCTCCATCGGCCACTGTCTGCTTCCGTAATGATCGATTCGATGGGAGATGTGTGACGCCTTTAGAGTCGACTCCTGGTACCACCACAGTCGATAATGGGGATGACGATGGCCCTGGGTTCAGGAAGATACTGTAATAACACCCATGTGGTGGGGGGAGGGAAGCACAGTATGATAGGTATGAGCCGCAGTCTTACCCAGACAACTACTGCAGTCGAGAGGCATTCCTCAGCAGCCTACGTATGAACACTAACCTAAGGCGATACAGGTATTGGCCTTTGGTTGCCAAGACCGCCTGCATTGCCCAGCACTTGTCGGTAAAAACTGCTAGAGGCCCTGCACTGGGTATGCCCTCTGTAGGTGATAGCAATATTCGTAATAGTCTGGCTGTGGCTCCGAGCTGAGGCCATAAAGCCCCCAGCCCTGCTTGTGGCTGACGTGGCTCTCCTACTGTTGGGATACTCCTGCAGGTAGTAGACATATCTCCTCAGCCTTTTGTCTACTCCTATCATGCAGGTCGGCACTACTCCGGCATGCTAGTGCCCAGCTTGTGGTATCTAATACACGTAATCGTAATAAGGGCGAGGCTTCGCTAAACTCTTGCATAGATCGTTTTCCTCCTAGTTGCTTACTATAAGAATATTCACGGTGGATCAACACACTATGCAGCTGAGGCAGCGTTTCGGTCCATCCACTCCTCCCAAAGGCAGCACAGGTTGAAGGTAGTCATACATGTGGCCATCCTCGCTGTACTGTATTCCAGGATGATCTTCTTTCCCCTTTACGCCCCTCTAGGCCGGTACGGACTCCCCAAAGTGAACAGCCCCAGTCGAGGAGTGTGCGCCTCCTCTCTGCACCGGCGGAGAGTCTACAGAGTCGCCACCAGTCTGAGGATCCACTCCTCACCGGCGTCGACTTGGGTATGGACTTAATCGTCGATGGTCGATGGGGATCATCTAGGATATTATAGGTTCCCTGCCTGAGTACTCCCTCCTGAGCAACCCCCCTACGGTCGTATCAGAGAGCATAAGATTCCGTGAGAGATTATGGGAGGACACCAAGTCGGCCTCACACGTATTTGGTAGTAGTCCGGGAGCATCGTATCGAGAGTAGTACGCTTGCTACTTTTGGGTGTATCGATATGGTCGATGGGAGGAGTTACTGTTAGGCACATTATGGGTCCTGAGTCCGATACTGCAGACTCTTACTTCCTCCTGGAGTGAGGATACCATCATAGCAGTTGCCGTTATCCTCCTAGTGGTACGTAGCATTCCTCTCCTTTCCTCTCAAGCCCCCAGTCCATTAGATCCATGCCCTTGTACACGACTATGCCTTTGTGTACCGTCCAGTACCCAGTAGTGCTGTGGTAATACTAAAGCCATTGATAGCCCTGCAAGCCATTCGGGTCATATTCAGAAAAGCAAGTCCATAGCTTTACGTAAGGCATGGCTGGTGGACTCGACGGTTGGTCTCAATGCTGCCATGTTTGCAGCTATCATTTTGGCTTCCCGACTACGTAAGATGAGGACTAAGCGTCGAGCTAGGGTTGTTATGGTAGGGTCCAGGTACGCCTGATTACGTCTTTGCCTTTGCTTTCTTCGCCATGCTGGCCTTCGCGTTCATCCCCTTTGCATTCAAGTGGGTGTACGACAATAGCCGTAACGTGTATACTAAAGTGAGGGAGGCAGCGTTTTGTGTAATCTCCTTTATATGTAGCCCCAATGCAGGTCCTGACCCCCGGGATCTGCTTCCTAGCTACACTCGGTCTCTGGATGCACAGTAAAGTCGGCGCAATAGCATTCCAGGTCCTCATTGCTCTGGTAGGCGGAGCGAAGCAGTTCGAATATCCCTCATTGCTCCTGGTAGATGTGCTTTGCCTGCCCTTACCTCTTGATGAAGAGTCAGTGCTATAAGACGGAGATGAGAGGCCCTTGGGACATCGCCATAGTAGGCCCCTAGTGTCCCACGTTACCATAGCTTATCCATCTCAGGTGAGGTCGGGCAGTAGTCGGAAGCAGTCAGCAACGCGGAAGCTACGATCCATCAGCGCCTAGCATTTCGTGTACCATTTTTATTGTATAGTTGAGTGCATTATATGAGGACTTCTATTCCGTGTACAAAGTGTGTTGCCTTCTAGTGGCATACCAGGGGAGGGGCTACCACGGAATCTTCACTGTGCGGTCTCAGAGTATCTTTGCTTGTGGTACAGATATCCATCAGGGTATCATGCGGCCAGATGTAGCGACTGCAGCTCGGTTTATCCGAGCTAGGGTAGGGGTTACCCCTCGTAGGCTCACTGGGAGCCTCTTGGGCCTATCATCAGGAGTCTTCACCATGGTAGGGGCCAGGAGGAGTGGTAGTACCAAGACGAGCAATGGTAGGACCCCATGGGGCGTGGCCATCTCCTCCAGTCGAGATGACCCCTTCAGTTGCAATGTGTGAGTCAGCCCGTCAGTCGGTGTCTACTGGAGGTTTCCAGCGGCCCGGCTGGCCATTGGAGGAACTAGTCCTTACACCACCAGACCCGGTCTTCTCGTTGGGTCCTGCACACCCCAATGGGTGTCGTTACTTCATCGAATATGGCCGACGGACGTCCTTCGTAAGCCAATAGTAGGTGGTGAGGAGTAGTGACCACTGAGCTTGGTGATTGTACTGTCATTATTTCCCTATGAAAAGAGTCATTGGCTCTCTTGTATGCCAGACCAGTTTAGCAGAGGTTTGCATCGAGGCTAATACCAAGCATAGACTAGGGGGTGTCGATTTCGATGCTGCGACCCGCATGCCGACATCCCTAACTTGGTACGACTGGATCGGCCCTCGAATCAAGTGTCTAGACGATACCACTGGTAGCTCTCTATCGGAAGCAGGGGCTCTCACTACTGCCCTCAGCCCCCACTATAATAACGGACTTGCCTACTGGTGAGGGCGTCAAGTACGCCTTTGTGAAATGGTCAGCTCGAGGGGATAAGCTGGCGGTCACTGTGAAAGGTGTTACCGGTCAGTCCAACTCGTCGTGCCCCTGCCTTCCTACGGCAGATACTACCAATTCCAGCATCAGCGTTTATATCATCGATGCCCTCACAGGCCAAGCTGTAGGTAGTCCCGCCGCCACAGTAGACGGGAGCTCGTGCTCCCCCCCAGAATCGTATAGGGGAAGGCCTACGGCTCAATGCTGTAACGGGTGCATGCCCTTACCTGTGGTCCACTGATGGGGAACAGCTCCTCCTCTGGTGTGTGCCCGATGCCAATATGAAGGATATCGATAGCAAGATGGACCGACTGTAGGAGGGGTCCATGGGGTCGCCGCTCTAGTCAAGGGCGGTAGTGGCAGCCGTCATTCTATTCTTGGCTAGAAGGCCGTAGTAGGTTCAGTCCACCGGAAGGGCCGGTGACACAGGAGTGTCATGGAAAGAAGCAAGAGGCACGGACCTACGCTAGTAATAGGTGTTAGGGAATATTACCGGCCACATGTAGCACCATCAGACACCCTGAAGTCCTCTCATGACGATATGCTTTTCGAGTACTACACTACGACCCAAATGTGAGCCATCTCAGGCCTGGGCGCACTAGGGCCCTCCTTGTCTGTTTACAGGCACCTCCACACTGTGAGTAGTGGCGAGACAAAGCCATTGGGCGGGCCAGCTATGATAACCGACACGTCCTTCTCCCCGGATGGCCGCTTTGTAAGTCCCTTGGCACAGCAGCATTGGCCTATTGCCCATTTTATGTAGTTGCTCTTGACGGAGATAACCGGGCCTCCCTTCAGCCGTGAGTAGACATATCATGGGACCTCCTTATGGACACGTTGTCATCACCGCTTAGGGTCTCTGCTCATGTCCCGCTTCGGTCGCCAATTCAGTGTCCTGTCGTTGGATGAGGAGGGTCAGGGTGCCTCTCAGTGTTTCCCTTTACATCAGCGACCTGCACAGGAGGACCGACCCAATCGCTTTGACGCCTGCCCTCCCGGTCCTCGAGGCTTTCGCTGGGTAGGCCATGGCACACAGTGAACGTCATTCAGCTGGTGAAGGTACCGACAAAACCTCACTCCTTGGTATTCATAGTGGCTGACGGCGACAACGGTGACCCTAGATGTGAGGGCCCGGCTGACCATGCTTATTCGATGGTGAAAGAGTAGTAGGTAAGGCCGTCAGCCATCGTGACACGGCAATGCTGCTGGATGAGGAGGGCACAACCCCTTGGGATCTCCAGAGGGCCTCAGTGCTCTTCCGGAGTGAAATGAGTGAGTACTGTTGAGAGGTTCCCTCTGGCCCTTACTGTGGTATCAGGGATGCACAGTCGTATACGATTCACAGTGTATGAGGATATACTGTGGTCTGAGTGGAGGTTCAAGGATAAGAGCCACCGAGTGTGGCTACGGCCCCGAGGAGTTCACTCTCCCACACAGGCCGCCTCGGCAGTAGATGACGACTTCGCCCTAGCCCGTAACGGGACCACTGAGGTGAGCCGAACCATGTCGATGGCTGACCAAGGGGACCACCAGGTTGAGCTGAATAGAGACAACGGCTGCCTGCTACTACATAGCGGGAAGTACGATGATGCCTATACCAGCATGGGTACATTTGAAACGGTTCGGGGTGGGCCCTTCAATAGAGTGGTAATGCTGCTCCTGCTGCTGCTCACGTCATTCGGCACAGGTCGAGGCAGGTACTTCAACAGGTCAGGGACGGTAGTCTAGTACTCTTCGGTGATGGCGCTTCTGATGCCGGCCTCCGACCATTCGTCGACTCAGTCCGCATACAGCTAGACACTGGCAGGTCAGCTAGCCTTAGCTCTTATAGGGTCTACCTCCCGCTCAGGCAGCCGGGCACTGCCAGTATACACCACAGGAGGGTATGGCGCTGTTGTCTTGGTAGTGATGTGGAAGAGGAAGCGGTGGATCCTCAGTAGTCCTTGAATGGCTGAGGCTCTTTCTCTCTCGATTGGAATCAGGAATGAGGTGGGAGGGGACAGCCAGCTGGTGCCCCCCCGTCGGGGAGACTACCTGGAACAGCCTATCCGTCTGCTAGGGGACGACGGTCAACGCCTCTTATTGGCGAGAGAGTCTATAGCTCAGCCGCGAGAGGTAAGGAGGCTTATGGCTCAGTATGCTGGTGGTAGCAGTAGTGTCCTTCCTAGAGGTTTTTGAGGAACATGCTCAGTGGGGAAGAACAGTCAGTGACGGTTAATAAGGACCCTAAGGCTAAGCAGGCCGCATTGTTCGACAACTTGGCTGAGAAGAAGGTGGTGGATAAGTGGCCTATAGGGGTCTTGATCTCGGCCAGGTCCTCCATTATAAGCGTGAGGATGGTGTCGACCTGACGGCCACTCTCTATCTCCCCAAGAAGGCGGCTACGGAGGGACGTCCGCCCCCCTGCATCGTCTGGGCCTATCCAGAATCGTAGAGATCCCCGTGGCATTGGTGGTGGTGTGAGCTGATGATGCTCGACAGGTACTCCTCGGGGAAGTCGGCAGGCCAGGTTAGAGTTTCCAAGTATCAGTTCAAGCGGGCCACTTGGGCTAGACCCCTGATGTGGATTAGCAAGGGTTGGGCTGTAGGCTGTCCCTAGGGGCCCGGCACTAGGATTTCTCACTGGAGAGGTACTGGACAACCCGTCTATGCCCATCATAGGAGATGGTGACACGGCCAACGACACTTTCATACAACAACTCGTCATGAACGGCGAGGCTGCGGTATATCGGTTGGTCCTCCCACTATCGTCAGCCCAGGTCCTCAGGTAGCAGCGGCTGCGGCCAACGGAGTGGACTCGAGCAGGGTAGCAGTGGGGGGCCACTCGTACGGGGCCTTCATGACTGGTCCGATACTGCTAAGATGGGAAAGAGGTCTGATGGCGTTCCTCAGCCCATCTTCTCGCACACACACGGCCTGGCCTCTTCCGTGCCGGGATTGGCAGGTCTGGGGCGTATAATAGGAGTCTTACGCCTTTCGGCTTCCAGAGGGAAGAAAGGAATTACTGGGATGCAACTGAGGTGTAGGATCATGCTCATGTGTTCATACCATCTTTCGGCGAGATCATCATTAGGTACCACACCATGTCGCCGTTCACTTGGGCGGATCGGATAGCCGCCAATAAGTGGGCCCCTCTGTTGTTGATCCACGGCCAGAACGATGCCAATTCGGGAACTGCCCCGTTGCAGTCCGAGAGGCTCTTCGGGGCTATCAAAGGCCTCGGTGGAGTGGCTAGGCTGTGTATGCTGCCCAAGGAGGGACATCACTACAAGACGATAGAAGGCGTCATGCAGGCTACATGGGAGATGGACCAGTACGTTATCAAGGCCTCTCTTGAGGGAGCTCATTCATTGTAGATGGCTCACACGTTATGTGCTCGTCGCGGAGCCGCTACCTAGTGAGGAGACAGAGGCAACAAGCAGAGCCGTTGTTGAGCAGTCTAAGCTGTGACCAACATGCCCGCCCTTACCAATTGTGTTTCACGAACCCCTGCTCGTTGTTATGTATTGGTGTTGGTGGCGGTAGACATGGGTTTCTCGTACGTGCTTCCTATCGACGATCGTCTTCCCGGCCTAAGCATGCCCAGTGCGCTGGTCGGCATCACCCGTCAGCATAATTCACGGCCTAGAGGGGCTCTGCCAACGCCCAAGATCAGTATATTACCAGCCCCCATCAGCATCACCAACGTGGCAGAATGGACCCATTGACCAACCACGAGCGACTACTACTGTTACTACTGATCTCTGCCTTCCGTCCAACCCACAGGAAGTCTACCCGAATTGAGTGTTGGTATTCGTTGCTCGGACCTCACGACCCAGCAGCCCCTAGGTCTCCATATGCGCCATGCCTATCACTACAGAAGAGCTGGAGTATGAATACAACAAGCTCTACAGGACTTGTTGCTGTAGGGAGTGGAAGGGAACTCGGTATGAATTGTCTGTGTCGTTGATGGTCAAGACATAGGAGAAGAAGATACTCGAGGGAACACCAATGCGGGGAAAACAATGTGCAGTGCTGCCTTGTGTCCATCGCCATAACGGATGTATGGCCAGAGTCCGGGAAAAGTCTAAGGGAGTGTGATGCTCTTTCGAGTCGTCAACGGACTCCGAGCGGTTCCGGCCAATTGCTGACGAGTAAGTCGACAGCAGCAAGGCAACGAAAGTAGTGATGATGATTTGCTACCTTGACACATGTTTCCGATTTTCATCATCTTGCGTGTTGCGATGGAGTCCTTTCCCTCATACTACTATTGTCAGTGCCGCCAAGACACCTCATTGGCGATCCCCTTGCCAAGGATAGAGGCCTCCTCATCCTTTACCTCCCCAACGGCACCTCTTGGAGGGCCTCGTCTGGCCTCCTTCGGTATTGCCGCCAAGACTCTGTCCAACCCTCCGGTCACCCAGGAGGTCTCCGTTGCTCCCTCCAGCACCTCAGCAGCATTCTCATCATCTAGTATAGGCAGCGCGCCACTGCAACTGGCAGTCGTCGGCAATGGTGAGTCTTGACACTTATTCACTACTGAAAGCCCCTCAGGTACCTACGGGGCCCTCATTGACAGGCGCAGCCGAGTAGTATGGTGCTGTATGGACAGGTGATGGGTTGGGTACTTGAACCCCATGATGACCACCTCCCGCCACAGGTTTGACGGCGATCCTATATTCAACTCGCTCCTTAATAATGACAGTGAGGAGTCGGGCTTTTTCGATGTCGTATTGCAAGGCCAGGTCCGGTCTGAACAGAAGTAGTACCAGCGTGTCTTCCTCCTCCTCCTCCTCCCATGGCCGAGGCCCATCAGGTACATCCCCAACACCGCCATTCTGGTCACAACACTGAGTAGTAAGAACAACGATGTGGTGCAGGTAGGACCATCCCTTCGTCCCCTCCCCCTCACCCTCTGGCCAGGTCAAAGACTTCGCTCCCAAGTTCATCCATTACGACAGAATGTTCCGACCTTTCCAACTATTTCGTGTTATCACCAGGATCCGTGGCGACCCCATGATCACCGTAGAGCCTCACCATCCCAGGTCTTGAGCCATCGAGGCGTTGCAGGTTCGAGTACGGCCTACGTTCAACTACAACTCCACTGATGGCTACCAGACTCGCGGCAGTCACCATATACGTTTTTGTGGTCCGACAGACACATGGCGCATGACCTCTAACGCTAGTATCAGGGTAAGCCCGAACCGCCTCTGCAGGGTTCCACTGTGGAACATGGGCCTTACTCTTAGACGATCATCGAAGAAGTGCCCTTCCTAGTTCACGATCCTGTTTACATCGTTTTCGGCCAGGATGAGTCCTTCGCCAACTCCCTTACCCAAGTGGGTTTCTGCTTGCAGTGTATTGTATCCGATCTCGGTGTAGGTGTCCAAAGAATTCGAAGATAAGACGTTGAAGTACTGGAAGCAATGGTGCATGAATCTAGTCCTTCCAGTAGATTACCAAGACATATTGGCAAGGTGGGCGGGCCCGCAGGCCCCGACTAGACCAGCAGTGGCTATCCTTAGGTCTGCGATAACCCTATCCCTCCTGCAAAGTGACGAGTGTGGAGGTATAGTGTCGAGTCTCACGACCGGCATCCCTCTAGGTGAGTCCACGTCTCCATCCGGCCCCTCCATTTCCATGGCAGGCCCCTCCTCCCCTCCAACGAGGGATGAACGTGCGTGTCGCATATTGGACATCTGCATGAGCCTACCGGTCCTGACCATCAATTCTATCCTCATGGTCACGAAGCCTCGCCTTAGGTACTCCGCCAATTCGGCCTCTTCACCATGGTCAGGAGGTTCCTCGAGTACGTGAAGAACCTTTGTTTCAGCAGTGGGATGAACGTGCGGCCAGTCTACAGTAACTGCCCCTATCGCCTGTCCCCCGCCCTACTACCAGCGACGCTCCTCAGGTCTCATCGGAGACTCCGACGTGCCAGGAGAACGAGTGATCTACCTCGCAGGGTAGGGCCCATACCCGAGTGGACCTGATGTGCATCTCTCCCGCTGTAGATACCAAGGTGTCGGTGAGGTCGTGGTCGGCGGAGTAGGAGAAGGCTATGGCAGCAGACAGAGCGGTGGAGGCAGTAGTCCCAGTGTTAATATCAACGACCCCAGCATCCCTATGTGGGGCCACTACCTGCATGTGGGTGGGTGATATGATGCTGTAGGTACGGCCTGTTCTGCATTGCCCTTGCTCACGGCTTCTTCGATGTGCGTCTTAAGGACATATGCAGTCCGAAGGTCTTCGATCGTCTCGAGAAGTTTGGTGAGCTCCTCTCATGGCCGTAGGGTGTAGGGTGGAGCCATCACGTTGTAGGGACCAAAGCTGTCGAGGCCTTCCAGATGTTCGTCACCTACACACACGCCCCACCTCCCTCGGGTGGGGAGGACTTGCCGCCTGGCCATAGGGAGAAGTAGTACAGTGGAGTGCTGCTCGGAGCGCCTGGGACGAATTCTGGTGTCTCTAGTTTGTCTCCGGGTCTTTGCTTCGACGACGATCTGAGGCTGTTGACAATGGCCGAGGACGATTACGATGATGAGAACGCTGGTGTTGACGGTGCTGATCGGGAATGGTAGGAGGCCTTCACCTCTGCTGTGGTCTACTGTGGTCGTGTCAGGGCTCATCAACAAGGCCTTAGCGACGATTCTCGGGACTCTTATGGGCGGCCTCGTGTCCACACATTCACCTCGGTGGGTGTTCCTACGTCCGAGGTCGGCCAGCGCATTGCGTCCTTAGATTCTCTGCTGGGCCGCCTGTGATAGACTACAGCGTGTCGCGGAACACCTCCACTGGGTAGAGAAGAGCAAGATGTGGGGGTGAGTACTTCCCTTCGCCGTAGACATACCTGATCCCTTTTCCTCAGTGCATACGCTCGACACCTCCTCAATGAGATTTGGAAGCATGCCTGGAACAGGAAGCGGCAGGTATGTTATTACCACTACGCGGATCGGGGGTCGATACTGGCTTAGGCTCTGACGGCATACTGGGGTGGCGAGCGCGTGGGGCCTAGCATCCTCCGTCTAGCTGAGATCGGTTTTGTATCATCGACCGACTGGAGGTAGCAGCATCCAAAACTGTCCCTTGGTCCCCACCAGAACGTGTCTAGATTCGCCTCAAGTGTAGTGGCGTTTGAACAAGACGCACCGTTGTACTGTTGTAGTAAGGGAGCTATGAATAGGCCGGCCGATGACAAGAAGAGAGCAACACCACATGAGCTGTAAGGATGCAGGCGGCCTGGCCCTCGGGTCTATTACTGCACACTGTATTCTCTCAGAGGTAACGCCTTACTGTCGTCACCCTCTGCCACCTATTTAACTTCTACGCTGCTTTGGTATGCGGAGGCCCTGAGGAGCACCGGCCGGGATAACGATGCTCGAACCATATTTCACGTACCACTCCTCTGTGACATTCCCTCGGTACCTCTCCTCTTCAGTCATTGTGTGCTGCCTCTACCGAGTGTGGTCTCCTCTCCGAGTCTATTGACCTGCAGAACTGTACCTTGTGGGGAAACTTCCCTAACCTACCAGCCATATTAGGGTTTGTTCGGCTGGGTTGGAGACTCTCCCGATCCTGGCGGAGCATCTAGTAAAATTCGGCGGAGTGAAGTCGATAGAGAACTCAGTAGTCAGGGACAGTTTCATCACTCACACTGTTGTCTTAATGCCAATAGAAGAATTCCGCTGTAGTTTTTTTTTCGCGCAAGGAAACCTCTCATGGGTGTGGTGACAGCAGATGCTCTCGAGGTGGATCTCCTGAGTCGTGTTATGGCTTATCTAGACCTGCCCTCCCTCGCCGACCTCTCGACCTTGAATCGCCACTTTGCCGCTGCGGTCTCCCGCCGTTTACAGACTATAGATTCGCCATCGGTTCTCCGAGCTATCGCAGGACAGCCATCGGTCTCAGCTAAGGTCACGAATTGCACTCTGCACTTCTGTCAAGATGACTTTTCCTCTATCCTATCCGAGATGAGGCTTGACAGCTTGAAGCACTTGGATTTGAGTGCTTGCCAGTGGCTGGACGATGCTTGCGTAACCGCCTTGGCTCACCACACAGGGAGTCTAGAATACTTAGGTGAGACTATCGTAGACTATTCTCCTGTATTTTTCCAGTCGTTGCATTTTCAGATCTGTACTGGTCTGCGGCCATCAAGTCGGACATGGCGCTGTGCCACTTGATCCGTGCCAACAGAGGCATCCGTTACCTCTCCCTCTCGGGGGTCAAGGCTACCACTGACCGAGTTGTTATGGCGGCTTGTGCACAGCCTGGCCGAGCTATGCTGGAGACACTCGACCTTACCAGATGTCCGCGGATCAGTGATGCCTCTCTCATGGCGATAGGAGAATCGTACGGTGACTCACTGAAGACGCTCCGTCTCTATGCCACGGCACAGCTCACGGATGATGGATATTCAGCTTTGAAGAATCTTAAGTGTTTGGAGGTTTTAGATCTGTGTGGTCATGTCAACCTGTCAAGCAGAGTAGCACGAGAGATCCTCCAGCAGATGCCCAACCTAAGGCGCTTGAATTTGACATGGTGTAAACAGATTGACGACTCAGTGCTGGAGACCATAGGGAAATGCAATACGGGACTCCGATGGCTCTCTGTGTTCGGCGCCAAAAACCTCACCAAACGATCTCTGGATGCTGTTTCCCTGCTTCGTCTCACTCACTGTGATATCAGAGGGATTCCCAGCCTATCAGAATACACTCGCGAGGACTGCAAAGGTCTGAGAGAGTTGTTCCCGAGACTGCGGGAATGGATACTTTTCTCTTAGTTATGAATACTGACTATGTTTCATCGATGCTTCTGTTGTTGAGTTCGCAAGATATAAGCCTCTAGAGCTCGCGAGAATACGCCCACTCAAAACTGCGCATGGGGTCGAAGTGTTGTTGGCAGAAGGAATACACGAGGGAAACTCCTTGTACCCCATAAATGACGGACTATGCGCTCAGGAATGGTTCGAAGAGTAGACAGTGCACTCGCCGGAGCAAGATCACACATGGTCGCTACACATTATAGGAGGGAGTGTGAGACCCTTTATAGTTAACCCGGGGAGCAGCTACTCCGATAACGTCGATAAGCTCCTCAGTCTCCTTCCTCTCCATCATAATATTCTACATGGTTTGTACTGGCATATCAACGGTGGTTCGTTGCCAAAGGCTTAGATCGGCTGTCTCCAGTCGATGCGGAGCCGATGCTCGAATATGTACCCTCTGACGTTCAATCCGGGTTGCCTGCTTCACCGGTCTAGGTTTTAACGGCAAGTCTCGACGGTGGGATGAAGGGAAAACAGTTGACGATGAACGGGATGCATCGATAGTCGAAATTACCTTGTTGAGTCTTTGTCACTTCTGTCCTCCTCACATGGAGCTACGACTGACTTATGAACAGCAACACTAACGCAGTGGTAATTGAAACGTTGAGAGCCGGAAATGTTATATCAGTCTTCGAGCTTTGGAGTAACGGGTATGGTACCCACCCATGTCCCCTCCCTCACAAGTGCCTTGCTCTGCATCCAGGCCTCTCGAAGGGCCCATGCCTCAGCTGGCTCGAGGGACACCCTCACTAGCTTGTCCTTCGGCCGGTCTTCTCTAAGCATGATCTTAGCCGCTCTTGTTGCCACCCCTAGGCTGTCTATAACGACTAAGTCTCTCGACAGGACTACCATAGGGCCCAGAGTCTCATCAGCGACGTCTAGTAGGAACCATATCATGGGCTCGGGGAGCAGCTGGGCCGCCAGGGAGGCCCGGGAGTAGCCGCAGATAGGTTCCCCTAGGTTAAGCTTGGGAATGACAACATACGATCCGCCATCGTCATCAAAGTCGCTGATACTGTCGGCACACAGACCGATGGAGACTGCAGCCTCTCGAGTGGTGGGGATAGTCGACTTACCACAGCAAGTACATGACGATAGAAGTAGATGGGACGAGTGCAGCATCACTGTGGTCTCGGACACGAACAGACGGCCCTGTAGGCGGGTCCAGATCTCCGTCTCAGTGACGGACTGCCGCATGGCAGTGTTATGATTGCAGTCATCCCGTTCGCATTCGGCGAGGAGAGGTCCACACTCCTCACAGGCCTTTATCTCCGAGCCCAACTGACAAGGACAAACATGGTAGGAAATAGGGGTGTCTCATGCTGGCTCACCTGCCAAACGACACTAGGAACCGCACAGACCTGCAGACTCCCAACGTCCACCAGCTCCGATCCGCAGACAGCACAAGTGAGGATAGCTGTGGCCAGAGGGGGCTTCGACCAGTCTTCCACTAAGGCGCCTATCAATGATGACAGTCCCTTACCCAGCATAGACGGCGAGATCACCTTGGCAAGCGTCTGGCAGCTGTAATTTCGTAAAGGCAAGCGGAAGAGTCATCGTCGTTCCATCTGGACTGATGGTGAGTCCCTTGACAGCCGATAAGGAACTGCTACGGCCGAAGTCTATGACCAACTCCTCGATCGAAGGCGACAAGGAGACGCTGAGGACGCCACTACTGAACTTGACCTGTTCTAGTGAAGTACTACAACGTTAAGCAACGATACAGTCACCTTCACGTCGGCATCGTTAACATCAAAACCACTGGGAGTTGCTATCAGAACTCTGGCGAGCTTAAGAGTGCGCTCGACTTCTACCCGAAAACTGACACTCGTTTTCAGGGCCCGAGTCAGGACGAGTCCACTTTGCTGGGCGGGAGCTTTCGAGCGTGCCTCGACCGCACTGCTCACTATCGATACCATGCCTCGAAAACAGTACTACGGTGATAGGCGAACCACCGGTAGAACTGGCGTAACACAAAACACAGGTAGAAGGACACCGTTGATAAGAAATCTCTGTTCGAGTCAGTAGTAGGTACCACCGTTTCGAACAAAAACACCACTGGACCAGACATAAAACAGGAGAATTATTCCTCCCAGACTCTGGACATTACTCATCATCTTTTTAGACTTTTTGTCTTGAGGTACGAGTGACTCTGGTATCGGCAACACCTCAACGCATAGGAATATCACTACGCCCGATAGGGAGAACATCGCCAGAGGGAAGCAGTGGAGCATGAAGAAGGCCACCTGACATGATAGCTTGATAAAAAGCAGTCAAGGAGAGGGAAGGAATGTTCATCTCATAAGAGGCTATCACCATACCTACTGACTGAAATAGTCGCCTCGATGCAAGAGCAACGACAAGTTCGACTCGAACACCGATGGAGATGATAGCATTCTAACATTCTGCGATGAGCCATTGATCAAACTCATTCCCACGCATGCTTCATCACACTATAAATGGATATGGTAGAAGACTCGTCACCGACACATGCATTTCTCGTACGGGCTTCGAAATAAACATCGACAGATTAGATTGTTTAGACGTTTCCGACTTGTGGCCTGGAGTTGGATAAGCAACTATCTTTACGAGTGGACTATATACTACTCGAGGAGATATACCTAGCCATTATATTAACCCATACTACCGCAGCCTCTGTTAATGTAAAGGCAAGGACTATAACACATGCCCAGCTGTGGCCAACTTTAACGGCGATGGTCCTCTTGTCCGTCTTGGCATCATCATACATGTCCATTATCTCGAACCACACATGAGTGCGCCATAGCATGCAGAGATGGAATAGCCACGAGCCTGGAGAGCAACCTCAAGGAGTGTTTTCCCACTGCTGTAAGCTCACCTAGAGGGGGCAAGGGCAGGTTGTTGAGCTTGCAGCTAAGGAGAGGCACTAGGAAGTTACCAATAGCCATGCAAGGCAGCTCCCATGGTCCTCTTCTGGATAGGATGAGTGGCCTCATATTGTACGCCACATTAACCGATAACGCCGATACCAACCACATAGTGTACCAAATCCAATCACCAGTAAGAGCTGCCATTAGCATGATAGGCAGGCCATTGCTTAGCAGAACAATGCCGGGGATTTCAGATAGCTGCTGTTTGCTGGCCTTTGCCCCGTATATGTAGTTGTTCTTCCTATCATTGATCGCATCCACATCCAAGTCCGCCATGTCGTTTATACCGTAGACCATAAGGTTGAGAGGTAGAACACAGTAAGCCAGGCCAAGCCAGAATTTAGGACTCCACATGAGCTCAGCATGCCCACCGGTGGGCCACATGTAGAGCCATATGTACACTAGCCACAGCCCGGGACGAGAGATCTTCAATAAAGTTTCAACATCCATCGTTTGGAACGGCCTCACGAAGATAGATGCCATTAAATCACGAGCAGGTGATCAATACGCTCACAAAATACAGGACTGAGATGACGGCTCGAAGGTTGGAGGATCCTATGTTTTATACCTTCGTTATTCCTACTGGTCTGATTCGAAACCCAACGAGTCATTTTAATGCTACATATCGTGCGCTAATAGCGTTACGAGCATGGCTATCCGTTAAGACGTTCTATCATGACGTTTGATCAATGCACGTGTGCAGGCCAACTTGCACACAACCTTGTGCGTCACCTTACGCACAATTCACAGCAACCTGACGATGTGGTCATCCTTCCCAGGTGACTCAGCGACAGAAAATTGATTTGAGACAGCAATAGTTGATGATAATATCAGATAACAAGTGTCACCGGATTTCACCGATGTCGCCTAATAAAAAGTAGTGCAAGTGCATGTAAATAGTGGAAAACGGCGCCGCGCGAAGCGCGGCGTTATGAGATTTGTGATTGTTGTGGTGTAGTGGTTAGGGTTCTAGTTTATCATGTAGGTCGCCCAGGTTCGACTCCATGCTAGGTATATAATATATTAAACACCGTTTCTTGCGAAATAAAACGAAGTAATCAGTGGTTACTACGAATAAACGAATACCTCACGTGGACCACGTGACGTGGTTACCAATCACGTGAGGTATTCGTAGTCCGAAATTAATAGTTTCGGCTCGTGAACGCATTCTTCCGGGATAGTTCAGCTATTATAGTTGTATTATCCGAGGCAAGCAGCATCTTGTACATTACCCCTTTGCTCCTCCACATCGGCAGTGATTGAGCCACTGCGCGCCACCCAGTAGACAGCACGTATGTACAGCTTGTTACAGGTGGAAGTTATACGGCTCGGCTTGATTGTCCCAGAAACTGGCTTTGCTTCGCCTGCTTCGAGCAAGCCCATTCTACTACTGCTTGCCCGCTATTCTCTCCCCGAGCGGGAGTGTGTTCCCGTGTGTATATATTCGCGCAGAGCGCATGCATGCGGCTGCCGCGCCGGGTTAGGCGGACATCGGTCGGGTTACGTTTGGGTCAGTAGCCTTTACTTTACTTTACTTTACGCATGATCATTAAAGTCGCTGTGCCTGAGAGCTGTCCCTTTTCTCGTTGATACTGAAGTTACTGGGTTACTAATAGAAAATCACTAGTGACTAGAGAACGATGCTGAGATCCACGAACCTTTGCCTGAGCTTGAGCGTTAGAACAAGTTTCCATGTTTGTGTAGGTGACAAGAGGAATATTCTGAAAAGAATTATTTGAGGATGTTGTGGACAGAAAGCCAAACAGATATTCCAACTCCTAGGGTTGCAATATCGTAGTGTAGTTGAGCGCCGACGTTGCTAATCTCCCTTTCTCTAGCTTTTCAATTATAGGGAGTCCCTAGTACGGATAATTATTAACACAATTAACTGTCTTCACAGGTACGGCTCTGGTGTTGTCCTCGAAAACCTCCGTGGCTGTCGATTATAACTGTTTGTCCTGTGATTATGATGACTATCATGCTTTAATGCTTCATGCTTATGACTGTTATGCTTAATCAGACGCAAATAATCAGTTTTCTTCATCACGAATTCGTACGTTATAAGACTTTAATGAACAAATGCAAAAAACTATGAGCCATCCAAGGATCGAACCTGGCTCGTTAGCATGCTTTACCCATGCACTTACCACTACACCACAACAATTACAAGATTCTTAACGCCGCGCTTCGCGCGGCGCCGTTCCCTACTGTTTACATGCACTTGCACTATTTTTTATTAGGTGACATCGGTGAAATCCGGTGACACTCGGTAATTATTCCTTCCGCTACTAGGCACAAGTGGTCAGATATCGGAGTACACGATAACGATCCTAAACTCAGCGATCTTGGAATTCCTCACTTCAATGGGAGTGATGAGGTGTCAAAATACACGATAACTATCCTCAACTGAGCAATCTTGAGATCGCTCACCTCAATAAGAACGGATGAACAGCGCAGGACGGCAGTTTCGCTTAAATAGTTTGGGCTAGCGTGAGAGATTAGAGATTCAGTAGTTACATCGATGGATTAGTGGTACGGTTAAGATGCTGCCCTGGCTCTTCTAAGGTTGCGGGATCGGTCTCTGGTAGTGGTTGGTTCTATCTATTCGGCTGTCGTGATTTGAATCAGCAAGATTGTAAGTTGGGAGCAAGACTGTGTCTGAGCAGATTTATGCTGCTAACGCTCACATAGGAACCTTGAGGGCCCTTCAGTGAGGAGGCACTCCTAAGGGTTGTAGGTAGCAGCTCTTTAACTTCCTTCCTCGAGGATTCCATTACTATTAGGATGTAGGTCAAGAACATCACACTCCTGAAGCTCCTAAGTTACACGAAAAAGGTTTTTCCTTGGAGACTTGTGCTTCCTCCTCGAGGAGCAGTCCCCAACCTTTAGGGTCAATGAAGTATTTGTGAAAGTCTACATATCTAAACTCGATGACTACTTATAATAAGCGGCTCGAGAATAGGACTGGATTTTACATTCATCTCCCCCTTTCCTTCCTTGACCCTGGCTTTCCAGAGGATGTCACAACGAGGCCCAGTGTTGTTGATCGAATGACTATTGGGATGTACCACAGTTAGAACTGTTTTAGTCCTCCCATCATCACTATGCGGCTGCTGACACACAATCTGATGATGTGCAATAGAAAGCAGTGCTCTGGGGGGTACCCGCTACGCATATGTCCTAAGCAACAACCACAAGGAGATGTTGGGATGAAGGACTCTGAGGATGAGACCTCACCGGAGCCTGAGCAGGTAGTAGGTGGCAATTGGTGGGTCTCAACCTAGCTATGGTTCAGGAGCGACCAACGTTTAAAGTGGAGGAGTCGGATTTCAATCCGGACTTTATCCGGCACATGCTGGACAAGCTGGAATGGGATGCCCTTCTGTCCACTCTAACCCAATGCCAGGGATTAACACAGTCGTTGCCGCCTAGTTACACGGAGAGTGACAAGGACGATGAGAATTTCCTCAAGGTAGGTCTATGGAGCACATTGCAATCGCTGTGGTTAGGTGGGTGTGAACTTTTAGGCGGTTCACGACGTTATAATAGACTACCACATCCTGGAGGCAGACCTCAAGTGTCCTAAGTGTGATAGAGTCTATCCCATCACAAAGGGCATTCCCAACATGCTCCTACAGGATGATGAGGTATAAAACTGGGATCTGTATCCGCACTGTCACCAGGGCTACTGTAGCAATAACGTTTACCACCCATCACGTCTTGAGTTGAGTTATGGTTGATGGAGGTTTGTCGTTAGGGGGGTAGTGGAAATGGAAGTAGATATGGTTTTGGAATGTCCAGTATGATATGATTCGTCTCGGGAGCGTCTCAGGATCTTGAGTCGTTTCCTGGCTCTCTTGCAGTGCCTCATCCTTTGTATCTTGGGAGCTCATTCGAGCTGCAGGTGGTTTTAGAGAGGGACTATGGATGATCACGACACAAGCGGTAGCGTAAAGGAGATGTGCGTATCACATCATATATGATACGCGTAGTGACTATGCATAGTCAGTGTGCTCACTCGATGCAGTCGTATCTCACTGGTGTGTTGTAGGACGGGCTTGGTTTCCTCGGGGCTTGCTTTCTCATCGTTCAGGGGTTCTCTCTATGCAAACGTTCAGCGCGTTATCGGCAGCCCTCGTGGCAACTCCTTTAACTCGTTCAGGTTCACCTGCTATGGTGAGGTCACGGCTCCGTTGACCTGCAGATCATTCGGGACTTTGATCGGGAAGCAGTCGCCTCCAGCGCTGTCCAGGAATGTCCCCCGACGACAATTCGGAGACGAGGGCAAGTAGAGGAAGTTTAGTCGCGACTTACCGGGTGCATCATAGTTCCAAAGGTACGTTGTGGTGTACTTTGATGCGGGTGGTTTTACGTTCCGTTTGTGCGATGGAGACTATAGAACTTCGCAACAAACTGGAAGAATTCAAGGAGAGAGTGGGCATTGCAGTCCAGCATTATGGGAGGAGTCACTCCGTCTATCAGGGGCTTGGATGCTCAGTGGACTTCTCATATGCAAGGTGGGGTTGGAATAACACTATCAGAGTGGCTCAGCACTTGGATCAACGATCCTATGATTAGTGACAGCAAACACGAGATCTCTGAGGCCTATCAAGTAGTGATACTCGACGCGTCACTATGTATAGGGTCCGCGAGTTTGGTTTTAGGTTCTGCTGGGAGGCTTTGGAGTAGCTTGTCACCGACAAGGAGGGTGAGGTCCGCTCGGAGTTGAATGGTGACCTTCCTCGTGGCAGGAGTGCGGACGAGGATGAGGCTTTGGGTACCAGGTGTCGTGATGGTGCCCGTCGTGCCTTTTCTAGGGTGTGATTGCTCCCTGTGCGGATCTTTCCTGCATTGGTGTTCACTGAAGTGTATCCTGTGGCCTGGTAAAGTGGTCAAGAGGCAATGAAAGCTAGAACTAAGGGTGTGACTCATTACCTCATCGAACATACCTAAGCTCCTGTTATCATTGGTTTTTTGACTACGCACCACAATGAGCTAGGTGGGGTTTCGTCTTGATGGCGGTACAGGCTCTCCTAGTCTCAGCCTTACGACATGTAGTTGTGTTGCAGCATGAGTAGGGGGGCGAATGAAATGTAGAGCGTCCCGAGCTGGGATTGGTCTCACCTACATGGTGATAAAGGCTGTCTTAGACTCGAAGATACCGTGAAAAGTGTGGTGTTGTTAGTGAGGGTGGTGGCAAGTGGGAGGTTAGTCGGAATTCATAGAGTTGACAGATTCTTAGGAAGAGACATGCTTGAGTCATGACGCTATGTGCCACGAATGCTACGAAAACAGAAGTTAAAATAATTGAGCGATGTGATCACCTCAGAGGGAACAACTATGTTCCATTCGTACGTTCAGCGAATCTACTTCGAGTGTTGAATGGGCGCGATAGTATGACAAGTGCATGGCGATTTATTAGTATAGTAGTAGTAAGGAGAAGGATGACCTTTTTGGGATGGTGACTCTCCTAGATATTCATGGTCGAGAGTCCCAGATCGATAACAGTGATGGAGTTTTCGTGCAACTCCACCAATTTGACCTAAATGCAGGAAATAGCTAAATTGCACCGTGATCGATTAGGCCGTTGCCGTCCACGAATATCTCCACTACCTCCGCCACCATGGGTCGAATGTATGGAAGAGGTAAGGGCATCTCGTCCAGTGCCCTGCCCTATCGTCGTAGGACTCCCGGTTGGGTCAAGATGACTCCTGAGGATTGCGCTGAGAACATCTGCAAGCTGGCTAAGAAGGGTCTTACTCCTTCCCAGATTGGTGTCACCCTTCGTGATTCCTTCGGAGTCCCCCAGGTCCGCTTCCTCACTGGTAACAAGATCTTACGTATCCTCAAGCTCAGAGGTTTGGCCCCTGAGCTCCCTGAGGATCTCTACCATCTCATGAAGAAGGCCGTCTCTATTCGCAAGCATATGGAGCGCAACCGCAAGGACAAGGATGCTAAGTTCCGTCTTATTTTGGTTGAGTCCAGGATCTACAGATTGGCCCGTTACTACCGTCGTGAGAAGCGTCTCCCTGCATCCTGGAAGTACAGTCCCCTCCAGGCTGCTGCCGCTGTTTCTTAAGCTGCTGCTGCTGGTTTTGATGGAAAGTCGATGATCCCTGTACTGGGAGTATTGCACTCGAGATTCCGGTGATGATCTGGAGAGTATGTGGATATTCACATCGTTGTTGTGTTCATACCAATAGGGTAGTTCTTCGAAGGTTATATATGGGAGTGATAGTCGTCAGGTCGGTGGTCGGAAGGTATTCAGTGTTTGGGGGCGAGATGATCCCTAATGAGCTATCCGATAGCGTTAGTTGAGTGCTGGCGGCTGTACTTGAAATGGTCACCGCTTCGAATCGGTTGTGTTCCTCTGCCTCGAGATTCTTATTGACTCCAGCACTTTGTTGTTATCATCGTTTCACGATATCAAGTGCGGAGTCGTATTGTGGGTGTTCAGTCTGAAGCGTTTTTCAGGCGTAGATTACTGGTCGTACTGTATAAGTAATCGAAATAGCCATCCTTGTAATACACGGATTTACGACCACCTTATTTGTGGCCATCGGGGCTATTGACTTGGGAGTAACGCACTAGCTACTTGCATCGTCATTGTAGTGAATTGAAGTGATGCTCGTCAGTACATGCGCTTACGCACTGTCTTGTGGAACCTGTGGACTCTCTCACTGTAGCGTCATAGTATGGTAGTAGCTGACTGGCAACGATGCACTTTGACCTTATAAACATCATTATCGAACTTCCACGTGTGGAGTGAAGGGAAAGGATTACCTCATGGGTTAGCAAACACAAGCCGCTTGTTGAGGGTAGTTTTGGTCTCTATGGCGAATACGGATCTAGCGGCCTATCGAGAGGAGCAGCGGCGTCGTTGGTTACAAAGACAGTCGGCTGTTGATAACAGCAACGCGGTGTCAGGTAGTGACTCTGAGTAGATGGTAGGATTGTGATCCCTAGGCTTTAGAGGTAGTATTGCCGACGACCAATGGTGGAGCTGCAGAGTCGGCTTCATCATCATCCACTGCAGCAGCAGCAGCAGCCGAGGCGGCAGCGCCACTAGTTACAGTCACAGCAGTGCAGGACGCTAGCGGCTCCGGTGTAAGAAATGCCTAGTCGATGGGCTATTAGTCATTGAATGTGTATTATGAAGGATTAATGCCATGATATGAGGAGTCGCTTAATCAGGCAACGAGTCATCATCGGATGGCATCGACCTCTCCGCCGCCACCAGCGAGTAGGTCGCCACCTCCTGCAGTGGAGGACCAGCCATTGGATAAGTGCCATATACTCCCTTTGGGAGCTGAGACTAATCGCCAAGACGCGCTCGGTAGGGTGTACGTATCTAGCTGGAATTATGGGGAGCTGATTCAGATCAACTGAATAGCGTGTTGAAGTCATTGCGGTCGGAACGGAAAGTGATCCATGAGGGTGACGTGTTTGAAGGGAAGAACGAACAAGAGTAGTACTGGAAACGTTGAGAGGGTATGGTAGATGATTTCGTGGTAGATACATCATCGTTTCGGTGTTGCCCAATGAAGGCGGCATTATAGTCGAACCCACGGAGTTTTTCATAGAAGGGCCTCCTGTTGAGAAGTTCACTAAGGTGCAGCTGGTGTGTACTGACCAGAACGGTGAGGATAATAGTGAGGAAACCCTATTCGGTAGTGGCGGTCATGACTGCATGTTTTGAATGCTCTTCGTATTAGGCAATTATGTGGCGCCATATTTCCAGTCTCAATTCAATAACCATCCTCATAAGGTTACGGAGATCTTGGATGTGAATCAGATTTTAGACATTTTTGGACTGAAATTTGTTGTGGCAGCGACTGGTAATGCGGCAATACATGCGATCGTTACGCTTTGTGACACCGAGGGGGTGATGCTATTCATAGTGTTCGATAATCTCTATTATGGACCTGCTAGTCTCGGACGAGCGACTTAGCGTGCCCTTAGCGGTTCGAATGACTTACGTTAGCATGCAATTGATGAAAGTAGTGTGGTCAACAGGATAGCTGTTCCTAGTGGGTTGCCGTATTCAACGGAGCTGTAGGGCTACCTTGTCTGGAGAAAGCATTGTCGTTAGAAAGGCTAGTGTTAGAGTTCTACTTCAGAGCCCTCATGCACTCATGGAGTAGTAACGCCTGATACGACGATGTATGTGAATGTCGATAACAGTCAGGAGTTTACTAGAATCCATGTAGTGCCGTTCCAGGATACCCTATCCAGGTGGGCACGTAGTTGGTAGTAGCATCAGCAGTCCTCTGTGGTAGAGTATATCAGTATGACCTTTGGAACGACTACCTGAAGCCCTACTTCAAAGCGCACCCCTTGCGGTCATATGCAGTTAATGATGTATTCGACTATCATGGAGTAGTGTTGGTGGAGGCGACTATGAGGGTATGTGTACTTGCCTACAGGTCCAATTCAAAGTGGTAGCTGCCGAGCCGTACTCTTCGGCGAGTGGCTTTGAGAGGAGGAGAGTTGGACGGTAGTATGGGGATAGTGATGACTTGTACATAGCAGTATGGTTAATCGGACCGTAGGAGCGTAAGCGTCACTTGTTTTTGCCCATCCGACTGCTGTTTCTGTTGTTGTCGCCATCAAAATATCACTAATAGCCAGTACATGATAGGATCTATACTACTATGTAGTGGTAGAACTAGACGTGTGGGAGGAGCATCAGTTTTAATGCTCTCTCAGCCATAGGGTATAACGTAATGATAATTAATACCCAGTTTATCGTACTAGACTGGTGTTAGATCGACGACCATCTTCTGCGAGGGCAGCGTACCTCCTACACTGCGAAACCTGCTGTCTCCGGAGATGGCTCAGCAGCTGCAGCATCTCCCGCCTGGGTTGCAGATGCTCTTACTGAACACTGACATGATGGTAGTATTACCCGTTCCTACTGCTCATCTTGTATAGTCTGGTTACAGGCTAGTGGAGATGTGTATGAGAGGCTTATGGACCTCCAAGAGACTCTATCAAATCGCACAGGACTGGACCAGACCACAATCGACCGGATACCATTGCAACCGTAAGAAGGGGCTGAAAAAAATCCGGCATCAGTAGGAATGGAGTTGAGTGTGATAAGAGTGATCTTTCTGACGAAGTTGTATGCCTTCCAGGCGATGTACGCCATATATATGTCGAATCGTCTCGGAATTATTCGTCCGTACTTGCCTGTGAGAGTTGTGAGCGGGTTTGCTTTTCGGAACATATATGAAGACGACCCTTAGGCGTAATTTACGTAGTGTCCATACAGTCGTAGCGCGGCCATAGGAGGCCTGCTTACGAGCGGCTAGTGTGTCTTTACTACGAATAGTTGGTTTTAGGTCAACAGCATCGAGGGAGCACCATCAGGAGCAGTGCATGATATGTCTCAATGACTTTGCACGTGAGTCGTCGTGAGGTTTGGATGTTCTTCACTCGTCTGGATAGTCTCCGGTGACGCTAAACTCGTTGAGATCAAATTCTCTGAGTGACGAAACCTCTTTCCCTACGAGTGGCGAAATCTCTTTCCCTACGAGTGGCGGAACCTCTTTCCCTACGAGTGGCGGAACTTCTTTCCCTACGAGTGGCGGAACTTCTTTCCCTACGAGTGGCGGAACTTCTTCCCCTACGAGTGACGAAACCTCTTTTCCTACGAGTGGCGGAACTTCTTTCCCTACGAGTGGCGGAACTTCTTTCCCTACGAGTGGCGGAACTTATTTCGCTTCCTTAGTATGTTGAAATGTCTATCAAGTCGTTGGGGGAGAATTGAGTGAGGCAGAGTGAATCCTTCTCTTTTCAGCGTCGGACCCCCCACTTCGTGTGTTGCCGTGTAGCCATGTCTTCCACGCCAACTGCATAGACGAGTGGCTCAGGCGCAATACTGATTGCCCCATATGCAAAGACAATGTGCAGCGGTCAATGAGAAACGGAGCTCCTCGGATATCTCCTTCCCAATAGAGCAGTTGAAGATCCCTGTATGTGTGATATTGTATCCATCATTTGTACTAATAATTCCTCTTGAGGATTTACTTGAATTTGTCGTCTTCAAATATGTGAGGCGTTCTATAGAATGGGAGTTCGGTAATTTCCGGGCGCGCGACATTTTCCAGTTTTTTTCCAACCATTTTCATGTCTACTGTATTGGCCGTTCTCATTGGTCTGTTATGCAGCTACGTGGTCGCTAGTGAATGGGAGGATACCCCCATGACGACTCAGTAGTGATGCCATACTTTTACGGTGACCTTACGATGTTGCTGTGATCTTTGGTAGGATCTGGCAACTCATCTCGGCAGGTGAAGGAGGTGCGGACTCGTTCAGGGAGCTTGTAGGAACTCGTAGGGTTACGGAAGGAGAATGTCATCAACTTAGGCTGTGACGAATCCTGGCATGATGGAGCTGAGATCAGGAGATGGGCGTGGGGCTCTCTTTTGGGCGTGGGAATTTGGCAATACTAAGGTAATAGGGATCTACTACGGCGGAATTTTGGGGCTGTATCGAACTACCCGGGTGTAATGTAAACACAACTGTAGTAGTGGCTGATTGCCTACTACTGTCCATTGTGTGGAAATGACGCTATTCATAGTGGATATCACCGTGTAGGCTCTATTGACACTGGCTGCTCTCGATAATGATGTATTTGATGAGAAGGAGAAGGACGCTGGGGGCCACACCGCGATCGGGCTCTGCAAGGAAAATGGTACGCAGAATATCAGTCGCCATGACCTTAATGGGAATGTTATCAGTTGAGGGGTGTGACTATGATAGTATAGCTGAAGTTTTGAACGATGCAGATAAGGTAGGTAGTGTTGGAGCAGTTGAGTACGTGAGATAGGCGGTGTCAGGTTCAACAGGAGAAGGAACTCATCACTGAAGTACGTCGTGCTATTGAGAACGCGGCGGCTGACAACTTGGATGATGACGATGACGATGATGATGAGGAGGAACAGGAGAGGGAGGAGGAGGAAGAGGAGGAAGAGGAGGAAGAGGAGGAAGAGGAAGGTGAGATGTGTGCTTATCCAATGTCGTTGCCAGAAACTAACGTTGGCCTAGGCGGGTCTCCCATAATCAACTCGGACGTCGATGAGATCATGCCTGATGATGCAGATGAGCTGTAGCGTAGCTGTACGCTGTATAGACCATCATGGTTTTTCCCCTGGAGTTTCCTGAGTGTGCTGGCGTCTGGTTCGGGTGTGGTGATAGCAGGGGGACTCACTTTTGTAGTGAGCGTGATGATGATGTTCCGGAGTCTTATGCGACGTGAGGCGTCCCCGGCCTCCGCTAGCAAATTGAGACAGATGCTGCGGCATCCGGAGGACTCACAGGCCCCCGAGAGCATCATGATGGTGGTGGCTACTGCCGATCATGTCCAGGAGAGAACTCGGCAACTTATACAGGCAGTGTGGGGGGATATGTACACGGTCAACTGCATGTGTTAGTGATAACATCAGATATATGAGAATACATTGTTGGATTCTGTACAGTTGTACTCGAATTTGTATGTAAACTTTCTATAGTAAGTGAGGAACCTCCTGATCTGAGAAACAAAATATATATTCCAACACTGTATACAGGTCGTATCTGACAGGCCTATTAGGGCAGCCTATGCTATTTTGGAGTTGCCATTCAATTTGAAGCCATGGGAATAATTTTCCTAGAGTGCCAGCTGTTCACACGTTAGGTTGTAACGAGAGAATATCCCAAGCTGCGTATCATAACCGTTGACGTACTTAAACAACCGGAGCATGCCGCTTCAATATCCGTGATGAATGTGCCAACAGCCCAGTTATGGCATGGAGGCCATATGCAGAGGATGGTCATACCACTCGTTCCTCAATCGAGACATTCATATGGTTGGTAGATAACTGGTGGCGATCCTACTATCACGCTGAACCATCTGTCTCGCTGGTTCAAGCAGGACTTCCTCATGGCAACACCTTACAAGGAGACGAGGGACAGGCTACAGGAGGCAGTAGATCGATCAGATATCGATAAGCTGAAAGGCGATGATAGTGTACTCATCTAGGGCGGAGCTAACGAGGACTCCCTCTGGAATGAAGCCTTGTTAGGTGTTGGGCGAGTTCGAGTCGATGTTGTCGTTGAAGAAGATTACTGGCTTTGCGGAGTTAACTGATCACAGTCTCGCAGCTAGAGCCAGGTTGCTGGCGTACGCGGCTCGGGAGGGCGTCAGTGAGCGATTGAGGAAGGCAGTAGGTAATAGTAATAATCGCTGGAAGGCTCTTTTGATTTTCTGGGGTTTGCCGAGACCGGCAATGGACGCGTGAATTCGTGCGTCACCACGCAGAGTACTTAGATATGTACTTGGCGTCACCAAAGGATGAGGAGGTGGTGGCCGAATGTGCTGATGTATTCCTCCGTGAATATGCTGCCTGGTTTTGCCGGCAGAGTCCGGTGAAAGTGTTGAATATGGAGGAGCATGAGAGTCAGCAAATTGTAGGATGAGAATGTAGTCTGTTCCTGCTAGTTGCAGTGGTCTCAGCCCGAGAGGGAAATTCTGATCGCATTCCTGCAAGATCTCGACTGGGACAGCTTCCCGACTGTATTCCAGGACACGCTTTTCAAGTTGCGGTATCTCATCGACAAGGAAGATACATTATTCATGAAGGTTGGCAACGGGAGAGTTTGGCGGCTCATTCGACGGTGTGCGCGAGGCGTGTGTTAGATAGTGTTAGCACTTAATGGACAGAGGATATGGGAGTGCCCGGATTTGAACCCAAGGCCTCCCGTGTGCAAAATATATGTGATACTGCTACACTACACAGCCTTCTAGATGTATATGTATCGGTTATAGTACGCTGTAGCTTTCGAGATTATAGCGCCCTGGTAATGCTCTTTGATGCAGCTCCGTCTGTTACCGAGTTTCAAGGGGGGATACGCCATGCGTTGGCCCAACGGTATCTGGTGTAGTGGAGGTGGGCATGCGTCTGTGAGGCGCGGAAAGAATCCTCTTCTGGCAGGTCCTCACAAGAGTTATACGAACCGTAGAACTTGGAAGAACGGCTATGCGAGTAGCTTACCAGCCCCGAGGGGTTACTGGTGATACCTATCGTCACTGCATGGAAGGATGCGTTTCTGTCACCCTCACGAGGCGCTTGCGTTAGTTCGCTCTCAGCTGTTTCTCCATAGGCTAGGCTTGTTGTGCCCTCTGGCCTTTCCAGGATGCAGAACCTCGGCATACCGCATCAGAGCGGTGCCGGCTTGAGTGGCTTGGGAGGTGGTCATCCTCACTTCCTTTTCGATGATGCTTTTGATCGGGATGAACGAGGGCAGCCGAAAAAGTAAGAATTTTTACATAGAACTCACCAAGGGGAGATTTTGGATCTGTGTAGGAAGTACCTACGGAGAATGATAGACTACAATCCACCATTGATAAAGTTCAAGACCGACATGCTATTGACGCAGCATCGGCCTCTCTACAGGGCTGGCAACCAGAAGGCCCATCTGTCCTATATGAAAGATGTAGCAACGTGGTGGTCGGTAGCGTTGGAGGTTTCCTCAGATGGGACCGGGCTATCTCGGTTACGAGTCGCCTATACTGTGCAAGTACATTCATACTGCCATTAATAAGATGCGATGCGCAATAAACTGTGTGGAGTGGCAACCTAATGGTACTATGAGTTCCACTTCTCCAAAGATGGCGAATGTCTATTGTATTGCAGGCCAGCGCGTTTTGACGGGATCGCAGACGGGAGAGTTCACCCTTTGGAACGGGGTTCACTTCAACTTTGAGAATCTGATGCAGGTATGCATGAACAAGCTCCTCCTGCTCTGACCTCGCTTCCTCCATTGCGGTGTATCAGGCTCACACGGCATCCATCAGAGCAATGAAGTGGACCCCCGATGGAGCCAACCTCCTCTCTGGAGACTCCAGTGGATTGATAAAGGTAATGAACTTGCTGGACCGAGTGATGGACACGGGTCGCTGATAGGTGTGGAACTCCAACTACTTCTGCTTCAAGCAAATCGAAGCTCACCAGGAGACGCTGAGAGACCTGAGTGCCATAACGGTTTTTCAATGCAAAGTGAAAACGCTGTATCGTTAGGCGTATCACCTTCCGGGGCCAAGTTCGTCTCATGTGCTGATGAGAATGCAGCGAAGCTTTGGGACTTCCCTACTTTCAAGGAGGAGCGTGGGCATCATTGAGCGCTCCGTGATAGAGAACAAGGGGAGTTTATAGGTACATTTAATGGACATGGATGGGAAGTGAAGACAATCGACTGGCATCCATCGATGAGCCTTGTGGCCACTGGCTCCAAGGACTTCAACATCAAGTTGTGGGATCCTCGACAGAGCGAGGCGATCACGACGATATACGCGCATAAGGTGGGATGCCTGTTGGATACAGCGCTGCCCATTCCTCAGCTCTCTGTAGTCCGTAGTAGGAAGGGTACGATGGAGCCCGAACGGTCAGTGGCTGATCTCGGGAAGTCGAGATCAGCTCATCAAAATGATGGATGTTAGGAAGATGAGCATAGACAAGGTCTTCAAGGGCCACACGCGTGAAATTACCAGTAAGAACTTTATAGCTGCTACGACTCTCCTTGCATACCTCTTCAGGTTTATCATGGCATCCTACCGCAGTTGGCATATTCTGTTCGGGTAGTTACGACGGTCAGATCTGTCATTGGGATGTTGCCCAGGATTCGAAGCCAATCGAGTCGTTGATAGGAGCCCATGATGGGTAAGTGTTTGTTCATCCACACAGGGAAGCTAATGAGGGAGGCGCGTCAGATGGTGTTTGTAGACTTCTGAGTAGCACAATGATACTGCGAGGGGAATGACATCTTTCAGGTCGATCTGGGCTCTGGCCTACCATCCACTCGGCCATCTGATGGTCTCCGGTAGTCATGACAACTGCACGAAGTTCTGGGCTCGTCCGAGACCTGGAGATCCCGATCCGCAGGAGCAGATTCCGAAGGGCAGAATGTGAGAAGAATAACTCCTGGGCTGCCCAGCCATGGTTTTGCGAAATCTAAAACCAGCGAGTTCGAGTATAATTCAACAGGAAAACGCACTTGTCATGAATTCTCGCTAGGACTGTATTTCGTCTTTCAAGTGTATCGCTTTCAATGTACCTCATAAGAAAGCTTATTCTTCGTACTTGAAATAGTGATATTCCACATACCATAGCATGGATGGTTGCTGGGCAGCGGTCGGTGACTGTTGGTATCATCGGTATCATATAGCAGCTATTGCAGAGAAATTTGGAATAGTGATGCTCGATGTCGATACAATACCTGCATGCGTTTTTCACAGGTACTATACGCATGTAGCCCAAGCTGAGGCCCGGAAGAAAGCACTAGAGGCTGCTGCTGTTGATAGCAAGTCAGCGGCTAAGTTTGTTGCGGGTCGAGTCGATGCTGATGACGAGGACGCTTAACGATTGTTTCACGTCTCTGTGAGATGGTTGAGTTCATCGCAGTGGCTTCCTATAACGCACCCGGGAACTCGAAGGACTCGAATGAGAACTGATCGTTGGTAGAGAATTGTCGAGTGGTGTGTTTGAGTATGAGCGCACGGAACAGTGAAACTTCATTTCAAAAACAGCGTGAATGGAGCAAATGCTGAGAAAGACCATGCTTTCAGCTAGCATGTAACAAATCAAATAACTGACCATCTTGAGACGCCGCAACATATAATCTAGAGATCGAAACCAAACCAATTCCCATAACGGCAGTCTATGTAGGTTCTCTTATCCTCGTGATCAACCACCGAGTTCCGATCTAAATAGTTCTTGATTGATCCAGCTCCTGGATCTCTGTACACCCCGTGCGATGAAGTGTCGATAGGCTCGGCTATAATTGCCGTGTAATCACTGGTGACTTCGACAGGCAATTGAACAGGCCCTCGCATCGAGGCTCTCGATACGTACAAAAGTCCCCGAATAGATGCCCCCTCTTAGTGGAAACAAAGGCGTGGTATAGAGCATCATGAGAGGAATTGTGGCCTGGTTATGAAGATGGCGCTACCCAGCGTGGCAATTCTGGGTCGGTTGTACAATTTTCCACCAAGTTCAAGGTGATACGAGTCTCGTGTTACGAGAGACTTCCACCGATCAAGCTGCACTCGATGGATAAACCTCCCACTCCTATCCTATACAGACGGCCCGTCTGAGACGGAAAGTCTTGGTGATATTTGCCTGGCAGATCTTGTATTGCGCCGGGCGTCATCCGACTGATCTCTAAACTTGAACCGCTCAATGAATCACACCAAGCAAATACGTTATCGACTTCTCGTCCTCCAGCCTTGCGAGCATGGCACTTCCTGAGTACAATGTAGACACTACAACGAGCTCTCGGTGACTTCAGTGTCCGGTTCACTCCTATCCAAGGACCACCTCAACATAGTTGACATATAAACTCGACAGCGTCAGTCGCTTGGAGAAGAAAAATCGATATCATTTAGATTATATCAGCTAGGCCTACTTATACGACGTAATTATCTCGCCAGTTTTATCAGAACACCTCCACAGCTGACATACCACAAATCACAGCCAGAACGGTCCACCCTCCTTGTTCGAGAAGTTTCTGATGACTCCACCGAAGACCAGAGACATGATCGCCGACAGTTTCATGAGAATATTGATAGATGGACCAGAAGTATCTTTCAGGGGATCACCGACAGTGTCACCAGTGACAGCATTCTTGTGAGCAGCAGATCCTTTCTGATGGTTGGGCCCAAGTCCCCCCGCTTCAATATACTTCTTCGCGTTGTCCCAAGCACCTCCCGTATTGGACATCGAAATAGCCATCTGTACGCCCGAGACCAATGCACCGGACAACAGACCAGCAGTACAGTTCTTGCCAAATATCAACCCAGCGATAAGGGGAGAGAGAATGACCAGACAACCAGGTGCAATCATCTCACGAAGCGAGGCTTCGGTAGATATAGCGATGCACCTAGTGTATTGGGGACGCATTTCTCCAGAGATGATCTTGGGGAACTGCCTCATGCACTCGGTGACCATATCATTTGCAGCCTTACCGACGGACTTCATGGTCATAGCAGAGAAGGCGTAAGGCATCATAGCACCAAACAGAAGACCAGTGAAAGTCCAAGGATCGAGAATGTTTACAGTTTCGACTCTAGCACGGACACAGTAAGCACCAAATAAGGCAAGGGAGACTAAAGCGGCAGAGCCAATAGCAAATCCCTTACCGATAGCAGCGGTAGTGTTCCCAGCGGCATCCAACGCATCAGTTCTGGCGCGAACCTCTGGACCGAGCTCCGACATCTCGGCAATACCACCAGCGTTGTCGGATATAGGACCGTAAGCGTCAATAGTGAGACCCATACTCAACGTACCGAGCATTCCCAATGCCCCGAGAGCAACACCATACATACCAGCTATGGTGTGAGCAATGCAAACCGTCACAGCCAGACAGAGTACTGGAATGATGCAGGAAAGGTAACCGAGAGCCAAACCGTATATGATACCAGTCGCAGCTGAAACTTTCTGAGTGTCAGAAATTTCACGAACGGGAGTGTAAGAATGGGACGTATAATACTCTGTACTATACCCGATGATGAGGCCAGACCACAGACCAAGAAGTACCGATGCACAACAGTTACCCCAAGTACAGTGTAGACGTTCTGTATCAATAGCGAAATGGCCAGCAGGGAGAGCCCACCAGCAAAGTACAGCGACGAGTGGGGTCTCGAGGATGGTTGATATGACCAAAACTCCCTTGAGGGCCTTCTCGATGTCAGGCAGCTCCTTAACCTTGTAGAAAATGTTGACAACCATCATAGTGATGAGTCCAACAACAATACCGCCAGACGAGAGTAACAGAGGGAACATCATACTCTTCCATTCCATGTAGTGGGGGGCACTGGCTGATATGACCATAGCAGCGCAGGTCGACTCCGCGAATGACCCGAATAGATCAGCACCCATACCAGCGACATCACCAACATTGTCACCGACATTATCAGCGATACAGGCAGGATTCCTCGGATCGTCCTCATCCATACCGTACTCATTCTTACCCGACAGATCAGCACCAACATCAGCAGCCTTAGTGTATATGCCACCGCCAACACGACCGAACAAAGCGATGGAAGAGCCACCCAAGCCGTAGCCGGCGATGGCCTCGTACAGAGTGGGATGGTCTGCACCATAGAAGATGTCGAGGTTGTAGATAGAGACCAGGATGAAGAGGTTTAGTACACCAAGAGAGACCAGCATGAATCCCATGACCGAGCCACCTCTGATAGCCACATCGTAACCGGAAGCAAGATCCTTCCAAGCCTCGTGTGCTGTACGGACGTTGCTGAATACGGCTGTCTTCATACCGATGTAGCCACATGCGATGGAGGTAAGTGAACCCACGATGAAGGATATCATCGTGCCAACATTCACACAAGGACCAATGATGGCACTGAAGATGACAACGTAGACCAGCATATACTTGTATTCTTGGATGAGGAAGGCTGTGGCGCCGTCAGCGATGTTTCTCGAAATCTCTTGCATCAAGTCTAACGTTTTCTGAATGTCAGTGGAACCGTCAGCCATGAGCCTAGTCTTGAGGTCAGAGCCTTGAGCAGGACCGGTGAGGTGGACCCTCTTGAGAACCATCAGCTCCTTGACTGCCCACAGCATACCCAGTATAGGCGGGACGACGGCGAACACGTCAGTTAAGACGGAGTCGGACATGGAATAGTATGCTATCTGCAAAAATGCAAAGGTAACATACCGACAGCATTAGCACAGTTGAAACTATCGGAACTCGATGCGGCAGGATAAGTGACCGCGACGAACAAATGTGGACACGTCACGTTTTTGTTGAGATCGCGAGTTTCTAGTGCGAAGTATACCGGCGATAAGAACCGCCAGAACGCCCCAAGTGATTGAGGCTGCGAGGAACGTTGGGGTTGGCCACACAAGAAATATACAGCGATTCTGTCAACTGCGGCCTGGAGCACTCCCAATCTCAGTGTATCATTTGAAGATTTGAACGCGTTTCATCTTGACATCTTGGGCAACTTCTCAAGCATCGTTGGACGATTATTGGTACGTTTTTACCCGTGTTAAATCGTCAAGGTTGCCCCCCGATGTTGAAGCACAAGTCACTCGAGTATTATCCTGTACAATGAGGCCTCATGAGACCCCTCCATCAGAGACTCCTACTGTTTCATCGAGCTCTTCGAGCAATGGATCGGAGAAGCCGCTCTCGCTGAAGGTACGTCATTGCTGCGGCAGTTGCCTGGGCCGGGGCGTGGTGATGATGACGTCGATCTGTTCAGAAACAAACTTCAGGCGGGATGAGCGGGGACAGGGACGTGGCTGATATCCACGATATGTGGAGTGTCACCAAAGAGTAACAGAGGGAGATGCTTACCGCTATACCAATGTGAACGGCAGTTCCTTAGGTACGTCAGAATGCGGCAATACCAGGACATTCCCGACAGTGATCCAACAGCAGTCCTTGCCAACAAATTGCGGGAATATATGGAAAGGACTACGGCCGATGGTTTCCAGCCAGAGCCGTTCTTCCACCGCAAGAGCGGCAAGTTAGTGCTCTCTATGTTGCATGTCCGAATGGAGGACGGCAGCGACGAGTTTTTCGAGGGCATCAATGGTGAAGTTTCGTTGCCTACTGGGTCCCTATGCAGCGAACGAGCGGCTATCGCGCATGCTCGTTCGGTGCACCCCAGGATAAACAGGGGAATGTTTATGGGCATCGCGGTCATCGACGTACCTACTAAGATGAACGATGGTCACACTGACAATCCCTTATGGCCCTGCGGGGCGTGCTCGGAGTGGTTGAAGAAAGTACGCTGGGGCCTTTGGTGCGCTCCTTGGAGTTCATCTCATCTTAGATTCAGCAGTCTGTGCCCAACTTCCGAGTCTTAGCTTTCGATAGTGTAGAGATGAACGTGATCTACGAGCGGTTCCTCTTCATGACCCACACAGTAATCGATCATAGCTTCACTCCTGCAGGTAGAAGGAGTCTGAGTATCGTTAGCATCACTATTCCCGACTGCTCTTCAGACCTAGGACGTTGGCAGTGTGACACGTGTCACACCATCAATCCTGAGATGACCAGCAACTGTCAGAACTGCCTTATGGAACGATGGGACAAGCGGGTCCTGAAACCGGGAAAGCGCCGGGATTATCGCCAAGTTCTGAGGAGCCTCTTCGAGGTGAGTTACAACGTCTATTATAAATGTAACGATATGTGGTCCATCAGGCTACTTTGTGTAATGCCAAGCCAGTGACACAAGCTGAGTGGAAGCTGGTTGCTGGATGGGTGCCTATGTGGTGGTTGGAGGCGGAGATGGCCCCAATGGGTTTGGTAGAGGTCCTTGGTGAGGAAGGACCGGCTAGGAGGTAGTAAATCGGAAAACTCGTAGCAAAGTATGGAGTGTAGATATCGATTGACTGGCAAGGGTTTGAAGATGATGAATGAGCCTAACTCTAGCTATAATGAGTCGCTTCGGCACTCCAAACCTGTTCCGGAAGCTGTACCAGATGAAGACGAATGACGTGGTGACGGGCCATGGAGACCTTGAGAACCTGATTGACTGAACGTTTGCATGCTGTATGATGCAGTTCCTGATTTTACTACCATTACCCTATTCATTGCGACGTTACTTGCTGATAGTTGGAAGCTTTGAGTGCGCTGATGAGCATGTTGGAGGATTGTCTCTCTGGAGCAGTTTGTGGTAGCAATGGTGAAGCGAGTCCGTAAGACTGGACGTAAGATTGATGTTTCGGCTGAACTGCAAGCTGTAGAGGAGGCAGCTGATGCCAGGCAAATGATGGAGAAGAGTGCCGACGAGCTCTTCATGGTGGATACTCAAGGCAGCTTCAAAGGCAACACCACTGCTTGGCTGTGCTGGCTCGTTAATGTCATTTCTAGGTGTCCCTAAGGCTCTTAGATACATCGTCAAGAACAGTACCAAGGAAGGCAAAACCTCGACGGTAGTTGGGATAGTGTAGATCGTTGGTGCTGATCGTTATGAGTAAGGTACCGAGCGAAGCTCGACTGCTCGAGAGGAAGATGAAGAGTGTTCAACAGAAGAAGGGTTCGAAGCCCAATCCCAATCAGCAGAAGCTCACTGATCTTTGGGCTGACGATGAGGAAGCTAAGGTCATCAATAATGGCCCCGCTCAGGTAGCAGGTCATCGGCGATATAGGATTCTTATCGGCGATTGTTCAGCGCGGCCATCGAGTTCCCAAGTCTATCCGGCACTCTGCCAATCTTGCCCCTGCAGTGACGATTGCCATGCCCGGTCAGAGTGTGAACCCCGATGGAGATGATGCCAAGGAGCTGCTCTTCACAGCTGCGGCTGTACAGCAGGAGCAGGAGCAGAGAGGTTGGACTTGGTAGCCTTCCAGTCGTGATAGTTGATGTCACTACAGGTCGTCGAACTCCTATGTGGGATGATACTGAGGAGGGCCCGTTGGTGAGCAGCTCCAACTCTATGAAGGCTGGTGATGAGATCGATCCCATCGAAACGAAAAAGGAGGTGGGGCAGCCTGAGAGGAAGACTCAGAAGCAGAAGAATAAGTAGTAGTTATGGTGTACTTGAGGTTGGAGGATCTTGAGCTCTTGATCAGGGAGGCTCGCCACCAAGCCCTTATGTTGGAGCATCAACGTCGGAAGGAGGCCAGGATGAGGCAGCATCTCAAGCAGCATCCTAATGCTGATCTCAAGAAGGTTGGTTGGACCACATGTCTCTTAATCAGTCGTAGAGATGATGATTGGTTTTCAGTTGAAGGCCGAGGAGGAGAGGCTCCGTGTTCGTCGGGAGTACATCAACAAGCTCAAGGCTGCTAGTCTGGCGAACGAAGCGAAGGGTATACGGACTCTGGGATGATGAGATACAGAGTGAATTATCATCTCGTGGATTTAGGTATTCGCACTAGGCGGCTGAAGACAGGTCGACATGTGTTTATGGAGCGTGGCCCTGAGCTTGGCGGCCAGAGCCAGGATTCACTTCGTCGTGTGGTGCCTCAAGGCAGTGCCATCACTGAGCGAGCTATGGCGCAGTAGGTTGCAGCAGAATTGCTGGAGGTGTGGTATAGTAGTACTCAGATACCGCCGAGGCAAGTTGGAGCAGCACGGCAATCTGTCTGGTACGAAGACTCGATAGTCACGATCAGCAATATCTGTCTACTGTATTCTATACCACAACGTTTCTACCCACTCAATTGGAGAGCTCGTCTTGGGCTATGGGGCCTATTTGTGATTCAGTTACGATTTCATTTCAATGTCCAACGAGCGAAACTTGCAGCCTTCCAACGATAAGGACAGCAAGAGCAGCAGTGAGCATAACGAGCTCGATGCCTTTCGAATCGACGTCTCCCACCAAGAGATGGCTATGATCATGCTCGAGATGGAGAAGTTCTGTGCAACGTGTCCTGAGGTATTTTGTGGCGCAGTGACGGAGAGCTGTGTGAGGGTCAGTTTCGGATAGGATACTTGGATCCCGCTGGAAGACGGCATTCAGTGGCTGTGCACAAGCTTGGGCTATGAGGATAAGGATGAATTCGAAGATGCTATCAAAGGTAAGCAACTGTGGTAAGGGTTGACCGGGACTGCGCGAGGAATGGTTGAGAGTTACGTTGTAGGACTGTTGGTCGTATAGGTAGCTTCAAAGACTTCCTCTCAAAATTACCCCAGTTCGAAATGAAAGAGCAAGACGGCAAGTGGTATTTCAAGCCTATTGCAATCAAGGAGGAGTAAGTTGCACTGGCACTGGTGACGATGAGAAGAGCGCTGGCCGTTTTAGCTTGGATAAATCTACCTGGGATCGACCACAGAAGATGACACTACATATCACTGAGCGGAAGCAGCTGTGGACCACCTTCTTGAAGAGCTCCTATGCTCACGTCGAGATACCTGAGCTCGAGTTTGGGATTGGTGCTGATATGACTAGACAAGTAGACACCATCTACAACTTCATCGCTGCTGCCGTCCTCAACTTGAGCGATTATATCAAGGATCACCAGAGTAAAAGAGGGGAGGGCGAGCGAGAAGTGAATGCTGTGTATCAGAGAGTATGTCGGAAGATCAACTTGAAAAGATGTGTGATGCTGTCGCCGAACTGAATAGGATTCTCGATGTTGATGAGCCCTTCACCTGGATTGTAATGCGCCGCCTTCAAGTCTGCGGTAACAAGAGTTCTCCCTGGCAGGTGCATGATCCCAGCGGTCGGAGTTGCTTCAAGCCTGCTGATGACGTGAAGGTTGAGTACCTTGATTTGGATACCATCAGTGAGGAAGGAGAGGAGGAGGGGGAAGGACAGCAGCAGCAACAATAGAAAAGCTATCGTTATCATTGTCCCTTTCTGATCACTGTCTTCACGAATAACCTCTTGTGGAACAACTACCAACTAGTGAGCGTTTCCTTTACCATTTCGGACTAGAGTTTATGTTACTTCTGGATTTGGCATGGCTCTCACTTAGAGTGCCTGGAGAACTCAACCTATCGCTCTTTTGTGTTCTCCGCTTGCATACTGTGAGGTGTTGTCTGTGTCTATCTCGTTTTATCCTTGACGTCGTGCTGGGCCCTACCCAGGACTTGTTGGGTTCACTCACTGACCCGTAGGTTCGTAACTGGGGTGGCTCTGCCGGGAGATGAGAGCCATCTTCGCTACTCACTGTGGACCTGATATGTCTACGGTCAGCTGACGGTGATCATTTCGATCATAACTCGTCTCCATGACAATGCTGTTGCGTTCCTCTACTGTGCTGCCTCTCCTCATGCAGTGGAGTAGTACCCAGTACTGGAAGTGGTCAGTCAACCTTTGGCTAATGTCTCGCGATCATTCCCCTGTCGGCACCGGTCTGAGCTCACCTTCCTCTTCTGGTGGTCCTCAGAGACTATGCATCCACGGTGTGTTCGGCACATCCCGTACCCTACCATTGGGGGACGTTGAGCGGTTCGCTGCGCAACAGTGGCCCGATGATAGCCCAGGCTCGAGCCCTTCCAGCAGAGGGGGAGGCTCAAGAGCTGCTCAAAAGCCTCGACAAAGCTTCTTGGTGATCAGCTCGTCGGGCAAGGACGTAGTAGCGACTGGCACCACGCCAATCGATGAGGAGGTTGTCTTTGTGTACCCATGGTCAGCTCTGACTCCCAGTGCGGACGCTGTGGACAACTCGAGGTTGCTACTACCGGATTTGCATTCAATTCTGAGCGGAGCGAAGCCAGCTGTTGACAATGCCGTTGAGGAGAGGAAGTGGTTGGTGCCGGAGTCTGTTGATGCTGCTTTCAAAGCACAGGCGAAGACTTGGCTTGAGCTCACTAAGACGAAATGGCTGAACTTGGTTAAGTCTCGTGATAAAGTGAATGGTCTTGTGGCCTGCCTAACTCTACAGGAGCGCGCCGCTGAGGCGCTTGGTGAATGGGTGAGACTGTGTGGCCGCAGGCTCGAGGCGGTGGATGCTGACTCGGCTAGAGGGACGCTGAAGCGATTGGAAGAACGCGTTCGGGCGGCTATGGTTGTTATCGATGAACAGCTCCCTACAGTGGAGCTCGAAGCGGTGGTTTCAGCTTGCCTGCCGGATTCCCCAAACACACTGGTAAGCGGTAGGGCTTGGCTCCTGCATTGCAAATCAAATTTAATGGTATCATTCTTCTTGTTAGGTTGATCTCATCCCATATGAGAAGGTCAAGGCTTTCTTAGTCGACACTTTATCCCGTATATCTCGAGCACGATCATGTCTTGATGAGTGGACCAAGCATGCCTCGGCTCGCAGTTCCGAGAGCCTCCGAGTAGAGTTCACACCAGTCGCCTCTGATACCCTCACGAGGGAGCTTGCAGTCTTGAAGAGTTTGGTGACAAAGACCGTCGACGAGATCAGGCCGGCCTTGCTAGCCAACCTGCCCCTACCGACTTCTACTGGCTCGGAGGTCCTCGAGCGCGAGAAGGAGATCCGTAGAGTTCTCTCTGATGAACTTGAACTATCTGTAGTTGCTCGCGGCGAGGAGGCTTATCGTGCATGCCTGGTGGCTTGGGAATCTCGGCAGAAGCAAGTGCTTGGCATATGTAGTGACGCTGGCCGAGCTGCTGGGATAGCTCGTTCGGTCGAGGCCGAGGGTCGCATGCTTATCGAGGTCGTCACTCAGTTGGAGCGTAAGTCCTCTTCTAATGTGGGCCACATTGAAAGGACTATTGAGGCTTACAAGGGATATGTGGCTGAAGTGGTGCGCCGGCGCAAAACTCACGATGAATACGTGAACTTGGTGCATATTGCTGAGACTAAGCTGGCCGCTGCGACGAGGAAGGAAATGATGGCGAGGCATGAATTTGCTTCAACCATTGGAAGACATCTCCCTTCTAGTCTAGCTGACCAGCTCATCGGGCGGCCTGCTCTTCGAGTGACCATCGACTTTGATGCTGATGCAGATGGTGTCAGCATGTTGCCACGTTTGACTGAGGCTGACGTGCTCAATGCTGGTGGGGTCCGCGTCAACATGGAGGATGGGCGCACTGTGGCTAGCTGTGAAGACGGCAATGTTAGTGGTAGCAGTCTTGCCAAAAGTGAAATACATAGCAAGAGCTCCGGCTCAGGCCAAGGTGATCAGAGCACTCCTCGAGAGTAGTCTTCGATATTCTAACTGTTGCATTGCGCATGTAATACCTTTTTATTATTATGACAAAGTGCTTGAGAGCAGTGGATAAATTAGCCCATAATGAAAACTGGGATTAAGACGGCGAGTGTAACTAATCGTAATTTATTGGGGATCATGAAGACCCGGGTATCGAACCCCATGCCTTCCACTCGTTGGTTGGGTGCTCTACCATTTCCCGTGTTTCGGTTTGCTTGGATAGCCAATAGATGTATAGATTCGCAAGTCTCCAGGGCTTGTCGGATTGCGCTGTCGCTGCGACAGTGTCGCACTCTTCATGTGATCAAATCATGTTGTTCCCGAGCCGGGACTCGTCGTGAATATGCGTACCGCTCTACGGCAGGGTATTTGCTTCCTCGGTCGACAGTCTTGAGACTTAATCTGATTCGGCAACATGATCGGCATCATCGTTCTGATTGTAGTCCTGTTGGCCGACTACATCTCGATGGGACAGTTGGTCATAGACAGCTCGAAGCTCACTGAAGGTGGGACTGAGTTGGCACTAGTCGCCATGACCCACCGCTTTAGATGCTCTCTTTCATCCGGAAAGCGAGTTGGCCGAACCACTAGCAGCCGCTACTTTGTTCGAGCCTAAGCTGACGGTCACTTCGATGAGGCAGAAGGACGGCCTCTGCGACCCCTCAGTGGCTCAGTTCGCAGGCTATTTCGAAGCCCGCCCTAAAAAAAGGTGAGGAAGTTAACCACGGGTAATCAAACATAGTCTTAAAGTATACTGTTAGTTACTTCTTCTGGTTCTTCGAGTCCCGTAGTGATCCTGAGAATGATCCGACGGTCATGTGGCTAACGGGAGGTCCCGGATGCAGTAGCCAGCTGGCCTTGCTAGGAGAGAACGGCCCATGCTCGGTCAACAAGGAGGGCACGGGGACGATTCCCAACGAGTAACGTTTGGTGTTGAGCGGCATCTATCACAAGCAGCTGTCAGTTATTCGTGGAATAATCGATCTAATATCTTCTGGGTAGATCAGCCACCGGGAACAGGATTCAGCAAGGGCTCATACGATCATGATGAAGATGGTGTTGCCGAAGATATGTGAGGAAATTCTCGGCTTGCCCTTCCTGGTGAGTCTGCGACCCAGGTATTGGTTCTTGGTCCATTTGTTCACCAAACATCCTGAGTACAACAGAAAATTCTACATAGCAGGAGAATCCTATGCTGGTGAGAACTGGCATGGCACTCAGAACATTGATGGTTGACAATGTGCAGGACATTTTATCCCAGCTATATCACACAAGATCTTCCTCGAAAACAGGAAGGCCAACGGGTTCACTATTAAGTTGGATGGTGTGGCTATAGGCAACGGTATGACCAATCCTGAAGAACAGTGAGCTGCTGTGCCTCGCGATGTGCTTGCCCATAAAGGAGCGCAGCACAGATACAAGTGGTATCCTCTGATGGCATACAACAGCACTACCGCACCAAGCCGGGTGTCCGAGAAAGAGTAGTTGATGCGTGCTCATCTCAGATTACTATGATCTTTGCTGATTGGTATGTCCAGATATGAAGAAATGATGGCGGCTGTTCCCGGCTGTGTTGAAGCTATTCGTAAATGCAATAAGGATGGAAGTGAGTTCTCCCGTATGAACTAACTTATACCATCCTTGATGATCATACGGTAATAGCCGATGATCGTGTTATGTGTAGGTTTCGCTTGTACCAAGGCCTTCCTCCAATGTAACCGCGCACTGTTCAGTCCATATCAGGAGAAGGGTCTCAACCCGTGAGTTCGTAGGGTTGGTCTTTGCCAGGCATGTAGGCACCTACAGGTACGACATGCGTCAGAAGTGCGAACACCCGCCGCTTTGCTACGACTTTTCGCATGTGAGTTGAGCGGCGGCAGACGCAGCAGGTTGTTGATTGATTTCCTGGTATAGATTGACAAGTTCTTGAATAATAAGAAAGTCCAAGAGGAACTCGGTGTTAATACCAAGTGGCAGGAGTGCAACACTCTGGTGATCACCGCCAGCGTGTCACCAACATGTGAGCCCCCCTATCCAGGTTAACATCCTGTTCAACTGGGACTTTATGCACAATTTCCATCAACTGCTCAGCGATCAAATAGAGAGTGGCACACGTGTAATAGGCTTTCTATCTACGCTGGATGGATGGTCGTCTATACAAGGAGTAAGCTTCTTGTGCAGGTGCTGATCTATGTCGGTGATGTTGATTATATTTGTAATTGGATCGGTAACAAGAAGTGGGCATTGAATTTGGAGTGGCAAGGTCAAGAACAATTCAACAAGCAGGAGGATCGGGATTATAAGGTATCGTCAGGAGCGGCTCGAGACAGCAATTCAGCGTCGTGACAGTAGAACAGCAGTAACATTATTGAGTTCAGAATGCATCCGGCAAAGTTGCGGGGAAAGTACGCAGTGTTACTTTGGACAATGGGGGGCAGTTCTCGTTCATGCAGGTAGGACTCGTTCAGATAACCTTTTCTGCCCGAATAGATATGCTGATGTCCTTCATTTTCAGATTAGAGAGGCTGGGCATATGGTGCCGATGGACCAGCCGGCGGTATCTCTCCGTATGCTCAACGACTTCCTCGATGACAAGCTACCTACCCAACATCTTGGCTCCTCTCCCCAGATTCCCTTGTTCGAAGCCATTGAGAGGCAATATGTCGATACAGATGATCAACCGCTTGTAATAGACGTTGTACTCTAGTGGAACTTTGGACATCACTTGACCAGATAAGTGTGTCTCATCCAATATTAGATCTCATTGGCGTGTCTCACCTTTTTGCCTATGGCCTCCGGATTCGTTCCGGTAGGGGTTCTGTGATCTGATTTTTTACATGTGATTCTTGAGTTCTATATAAACTGGTTGGCTCTGAAGTTCAGTCTCTGAGAGTCTGGACAGACGCGAAACGACTTCGAACTGACGATATGAGTTTTAGTGAGCTCCGCATTGTGGAGGGATCTCGGGATTTAGTGTGCAGTCTTCGCCGGATCGGACCCTCGGAGGACCTCTGAGGCATATCCTGTGCTGACCTAGGTAAATCGAGTATGTTTGCCCGGAGCTGTGTAAGGACTTGAGATATTGACTGAGAATTCCGAGACGAAAACGAGAGTTCGAAGGATGGCATACCACGGTGGGATTCTCATCCTCCCGCGGTTTGCATGAGCGAACTCAGAACGGGAGCGCTCGCATACGAGTTGAACATCAAACGTAGTCCGTATTCACTATTCATCCTTTGCCAGAGCTTCAGTTTGTCCTGCTGTATGTTCCGGCGGAAACGATGGGCTCCACAAGCGAGATTCTCAACTACACGAGTCGTGTGGATTGCTCGACTTTGAAAGATGCGTAGGGCTCATACAATGGGAACTAAAAAGAGTGGATATTTCACCGCCAGTAACCCTGAGAAAGTGCTGAGGAGTTCGAAGCCAGGTAGGTCTGGTCTAATGGTTTTAAAGTACACCTGCTTAATAACTCGGGAAAATACCTCTCCTGTTTCATCCAGGATAATCTGCTCTTCTCCTAGATGCATTCGTTCCTGAGTAAGCGGACGTAAGGGGTGGATGGATGAATTGTTAAAGCTCAAATGAAATGATACATTAGTCTGAGTGCTGTGGGGTTCGAACCCACGCGGACCGTGTCCAGTGGATCTTAAGTCCACCCCCTTAACCACTCGGGCAAACACTCTCTCCATTAGATATAGAGAAACCTGCTCTTCTCCTAGATGCATTCGTTCCTGAGTAAGCGGACGTAAGGGATGGATGGATTGTTGAAGTTCAAATGAAATGATACATTGGTCTGAGTGCTGTGGGGTTCGAACCTACACGGACCGTGCCCAGGGGATTTTTAGTCCACCCCCTTAACCATTCGGGCAAACACTCCGTTCCATATTCTCAGGGAAATCTGCTTTTCGAACCCACGCGGACCGTGTCTAGTGGATCTTAAGTCCACCCCCTTAACCACTTGGGCAAGCACTCTTTATATTATATTCAGAGAAACCTGCTCTTCTCCTAGATGCATTTGTCTCTGAGTAGGCGGACAGAGTGGATGGATGGATTATTGGAGGAATCGGATCCGTTGCCGGCCATATAGGGAACGCAAGGGTAGCCGATGGATCAAACTCGAACTATCTTGAATACGGATAAGTCTAGACTAGAGAAATGAAATGATAAGACCAATAGTCTAGTTCACTTGACTACAACGAAGGCCATGCACGCATGCTCATGTTCCTGGCTGGAACAAGGCGACGCACAATGCGTGGCGCACAACTGCTTGTCTACGAATAGACAGTCAGGGAAAATCAGGAGCCCTCATCATCGACTCCTACAACAGATTGTTAAAGTGCATATGAAGTGATACTCCAGCCTGAGTGCTGTGGGGTTCGAACCCACGCGGACCGTGTCCAGTGGATCTTAAGTCCACCCCCTTAACCACTCGGGCAAACACTCTCTCTATTATAATTAGAGAAACCCGCAAGAGCTCCGGCTCAGGTCAAGGTGATCAGAGCACTCCTCGAGAATAGTCTTCGATATTCTAACTGTTGCATTGCAGATGTAATACCTTTTCATCACTATGAGAGAGTGCTTGAGAGCAGTGGATAGATTAGCCCATATTGAAAAGTGGGATTAAGACAGCGAGTGTAACTAATCGCGATTCATTGATGATCATGGAAGAGTCTTCCAGGAAGACCCGGGTATCGAACCCCGTGCCTTCCACTCCTTGGTTGGGTGCTCTACCATTTCCCGTGTTTCGGTTTGTTTGGAGAGCCGATAGAAGTATAGACTCGCAAGTCCCCAGAGCTTGTCGGATTGCGCTGTCGCTGCGACAGTGTCGCACTCTTCATGTGATCAAATCATGTTGTTCCTGAGCCGGGACTCGTCGTGAATATGCGTACCGCTCTACGGCAGAGTATTTGCTTCCTCGGTCGACAGTCTTGAGACTTAATCTGACTCGGCAACATGATCGGCATCATCGTTCTGATTGTAGTCCTGTTGGCTGACTACCCCTCGATGGGACAGTTGGTCATAGACAGCTCGAAGCTCACTGAAGGTGGGACTGAGTTGACACTAGTCGCCATGACCCACCGCTTTAGATGCTCTCTTTCATCCGGAAAGCGAGTTGGCGGAACCACTAGCAGCCGCTACTTTGTTCGAGCCTAAGCTGACGGTCACTTCGATGAGGCAGAAGGACGGCCTCTGCGACCCCTCAGTGGCTCAGTTCGCAGGCTATTTCGAAGCCCGCCCTAAAAAAAGGTGAGGAAGTTACCACGGGTAATTAAACATAGTCTTAAAGTATACTGTTAGTTACTTCTTCTGGTTCTTCGAGTCCCGTAGCGATCCTGAGAACGACCCGACGGTCATGTGGCTAACGGGAGGTCCCGGATGCAGTAGCCAGCTGGCCTTGCTAGGAGAGAACGGTCCATGCTCAGTCAACAAGGAGGGCACGGGAACGATTCCCAACGAGTAACGTTTGGTGTTGAGCAGCATCTATCATAAGGAGCTGTCAGTTATTCGTGGAATAATCGATCTAATATCTTCTGGGTAGATCAGCCACCGGGAACAGGATTCAGCAAGGGCTCATACGATCATGATGAAGATGGTGTTGCCGAAGATATGTGAGTAAATTCTCGCCTTGCCCTTCCTGGTGAGTCTGCGACCCAGGTATTGGTTCTTGGTCCAGTTGTTCACCAAACACCCTGAGTACAACAGGAAATTCTACATAGCAGGAGAATCCTATGCTGGTGAGAACTAGCAGGGCACTCAGAACATTGATAGTTGACAATGTGCAGGACATTTTATCCCAGCTATATCACACAAGATCTTCCTCGAGAACAAGAAGGCCAACGGGTTCACTATTAAGTTGGATGGTGTGGCTATAGGCAACGGTATGACCAATCCTGAAGAACAGTGAGTTACTGTGCCTCGCGATGTGCTGACCCATTAAGGAGCGCAGCACAGATACAAGTGGTATCCTCTGATGGCATACAACAGCACTACCGCACCAAGCCGGGTGTCCGAGAAAGAGTAGTTGATGCGTGCTCATCTCAGATTACTATGATATTTTCTGATTGGTATGTCCAGATATGAAGAAATGATGGCGGCTGTTCCCGGCTGTGTTGAAGCTATTCGTAAATGCAATAAGGATGGAAGTGAGTTTTCCCGTATGAACTAACTTATACCATCATTGATGATTATACGGTAATAGTCGATGATCGTGTTATGTGTAGGTTTCGCTTGCACCAAGGCCTTCCTCCAATGTAACCGCGCACTGTTCAGTCCATATCAGGAGAAGGGTCTCAACCCGTGAGTTCGTAGGGTTGGTCTTTGCCAGGCATGTAGGCACCTACAGGTACGACATGCGTCAGAAGTGCGAACACCCGCCGCTTTGCTACGACTTTTCGCATGTGAGTTGAGCGGCGGCAGACGCAGCAGGTTGTTGATTGATTTCCTGGTATAGATTGACAAGTTCTTGAATGATAAGAAAGTCCAAGAGGAACTCGGTGTTAATACCAAGTGGCAGGAGTGCAACACTCTGGTGATCACCGCCAGCGTGTCACCAACATGTGAGCCCCCCTATCCAGGTTAACATCCTGTTCAACTGGGACTTCATGCACAATTTCCATCAACTGCTCAGCGATCAAATAGAGAGTGGCACACGTGTAATAGGCTTTCTATCTACGCTGGATGGGTGGTCGTCTATACAAGGAGTAAGCTTCTTGTGCAGGTGCTGATCTATGTCGGTGATGTTGATTATAGTTGTAATTGGATCGGTAACAAGAAGTGGGCACTGAATTTGGAGTGGCAAGGTCAAGAACAATTCAACAAGCAGGAGGATCGGGATTATAAGGTATCGTCAGGAGCGGCTCGAGCAAGCAATTCAGCGTCGTGACAGTAGAACAACAGTAACATTATTGAGTTCAGAATACATCCGGCAAAGTTGCGGGGAAAGTACGCAGTGTTACTTTGGACAATGGGGGGCAGTTCTCGTTCATGCAGGTAGGACTCGTTCAGATAACCTTTTCTGCCCGAATAGATATGCTGATATCCTTTATTTTCAGATTAGAGAGGCCGGGCATATGGTGCCGATGGACCAGCCGGCGGTATCTCTCCGTATGCTCAACGACTTCCTCGATAACAAGCTACCTACCCAACATCTTGGCTCCTCTCCCCAGGTTCCCTTGTTCGAAGCCATTGATAGGCAATATGTCGATACAGATGATCAACCGCTTGTAATAGACATTGTACTCTAGTGAAACTTTGGACATCACTTGTCTCACCTTCTTGCCTATGGCCTCCGGATTCGTTCCGGTAGGGGTTCTGTGATCTGATTTTTTACATGTGATTCTTGAGTTCTATATAAACTGGTTGGCTCTGAAGTTCAGTCTCTGAGAGTCTGAACAGACGCGAAACGACTTCGAACTGACGATATGAGTTTTACTGAGCTCCGCACTGTGGAGGGATCTCGGGATTTAGTGTGCAATCTTCGCCGGATCGGACCCTCGGAGGACCTCTGAGGCATATCCTGTGCTGACCTAGGTAAATCGAGTATGTTTGCTCGGAGCTGTGTAAGGACTTGAGATATTGACTGAGAATTCCGAGACGAAAACGGGAGTTCGAAGGATGGCATACCACGGTGGGATTCTCATCCTCCCGCGGTTTGCATGAGCGAACTCAGAACGGGAGCGCTCGCATACGAGTTGAACATTAAACGTAGTCCGTATTCACTATTCATCCTTTGCCAGGGCTTCAGTTTGATCTGCTGTATGTTCCGGCGGAAACGATGGGCTCCACAAGCGAGATTCTCAACTACACGAGTCGTGTGGATTGCTTGACTTTGAAAGATGCATAGGGCTCATACAATAGGAACTACAAGAGAGTGGATATTTTACCGCCAGTAACCCTGAGAAAGTGCTGAGGAGTTCGAAGCCAGGTAGGTCTGGTCTAATGGTTTTAAAGTACATTTGCTTAATAACTCGGGAAAATACCTCTCCTGTTTCATCCAGGATAATCTGCTCTTCTCCTAGATGCATTCGTTCCTGAGTAAGCGGACGGAAGGGGTAGATGAATTGTTAAAGCTCAAATGAAATGATACATTAGTTTGAGTGCTGTGGGGTTCGAACCCACGCGGACCGTGTCCAGTGGATCTTAAGTCCACCCCCTTAACCACTCGGGCAAACACTCTCTCCATTAGATATAGAGAAACCTGCTCTTCTCCTAGATGCATTCCTTCCTGAGTAAGCGGACGTAAGGGGTGGATGAATTGTTAAAGCTCAAATGAAATGATACATTAGTCTGAGTGCTGTGGGGTTCGAACCCACGCGGACCGTGTCCAGTGAATCTTAAGTCCACCCCCTTAACCACTCGGGCAAACACTCTCTCCATTAGATATAGAGAAACCTGCTCTTCTCCTAGATGCATTCGTTCGCAGACGGAGTGGATGGATGATTTGTTAAAGCTCAAATGAAATGATACACTAATCTGAGTGCTGTGGGGTTCGAACCCACGCGGACCGTGTCCAGTGGATCTTAAGTCCACCCCCTTAACCACTCGGGCAAACACTCTCTCTATTATAACTAGAGGAACCTGCTTTTCTCCTAGATGCATTCGTTCCTGAGTAGGCGGACGAAGTGGATGGATGGATTGTTAAAGTGCATATAACATGATACATTAGTCTGAGTGCTGTGGGGTTCGAACCCACGCGGACCGTTTCCAGTGGATCTTAAGTCCACCCCCTTAACCACTCGGGCAAACACTCTCTCTATTATAACTAGAGAAACCTGCTTTTCTCCTAGATGCGTTCGTTCCTGAGTAGGCGGACGAAGTGGATGGATGGATTGTTAAAGTGCATATAACATGATACATTAGTCTGAGTGCTATGGGGTTCGAACCCACGCGGACCGTGTCCAGTGGATCTTAAGTCCACCCCCTTAACCACTCGGGCAAACACTCTCTCTATTATAACTAGAGAAACCTGCTTTTCTCCTAGATGCGTTCGTTCTTGAGTAGGCGGACGAAGTGGATGGATGGATTGTTAAAGTGCATATAACATGATACATTAGTCTGAGTGCTGTGGGGTTCGAACCCACGCGGACCGTGTCCAGTGGATCTTAAGTCCACCCCCTTAACCACTCGGGCAAACACTCTCTCTACTATAACTAGAGGAACCTGCTTTTCTCCTAGATGCATTCGTTCCTGAGTAGGCGGACGAAGTGGATGGATGGATTGTTAAAGTGCATATAACATGATACATTAGTCTGAGTGCTGTGGGGTTCGAACCCACGTGGACCGTGTCCAGTGGATCTTAAGTCCACCCCCTTAACCACTCGGGCAAACACTCTCTCTATTATAACTAGAGAAACCTGCTTTTCTCCTAGATGCGTTCGTTCCTGAGTAGGCGGACGAAGTGGATGGATGGATTGTTAAAGTGCATATAACATGATACATTAGTCTGAGTGCTGTGGGGTTCGAACCCACGCGGACCGTGTCCAGTGGATCTTAAGTCCACCCCCTTAACCACTCGGGCAAACACTCTCTCTATTAGATATAGAGAAACCTGCTCTTCTCCTAGATGCATTCCTTCCTGAGTAAGCGGACGTAAGGGGTGGATGAATTGTTAAAGCTCAAATGAAATGATACATTAGTCTGAGTGCTGTGGGGTTTGAACCCACACGGACCGAGTCCAGTGGATCTTAAGTCCACCCCCTTAACCACTCGGGCAAACACTCTCTCCATTAGATATAGAGAAACCTGCTCTTCTCCTAGATGCATTCGTTCCCAGACGGAGTGGATGGATGATTTGTTAAAGCTCAAATGAAATGATACACTAATCTGAGTGCTATGGGGTTCGAACCCACGCGGACCGTGTCCAGTGAATCTTAAGTCCACCCCCTTAACCACTCGGGCAAACACTCGCTCTCTTATAATTAGAGAAACCTGCTTTTCTCCTAGATGCGTTCGTTCCCGAGTAAGCGGACGTAAGGGGTGGATGAATTGTTAAAGCTCAAATGAAATGTTACACTAGTCTGAGTGCTGTGGGGTTCGGACCCACGCGGACCGAGTCCAGTGGATCTTAAGTCCACCCCCTTAACCACTCGGGCAAACACTCTCTCCATAAGATATAGAGCAACTTGCTCTTCTCCTAGATGCATTCGTTCCTGAGTAAGCGGACGGAGTGGATGAATGAATTGTTAAAGCTCAAATGAAATGATACATTAATCTGAGTGCTGTGGGGTTCGAACCCACGCGGACCGTGTCCAGTGGATCTTAATTCCACCCCCTTAACCACTCGGGCAAACACTCTCTCCATTAGATATAGAGAAACCTGCTTTTCTCCTAGATACATTCGTTCCTGAGTAAGCGGACGTAAGGGATGGATGAATTGTTAAAGCTCAAATGAAATGATACATTATTCTGAGTGCTGTGGGGTTCGAACCCACGCGGACCGCGTCCAGTGGATCTTAAGTCTACCCCCTTAACCACTCGGGCAAACACTCTCTCTATTATAACGAGAGGAACCTGCTTTTCTCCTAGATGCATTCGTTCCTGAGTAGGCGGACGAAGTGGATGGATGGATTGTTAAAGTGCATATGACATGATACATCAGTCTGAGTGCTGTGGGGTTCGAACCCACGCGGACCGTGTCCAGTGGATCTTAAGTCCACCCCCTTAACCACTCGGGCAAACACTCTCTCCATTACATATAGAGAAACCTGCTTTTCTCCTAGATGCGTTCGTTCCCGAGTAAGCGGACGTAAGGGGTGGATGAATTGTTAAAGCTCAAATGAAATGTTACCTTAGTCTGAGTGCTGTGGGGTTCGAACCCACGCGGACCGAGTCCAGTGGATCTTAAGTCCACCCCCTTAACCACTCGGGCAAACACTTTCTCCATAAGATATAGAGCAACTTGCTCTTCTCCTAGATGCATTCGTTCCTGAGTAAGCGGACGAAGTGGATGGATGGATTGTTAAAGTGCATATAACATGATACATTAGTCTAAGTGCTGTGGGGTTCGAACCCACGCGGACCGTGTCCAGTGGATCTTAAGTCCACCCCGTTAACCACTCGGGCAAACACTCTCTCCATTAGATATAGAGAAACCTGCTCTTCTCCTAGATGCATTCGTTCGCAGACGGAGTGGATGGATGATTTGTTAAAGCTCAAATGAAATGATACACTAATCTGAGTGCTGTGGGGTTCGAACCCACGCAGACCGTGTCCGGTGGATCTTAAGTCCACCCCCTTAACCACTCGGGCAAACACTCTCTCTATTATAACTAGAGGAACCTGCTTTTCTCCTAGATGCATTCGTTCCTGAGTAGGCGGACGAAGTGGATGGATGGATTGTTAAAGTGCATATGACATGATACATTACTCTGAGTACTGTGGGGTTCGAACCCACGCGGACCGTGTCCAGTGGATCTTAAGTCCACCCCCTTAACCACTCGGGCAAACACTCTCTCCATTACATACAGAGAAACCTGCTTTTCTCCTAGATGCGTTCGTTCCCGAGTAAGCGGACGTAAGGGGTGGATGAATTGTTAAAGCTCAAATAAAATGTTACCTTAGTCTGAGTACTGTGGGGTTCGAACCCACGCGGACCGTGTCCAGTGGATCTTAAGTCCACCCCCTTAACCACTCGGGCAAACACTCTCTCCATTACATACAGAGAAACCTGCTTTTCTCCTAGATGCGTTCGTTCCCGAGTAAGCGGACGTAAGGGGTGGATGAATTGTTAAAGCTCAAATAAAATGTTACCTTAGTCTGAGTGCTGTGGGGTTCGAACCCACGCGGACCGTGTCCAGTGGATCTTAAGTCCACCCCCTTAACCACTCGGGCAAACACTCTCTCCATTAGATATAGAGAAACCTGCTTTTCTCCTAGATGCGTTCGTTCCCGAGTAAGCGGACGTAAGGGGTGGATGAATTGTTAAAGCTCAAATGAAATGTTACCTTAGTCTGAGTGCTGTGGGGTTCGAACCCACGCGGACCGTGTCCAGTGGATCTTAAGTCCACCCCCTTAACCACTCGGGCAAACACTCGCTCTCTTATAATTAGAGAAACCTGCTTTTCTCCTAGATGCGTTCGTTCCCGAGTAAGCGGACGTAAGGGGTGGATGAATTGTTAAAGCTCAAATGAAATGTTACATTAGTCTGAGTGCTGTGGGGTTCGAACCCACGCGGACCGTGTCCAGTGGATCTTAAGTCCACCCCCTTAACCACTCGGGCAAACACTCTCTCTATTATAATTAGAGAAACCTGCTTTTCTCCTAGATACATTCGTTCCTGAGTAAGCGGACGTAAGGGATGGATGAATTGTTAAAGCTCAAATGAAATGATACATTAGTCTGAGTGCTGTGGGGTTCGAACCCACGCGGACCGAGTCCAGTGGATCTTAAGTCCACCCCCTTAACCACTCGGGCAAACACTCTCTCCATAAGATATAGAGCAACTTGCTCTTCTCCTAGATGCATTCGTTCCTGAGTAAGCGGACGGAGTGGATGGATGAATTGTTAAAGCTCAAATGAAATGATACATTAATCTGAGTGCTGTGGGGTTCGAACCCACGCGGACCGTATCCAGTGGATCTTAATTCCACCCCCTTAACCACTCGGGCAAACACTCTCTCCATTAGATATGGAGAAACCTGCTTTTCTCCTAGATACATTCGTTCCTGAGTAAGCGGACGTAAGGGATGGATGAATTGTTAAAGCTCAAATGAAATGATACATTATTCTGAGTGCTGTGGGGTTCGAACCCACGCGGACCGTGTCCAGTGGATCTTGAGTCTACCCCCTTAACCACTCGGGCAAACACTCTCTCCCTTAGATATAGAGAAACCTGCTCTTCTCCTAGATGCATTCGTTCCTGAGTAAGCGGACGGAGTGGATGGATGAATTGTTAAAGCTCAAATGAAATGATGCATTAATCTGAGTGCTGTGGGGTTCGAATCCACGCGGACCGTGTCCAGTGGATCTTAAGTCCACCCCCTTAACCACTCGGGCAAACACTCTCTCTATTAAAACTAGAGAAACCTGCTTTTCTCCTAGATGCATTCGTTTCTGAGTAGGCGGACGAAGTGGATGGATGGATTGTTAAAGTGCATATAACATGATACATTAGTCTGAGTGCTGAGAGGTTCGAACCCACGCGGACCGTGTCCAGGGGATCTTAAGTCAACCGCCTTAACCACTCGGGCAAACACTCTCTCTATTATAATGAGAGAAACCTGCTTTTCTCCTAGATGCATTCGTTCCTGAGTAGGCGGACGAAGTGGATGGATGGATTGTTAAAGTGCATATAACACGATACATTAGTCTGAGTGCTGTGGGGTTCGAACCCACGCGGACCGTGTCCAGTGGATCTTAAGTCCACCCCCTTAACCACTCGGGCAAACACTCTCTCTATTATAATTAGTGAAACCTGCCCTTCTCCTAGATGCATTCGTTCCTGAGTAAGCGGACGGAGTGGATGGATGAATTGTTAAAGCTCAAATGAAATGATACATTAATCTGAGTGCTGTGGGGTTCGAACCCACGCGAACCGTGTCCAGTGGATCTTAAGTCCACCCCCTTAACCACTCGGGCAAACACTCTCTCTATCATAATTAGAGAAACCTGCTTTTCTCCTAGATACATTCGTTCCTGAGTAAGCGGACGTAAGAGATGGATGAATTGTTAAAGCTCAAATGAAATGATACATTAGTCTGAGTGCTGTGGGGCTCGAACCCACGCGGACCGAGGCCAGTGGACCTTAAGTCCACCCCCTTAACCACTCGGGCAAACACTCTCTCAATTATAATAATAGAAACCTGCTCTTCTCCTAGATGCATTTATTTCTGAGTAGGGGGACGGAGTGGATGGATTATTAACGTTCAAATGTAACTATACACTGGTCTGAGTGCTGTGGGGTTTGAACCCACGCGGACCGTATCCAGCAGCTCTTAGGTACACTCCTTTAACTACCCGGGTTAACGCCCCATCCACGTTATTGAGAGAATTCAGTCCCTACCGAGAACATTTGGCCCTCATGCGAGAGTGATTCTATGAACTGTTGAGGCTTCAATGTGATTTGATACGCTAGTGATTGTGTGCTGTGGGGTTTGGTTTTTCGACCCTCGACCGCGGGATAGTTTTTGATGATAGGCCGGTAGACGATGTTGGACCTGTGAATGGGGAGTTCTCACATGGTAGGGGTCTTTATCGTCCATGGGACCATCAGATTAAGCTCACAATAATCCTCACTATCGAGGAGAGAGTATCGATGTTCCGTCTTGTTCATGTTTAGTAGTGTGTCTTGTCGACCATAAATGAACTCATTGTTGGTGAGGTAAATCATAAACCAATTGACTACGAACCAAATACCGCCTATACAAACTGGGACTAGTGCGAAGAAGACGTGAGAATCATCGTCCAATCCTTGGGGATAGTAAGGCGCTGTTGCGGAGGTCAAATAGGGAGTCTCCGCCACCGAACACCACGCAGAAGTGTTTTCGAGCCATCTGAAGGACGAGAGCTGAGCAATGGCGAAAGGCCAGTCCCGAACCTGTTCCAGCCTCGCACACTTGTCATCGTCTAACACCCGACGAGCTGCGATTGCTAATCGCGTGCTCAGAGTGCAGGACACGAAACTGTAAGGTTCGCGCGACATCGACAAAGCAAGCGCTTCCGAGAGGGCATGAACCGCCAACTCGTAAGCCTCGGAACCATTGGCTGGAGGGGAAACGAGTAGCCAGGAGCGATAGCGGCAATGAAGAGTATTCCTACCTGCATCTGCCAGAGTAGAGTAGGCAACGGCTAAGGAGGGATCCTTCAGAGAACCATCGATCTGCTCTAATGTGCCGATCAGTGACTGGAAGCACATCTCCGAGTGCTCCTTCATTGTAGGCGGTTCAATGGAGCCGTCGGAATCGCCTTCCTCACCAGCCAGGGCATACTGCTCAGCCGTCGGTGGGCCCGCCTTCAACGCTTGCTGAGGAGGGAACGTCAGCTCACGTTAACACTACTGGCCAATCCTGAGCTCACCTTGATCTCCCGTACCGCCTGCATGAGAGCAGCTAGCTCCTCAGGGGGCGACATGTCGAACCTGCCGACAGTTGAAAAAGCAGTTCCTCCGTCAAGACGATGGAAAGGAGCCGATTCCGCGGCGATAACTTTTACTTGGGATCGAAAGGCTCGTTGAATCCATGTTGAGAATGAGTAACTCTATTCCGCTCAACCCACGGCATCAACGTGGGGCAGTAATTGTCTAGCAGCTGTGCTCCTGAAGAAAGCAAACTTGACACACTGCTGGACTCGATGACACCGGATAGCAGTCCTACCAGGAGGTATGTCTCTAATCGCTCTCGATGCCAGGAACCCCGCTTTGCCGATATGCGATCGAGTAACATTCGGGATGTAGGAATGGTTGGCCATCGAGAGGAAGGGCCAAAGGCCGACCTGGAGCGGACCAGTGCGGGATGGGAAGCACAGGTGCTGGGCTCACTCGGCTAAAGAGTTTATCGTCCGTCACATCGCGTCTGCCGTTAATGGGGAGAGGCTCTTCCGCCATGTAGTTGTGCGACAGGATGCCCTCAAGATCGAGTTCAGCACTATCCTCAATAGATCCCGAGAAGAGCTGATTGAGCAATTCAGTCGCAGGCGGAGCGATCGAGACCTGCCTTCTGGATAATCTCCTTTTTTGAGGGATCAGCAGCTGCTTTCTGAAGACTACTCAGTAGCTTGTCGTAGGACGTTTCGATAAGGAGAGGTCTCTCGAAGGCGATGAGCGCTCCCACTGGAATCACCTGATAGCCACGGTTCACACAATCATTCCCCAACGGTGCTGTACGGTACGTTATTTGATACATTGTAGAGTCCTCGGCCGCCACCGAAGTCTTCTGTTCTCTTCACACCAACCGAGGGATTGACGTAGAGATCATATGGCCATGGACCCTCCTCACCGCGCGCCAGGCCGACAAGTTCATCATCTGTCGGTGGTGAAGCAGTCGGCTCGAAGCCCAGGAGATCTCGATCGTCCTCGCCCCCCATGGTTGAAGTAAATCTAAGCTGCGTTACAATTTTGAGTACAGTTCAAGAAGAAAGCCTACTGCTTACACTCATTCCCTCGGAAACAACAACATTACAATGTACTTCAGAAACGCCCGCAAGCCATAGACATGTCGAAAAACGTTACAGGCGGAAGAGCGGCTCCTGATCAGGACCTCCCCCTGCTGGCTCCTCAATGTGCACGTCCTCTGAGCCTTTCAGATGGTCATACTGATGTTGGTACGCATATTTCCGTCGTCTTATTTCGGCTAAATCTATCCTCGGGAACGATTGCCTCGGTGTTCCTGATGTATTCCATACCACCCGAGACTCGCGGTACACCTACCGTCCAGCATAGCCTTCTTCGTATTGGTAATGTCCTGATGCGGCAATGTCGTGTCCATGTGTAGTGCCATCTCTTCTCTCTTGGTGATGGTCGGATGACCATGGTCACCTCTACAGAGCCCTACACTGATCCTGCATAACCCAACCCTACCTCAATAGGAGCGGGATGGGCTCTCTCCAAGCGTGCCGATGTCGAGGTTTCCAATCGTTCTTGCGGTCTTGTCCGAACCTGTATACCCCTTCACCGCAAACGCCTATGCAATAGTATGCACCAACCTATACGGTATGTAGTCGTATTGCATGCTCAGCTTGTTCCTATGTATAGCTGGATTGAGGTGTGGTGTCGAGGAGCTCGAGAGCATCTTCACAGTGTTAGGAATGGTCTCTTCGCACGTGACAATCGCCTGACTCTCGAAGACTGCTCATCCCAATGATCATCAGGCAGCTGCTACCTTCTTAAACTGAGCCCCGTTCTTGTAATAGGCCCTTGCTCTGTTCTTCATCACCTTAGGGAAACGAACAACAGTGGTGCAGCGGATGGCCTTGACGCCGTATATCTGGCGGGCTCGATGACCAGCCGAGAGATGTGTTATTCCTCTCACTTTCCGTAGGTATTCCCGTATTTCCAACTTGGTCAGATGAACCGGCACTCGGAATGCTATACGATTCGGCTCGAGGTACATACCCGACCGATGAATGACCTAACCAAAGGTGACCATCTGACTGCCTGCGATGAGAGTGGCGAGTCTACAAAGTTGAACCAAGGGAAGAAGACATTACGGGGAGCCTTGGGAGGCCCGAGGAGCTGCCGAGTAATATAGAACATTCAAATGGACGATGAAACACTACCACCTACGATAACAACTACTGAACACCACACTTGTGAAGTTTCTCTAGAGCACTATCCATGAGAGACGGCCCCGCATGAGGGAGCCTCTGTAACAATGAGGAAGCTGGTAGAGCTATCTACTCACGAGACTCAGGAGAGATCTGAAGAGACAGCCAGTTCCTGAATAGAGTAGGGATATGATCAAAAGAGCCCTGGCCCTACACACTCAGTACCACAGCTCGGCCTTCGGCTGAAGTGCCGACGAGAGCATTCAGGTCCACCAGCCAGTATGAATCCCGAGACCCTGTTCTCTCAGAGCCGAAGATAGCCGTGGACCGAACAGCCAGAGCGACCGACCCCTGCCTTCTCGATAACTGTTGTAAGACCAAGATTTGATGAGCACGACTCTCTCTAAGGCCCTCAGTCATTGCTACTTCAACTTCAAGAGCATAGTGTACACATTACTTGTCCTTCATGTGAAACCTAGTGGGCTTCCTCACTGCAGGATTATCCCACTGCCTTTCTCCTCTGCTATACACAAGTCACCACTACATCCGAACACTGGACTACTCACAGGCGCATCCTCCCAGCATCCAAAGACTCTCTACCATAGGCATTGAACCGTATCTCAGGAGTACCCTTTGCTTTTCCCCAGTACTGAACGCAGCTCTCGAGTCATCAGGGAGGAGACGAAGTTGCATCAGACCTCATTTTCTCTCGCTCTTCGATTTCCCTCAGTTTCTGACGGGCCATACAGGCTTGTTCTTCCCGCTGACGTCGTCGCTCGAGGCTAAGTACCCGACGCTCCGCCTGTATCTGCTTAACAAGGCCGCGTTGTATCATCAGTGATCGGGACTCAGAGTAGCCCCTAAAACAATGCCATATCATTCCCGAAAAAGAGGTCATTCACTACGGCTCTGGGTATTGGACCCTCATCCTGGACTTCCGCTTCCGGGCCCCACTTGAATCCTCCCCCAACTGCTGTAGCAACTCTAAGGGGCCCCTACAAACTGAGATTCCCAACCCAAGTCGTCAACTTCCCCTTGCTACTACCCCGCCGTCCCCGCCGCCTGTGCCTCTCTGGTCCTCAGAAAAGTCCTCTGAGCTATAGACGGGCCACCGAAGGACCCTGCCTGCTCTAGAGGGTCATGGATTTGTAATAGAGCCCTTGTTGAGGGGTCATACATAGTGAACTGAGGAGATACCAGAGTGATCTTTACAACGACAAGCTGACCATTTTTCCCACGCCTCTGAACAAGCTCACACCTGAGCGAGAAAACCCCTCGGAGATAGTTATTGACATGACCCCGGTACGCAACAGGCCAGGCTAGAAGTAAAATACGGTTACAGCATTACATGTGTAAGTAGACGTACAAATCAATTACTGCGGCTCTTACACCGCATATACCCGTCGTATACCGGATCGTATATATCCACAGCCTGGTCGAGTTTGTATGGTTCGGCTACTGAGTTTGACTTCCGATCTACCCACCGACTAATCACCCTTAGATAGCGCGCCACTCTTACATGTACAGCAGGGATACATAAAGCACCAAGCCGGCCAAGCCGATGATAATCGAATATGAAAGATTAGCCTCCAAATCGAAGCATAGAGTGAGGATGTGTATGGCCAAGCTCAGAGTCCAGCAACAGAGACTCCCTCAGCTCTCCACACCTCCGCCTCGCATGTTGGTATCAAACACATCCAAAGGAACGAGGCAGAGGAGCAAGAGGAAGACTAGTTTGAACGCCACTCAAATGCTTTCACAAAAGAGCTAAACATAGTCAGTTTCGCAGTCAATGAACCCGAGCGCTCAACAGGTTAATCACGGCTAAGTATTTATCGAGCAAAATAAAGTTGTGGACACCCAAAGCATTCTCCACCCAAATAGAAGAGTGGATCGGGAGACGACGATACCACACCTTGCCCGCACGGGAGAGTCCATCAATGTGAATGCATGGTATCGTTCGTGCAAGTTGCAAGAAAAATTTCTCAAGAAGCGCTCGCCTCAGTCGCTATGCACCGATCGATACCTTTCACGAATTTGAGAAGCCCCCGTCAACCATGCAAGTTTTCGTCCGCTCACTTACTGGCAACACCGTTGCCGTCAACGGTGCCACTACTGTCGCTGATGTGAAGGCCCGCGTACAGGTGATAACACTACTCATAAACGGTTGAGCGTCTTCTTGCTGCGTGGTTCGAAATTGGTGTTGCCATCGGTTGTCGAGGATCGCATCGTCTTCTTTCGTTGCGTAGGCCGCTGAAGGCATCCCTGTTGAGGACCAGCGTATTCTCTTCGCCGGTGCTGCTCTCGAGGATGAGGTTATGCTCGCCCATGCCGGAATCACCGATGTAATACTATGGGAAAAGGACGGCTTGCAGTTGGGGGGGTGTTCGCACTGTGTATCTCCCGTCGTTGATTCGTTTAATTTCAGGATTCCGTCCTCGCTCTCAACTTGGAGCTCTTGGGAGGTGGCAAGAAGCGTAAGAAGAAGACTTACACTGCCCCCAAGAAGAACAAGCACACCCATAAGAACGTCAAGCTCGCCACTTTGAAGTTCTACAAGGTCGACTCCGATAACAAGGTCCAGCGCCTCCGCAAGCAGTGCCCTAACGCCTCCTGCGGTGCCGGTGTCTTCATGGCCAACCACTTCAACCGTTACTACTGCGGCAAGTGCTCCATGACTTACCTTATCAAGGGTGAGGACGAGGAGTAAATGAGTTGTAGCTAGTATCAGACACATTAGGCGCGAGCCTCTTGTGGGTTGGACAAGGCTTCCGGTTCGATTCATTTTCTTCTGTTGAGTTGCGTCATCGCGTCCACGAGAGAAGCTAGTTTCTTCATGCGATTCGTGGTTCCTTGAATGTCTACAGTCAAGTACATCTACATGAGATTTTGGAAAAGGCGAATCGAGATTCAGTCTCAATTGTCGTTGTTTCTGAATCACTGCTAATCATATATTGTCCAGGTTGTTTAGCTTCGAAGATCTTCCGTGGGGAGCACTAAAGTTGATACCTGAAATAAATCGCTGTATCCAAAAGCTACATAGCTGATTCTCAGTCGTCTGGAGTGTCTCGCCAATTCAAGATTTATGCAGGTGCACACGGATCGTTCACTTAGGATATTTGTATGTGATGCTGTATCGTTTCTGGATTCGAGACGACGGTAGAGTACAATGTAGAGTTAGATAACTGAGGCCGGCTTTTATTTGTGAGCTGGAGCGCGAATGTAAACTAACTCGGTTCCCATCACTTATCTCACGACTTCTATTTTTTGTACGAGGTACAAGAATACAGCTATCTCGGTCAAATTTCATGCGCGAAAGGCCTCACTCACCGCATTCAATCGCTCCATATGAGCTTCTGAGTATGCCAAGATATCTTCCACTAGACTCAGATGGGAGCTCATCAGAGAAGGGTATTCTTCGGGAGAGGAGGGCAACTTTAAGAACGGTCAGAGAGCTCGTAGGGTGCACGTTGAGGGTCGTATCCACTAGAATTCGTCATGCATGACGAGCCACATCACTCATCTCATAACTGTCTCTGATACCACTTTGAAGCTCTCCGATCGCTCCAAAGTTACGCAAACCGTAATACTATCCTTGGTTCTTCCGTTACTATTGCAACAATAGTAACAGAAGAACCAAGAAGAAAACTACGTTGAGTGAAGTTCCGTTGGACAGACGTTCTGTCTCCAGCGGCTACTTCATGCAACCCTCAACTAGGCCAGTAATGCTCCCCAAACTCAGCGGAAACATAAAATGGTTAGTGGGGCAGCGCTGCTGGCGTTCATATGGAGTTGATTGAACTTCGATTTTCGACAGCTCTGGATCCATTGCAATCCCGACAGGACACTCTTGTGGTTGTTACCGTTAGTTTACCGTCTAATTCGGCTGTCAAGACTCATTCACTATGAGTGGAATGGTGTTCTATTCGAACGCCACATGAGGTATTTATCAGCTCGAACACAACCGATCGAATGATGTCATTAGAATAAGACTCAATGAAATGGGGAAAGCATGAATCCTTCTCATCGAATGGATCGTCACAAATCTCCTTCCACCGAATAAACTGAGAGCACCCGGTGAGCGAAGGAAGACCTCAACTGACCAGCTCTACTTGTCGCACGCTCGTTAGAAGTCGGTCTCCAGCTGCGGACCACAACGGATCATCGAACGCTACTATTCATCACAATCACTACATGCATGGGTTCAAGAATTGACCAATACTTGAAAGCAAGACCATTGCTACACCAGAAAACCATTCATACGGGAAGGCCAGCGCTCTATAGTCACGAGAAGAGCGGCACCGTTCAGCGCTCCCTGTATCCGACAACCGGCACGATTCTCTCCATCTAACTAGAAGGTATACCATCACCAATGAGCAAACCCTCTCACTGCATTCAAGCTGCAACGGGAGGCTCTTCAGACGGGCTTCATCAAGTCCCAATACTTCATCGTAACACTATCATCATTATCATCATCACCAATCATGAGGGATGCTGCACAGTCTCTAACATCGGTACGCCATTCGCCCACAGCATTATCAAACACGTGGATGACAGAAAGGTCAATCCGGTTAAGCCAGACGATTCGGCTGTAAACCCCGGCAATTTTAGCATCCATTCCTTGCTTGCCTACACATACTTCGACTGTTGACCCATCATGACGGTACTCAACCCGGTCGCAGAAGTAGCCCGGCTCGAGAGTGTACGACGCGACGTAATCCAGAGTGGATTGGGCAGACCTCCGACACAGTACCAGAGCCGTCTCCCCATCAAAATAGGGAGACGACAGCATCAAGAACTGCTCAGGATCTTTGGGGTCGATCTTCACCTCGAGAGCGCACCGACGGAACTCGATCCCGGCTATGCCTGTACCCGAGATGGGAAAGGCCTCCCACATCCTCCTATCGCATGGACCACCCTCGACGACATTCACACGATAGAGCTTCCTAGGCGTCAATACAACGAGCCAAGGTGGCCAGGCGTCTGCATAGACGATATACTCGTCCTCTAGAGGCAGGGTCTCGTCAAGAACAGCCTCACCAGTGCGTGAGGTATACACCAGTATCCTTCGCTGTGAGTCGTGAAGGATGGCCCAATGGCCGATGGATGCTCGAAACATCAGACCATCGATGTCATGCAAAGGCAGGCATATAGTATAAGATTCCCTTAGCTGTTTGAACCTTTCCACTGTATAACCCGCGAGCCACCGTCCATGCAGGACATAGAGCACCGATGAGGCCATGTCGAGGAAAAGACGGGTGACTTCACCCTCATCATAGTCGAAAGGGAAGGGCACAGTGAGGACCACCTTAGAGCCGACCCCGATCACCTGCAGTTGTCCATCGGTTGCCACTATTAACTGTTTCCCCAAAGGCACGACATCATCGTACTGCAGGTCACAATAGTAGTCGACCTCGCCAAAGTGGCCGGGCTCCACCGAAATCCGTCGGATGATATCAGCGTTCCCGACCCATAATGCAACATGGCCATGCACGATGAACTCGATGTCCCCTGGTAGAGTGATATATCGTAAGCCATTGAACATGGCCCGCTTCAGTGATGCTGCGCTGTGCCAACAGCTAGCCAGTCGTCGCCATATGTGCAAGTCGTCACTATACAGGAGGCTCCCCACATAGTGCTTGCACGTGTCTTCAGAATACCGTCTGTAACAAGTATCTCGCCAGAAACGCCAACACTCGAAGTTGATTAATTGCTGGAGATTATGAGAGGTCATCGCTAGCCTGCAGGCGTCCCGAGCTGTGAGGTAATCCACGATGAGCGGCCACACGTCTCGAGGGAAAGTTGCCGACCGCTGATGGAGTTGGACAGAGACCATTATCACAGGAAAGGTAACTGAGTCGCGATATGGAGCAAGAGTGTCATGCTCCTATGTTACATGATGCCGGCAACTAACTAGGCGAGAGAAAAATCGATTTCCTTTGAGCCGTTTCCGAAGAACAATACCACTTGAACTTCCCGAAAACAGATGAAGTCCTCGAGATTTTTCCCACACAACCCAACAGAGCAGTGAGCCTTATGAAACAGGGCAGTAGAGCGGCTGCATACTTCCCCGTGACGTTCCTCATCAATCAAGCTAGTTCTCCCAAATAGATAGTCCTATCGCTGGAGGCACTGGCAATTACGTAACGCTCCGAGGGATGGAAGCACACCTCGTTGACCGATCCTGTGTGGCCAGGCAAAGTATAGAGGATCTCTCGAGACCTGTAGGGGATAGAGAAGCCTCATTTTGAAACACAGATTTGCCTCTTACCTGACATCCCACACATTCACCACTCGCTTAGCATTGCCCGTAGTGAAGTATTGGTCATCAGGGCTCCAACGGACACGAAGCAGGTTCCGCTCAGAGTTGTGCTGAACGCCTCGAGTGAAGTGATGCATCAACCTCTGACCTGGTGACACCATCGGTGACACACCCGAACAGTTCACACTCAGACTTACTATCGTGAACAACAAAAGGTCGAATATCCCATAGCTTCACCGAATTATCCATAGAGTTGCTGAGCAGGAAGTTGCCATCGTTCGATACCTGCCCGGTTGTATTAAACCACTAGCATGCCTTCTCAGCCTACCGCCAAGCCAGTGATAGAATCATCATGCTCAGGGCCAAGCTCAATAACGTTCTGCTCCGCCTCCATGTTACGGATATCCATCGAGAGGATCTGGTTGTCCAAAGTGCCTGAGACCACATATTGCAAGGGAGCCTTCATTCTGTTCTTCCGAACGAGAGGAATAATGATAACTCTTAGCCTCAATTTTAGGTCAAGACTTTCCCATGGACCCACCTGCGAATATCCTGGTGGCGGTGTCATCAAAGGTAACAGATAGGACTTGATACTGGTGGTCTCTAGTCTGTACGCACCGACGGACGCGGAGATCCCTGCGGGCATAAGACCGAGTACAAGGCTGTGGGTGAGAGGAGTCTTACCATAACTTGATACTACCATCATCACCAGCAGACACCGCAAGAGGCACTCCTCTTCGCGACACTTGACATGAATTCACCACCGCCCTGAACACCACCGCACAGCGTTCCATCACAGTCACGAGCAAGCCTTTCGGAATTCGAACAGTGAGATTCCCTTTCTATTGAGGTGAAACGGATCGGAAAAATTCACACTGGAAGGCCGCCTATACGGACGTACCAGTACGGCCACGCTAATGTTGTACAGGAATGCTCACTGACCCCATCATACTACTACCCGTGGCCTCGCAGCTTCTTTATACGTTTGCCCTCTTCCACATCCCACAATGCTACCGACTTATCAGCACTACAAGAGACTATCTTATTCGGCTCGGTTGAGCTCCAGTGTGCCTGTCCATTGATAGCAACATTATCTACACTCATCCAACAATCGCAGCTAAACATGCCCGTCCCGGCCTCAGATATTCAACCCAAGATTCAACCAAATGAAAATCTCAACGCCACAATCCCCTGTCCTTAAGAATGGCTGAGGAACAACCACTGATACCAGTACAACTACTCCCACCAGCCCGTCCCTCATCTTCGCGACTACTACTACTACTACCTCTAAAACAGCATTCTCATGGCCTTTAAGAATACACCAATTGTCACAATCACCGTACACCTTCCAGACCAGTATGTTCTTGTCAAATCCACCGCTCGCCAAGTTGGCGCCTATCCACCAACCGAGTGCACGATACAACAACGGCCCACTAACTCACCATCAGGGCTGAAATCACAGCAGAAGACCTCAGCTTCGTGACCCGTGAGGAGCATCGTGGGAGCTGAACACAGACGTCTCTTCAGACTCAACAGCATCCGTACCCTGCAGTTTGGATCTCCTGTTGGCCTCTAGAGGCTTTGATAGTACACTGCTTTCCTCACCACCAACGGCAAGGCTTTGCTGTACTGTGGAAGCTACCAAGGCCATGGAGATGACGACAACTGACGGGACAACCGCTCGAACCACTCAAAGGGGCCGAATTGATGGCAGGTAGGATATTCCAATACCACTCTCTGTCATAATGACCGACATAACTTATGCGCTATCCCACAAAGGCGAGTGAGCTAATCGAACGAACAGTCGTCACAGGAACAGTCCGTTCCGAGGATGCTGGGAGAATTCAAAACAAATGGAGGTTTACACACCAGAACGGAGATACCTCTCGAATCACTAACGGAAGACGGAGCGAAGCGACTCGACGACAAAAACTGATTTATAAAGCGATTTTCGAACATTCACCGTCAATGCCAGCTGTTCAAATGGGGCGGCTGCGGTGTAAAATTGTCCTGGCCGTCCACAAGAAACAATTTGATTCAGCCTCGAAGTTCCATCAAGACCGTACAGGTCCCCTCGAAGCTCGGCAGCTGAAAAACAGAACAGTAAGTCGCCTTCCTAGCCTGCAGTTCACCACCACCACCCTTAGCAGCGGAAAGTCTCCCACACATAATCGACAGGCTTTGAACACTGCATGGCCCCATCACTCCTGCCCTGACAGTATTCCCAGACCCATGAATGACAGTGGACTCCCTTCATCTGGAGCTCTCCGATATGTTTTCGCAACCTTTGATCACGGTGACTAGTTGCGCACTATGTAGACTCCCACTCCAATAATATCGCATATCCTCGGCCCTTTGTTAAAAATCAAAACCATCGGCGAATAACCGGGCGAGCGCGGTGTTTTATGGCGCGTGACAAATTTGGCGCATGCGTGCGGGTGAGTACCCTGTCGTCAAAAATCGCATGTATCATTAATGCGTAACTATACATTGCTTTCTGATGCTCCTGATGCTAGAAGAGAATCCTTCTGTTAAGTTAACTATGTTGTTGGAGCAAAAGGGACGGTGAAGAGACAGTTGTCGGTCAGTATAATTTATTTTAAGTCGGCGTTGTCCTCGCGCGCTGCAGCTGCATGCCAAGACCTTCTACCACTCTCTACCCGCTCCTCAGCAAATACAACGCCCAACTACTAGACCTCCTCAAGGGGGAGTTCAGACCTGTGGAAACCGCTCATATCCTCCGAGTCATCTACGAGGACTTTGATGACATAGTGAGGTCCACTACCAGCGCCGCTCGGCTTCTGCCACTTATTTCGTCGCTATGCGCTGTGTTGGCTCGGGTGATGATGAACCGCACCATGGGGGAGAGGTCGGACCTGCCGGCCCTATGGCTGTTGGAGACTCTGTCGAATATTGATCCAGAGAGCAAGTTGGGGGACTTTATTCTGAATCAAAGGTTGACCCTCAAGAACAATGGTACCAGCCTCAAGCCAGTGGTCTTCAATAGAACCATGTCTATGGATGACCTCCGTCATCAGTGGTTTCACATTGCTGAACGTACAGCACTTAGGCATCTCCCTCGAGACTTCGACCTTACCTCGGCTGATGCTTATGCGTATGTCTCTACTTCAGCTGCTGAGGGCCAAGTGGAGTACCTACCACCGGGCCTAGTCAGTCTGGCAGGCTTCCAACAGCAGAGTGTTGTTAACGTCTACCTTTCCTCGTGGGTCTATCCCGACTTGTTTACACCAGACAGAGCAATCGCTTGTATGCGCATCTTGGCGGTCGCGATGGAGGAACACATCTGCAAGAAGCAGCGTCATCACGACATAGTTACATGTCGCTTCCCTAAGCCGTTCCTGGACCGGGCAGGAGAGGCGTTGGTCGAGGACCTTCCTAGGACTGTTAGTATGTACTACAAAAGTATCTCTAGAGACGATGCCGATACTATGGTGAAGTTCACTGGGCGACTGGTGCGTTATTTGAGTTGCCACGAGAAGCCCGTCAGAAGGGGAGAGCAGGGTATGAATCGGATGAAGGCAGCTCTGGCTTTAAGAGAACTCAGATTTGGTAGCAAGGAGGCATTTGCTGAAAATATCAGAAAGGTAATAATTGCTCGAATTGTGGTCACGCAAATGGTTTTATAGTAGTAGTAGTAGTAGTAGTAGTAGTAGTAGTAGTAGCTGATTGCATTACTTTCCTGTTGTTCAGCTGTATGATGCATGTTTCGATGTGAAGGATACGACCGCATTACGACTTACCCTAGTACGATGTGGCTTGGAGCAGGCCTGCAGGGCTGTCCGTGCACTGGGAACTGATCAGAATATGAACCTCTTAAGGCAGGCATGTGGTAGTGCTCATGGTCGCGTGAGGTCTGTCATTGGAGTTAACATTGTCAGATTTACTTCACTATTCTCCGCCTATAGTATCCCCCCGGCAGCCGTCGACTCGAGCGACTGCTCAGAAGCCGCCGGAGATTCGCACGTCTCCGCGGTCTACAGTGGTCCCTAACGCCCCACCAGCTGAAGAGGTTTTTACGCCTTCCGAGGGTGGTGAGATATCTCCTGTTATGGCTGAGGACGAGCCGTCAGCGCCCCCATTGAAGGGAAAGCCGGGGCCCACTTTGGATTCACTACCGGAGGCTTATCGGTCTATGGCTTCCACAACGGTACCGCCTACTACGGATAGGCTACGTACTGATACACCAACTTATTATGAGGAGGCTGAGAGGAAGTCTGGAGGAATGGTCAACACGGGAACGCTCTGTTATGCCAACGCGACGTTACAGGTTCTATCCCGGCTACCGGGCATTTTGGATGATGTTGGAAGCGGGCCCATCACAAGTGCATTTTCGGGCGTAGTGGAGGAGCTCTCAGCAGTGGAGCCACGGTTGACGAATGCCGAACCTCTGCTGGTGGCCCTAGGGTTGCCCTTAGACCAGGAGATGGACGCTAGTGAATTCCTCCTGAAGCTTTTGGATGGACTATCGCGTGAAAATGACGGCAAGGGGAGCTCATTGGAAAAGATGATATGTGGAGAGATTAAGTGCACGACACAGGTGGACTGTCCTGACCTGACCTGCAATAGTAGTACGTTGATATCGAGCGACACTTTCACAACGCTACCTGTTGCTATGTGCGACTGTGGTGATCTGCGCTCGGCCCTGATGGAGATGTTTGGCAAGCCTAGTGTGGTGGAGGGTGAGGTGAAGTGTGGGTGTGGTAGGGCTACTAGAAATGGTACGGCAATACGTCGGAGTTGGTTGGATTCGGAGAAGCTCCCCTCGGTACTTGTCTTTGTTCTTCAACGATTTGCTGAGGATGGCCGCAAGAAAACGAGTGGGAGATTTCTCTTCTGCCAGGATTTGAACGCACGACCTCTCACAGAGAACAGGATAGGCTCGCCGTTCTTGTACGATCTTGTTGGTGTCGTTTGCCATGAAGGGCAGTCCTGCGACCTCGGCCACTATGTCTCCTATGTCCGCAGTGGTGGATTGGAGGACAGATTCATGTCGTTCGACGACACAACTGTACGTACAGGCTTAAGGTTTGGTCCTATAGTATGGGAAACTGCTGCTTCTGTGTACATGTTGGTCTACAGGCGGAAGACCTATGGAGTTGATGATGATGCTACTGAGGAGAAAGAGGCGTATGACAGCAGTAAATATCATTCGGCTACTAGTAGTAGTAGCGGAGCGAAGTAAAAACTTTTACTCCATTTTTCACTCGCCCCACTAAGTACATTAATCCGATTATTGATGATCGTAATATCATTGTATGGATCAACAACTTTCCTCTCTGAAGAATCGTCATTGGTCCTCGTTCATGATACCACGGGTAAGCCCAGCCGGCCTTTCTCATGGGCTTCAGGTTGGCTCCGTCTAGGTGTATGACAGTCGCCTTGGAATAATATCTTTTCTGTCTCACATTTGTAGTTGTTGTGGTGTTGTAGTGAATCCTGAGGGTCCGTCAGGCGGTGGTGGCTTCCCCGTACTACTACTCCTTTTTGACTATATAATGTTCTACAAATTAACGCTATTGGATTCATCGCTGATCACCTCTCTATGTGCAGTAGGCGAGAATGCAGTTGCGGTAGCTAAAGGGAGTCGGGTGGAATACTGGAGTACTCCGTTACGGTCGGCCGACGAATCTGATGGGGGTTCAGAGACACTGGCTAGCTTGGATGAGACTAAGCTGGTCAGAGCGGCTGTTAGGGACCTGAGTTCAGAGGTAGTACTTGGGAGAGTCGGGGATAGCGGTGGACGTGGTGACAGGTGCGACATGTCTCCAGCAGTGGAGACGATCTCATACTGGCCCTGTGTGTTTGTGGCAGCGTTGTGGGCCTCCGGCTCACCACCGAGTCCTCTTGTATGGTTATGGTGGTGGAGTTCAGAGCTCCACGACCGTCTCGAGCTGCTGATGGAGTTAGCTTAGCCTTGCAGGATCAATTGACAGCACCAATGTGAGCAGCAGCTCCTAGTATACTACTGCTATTAACATAAATGTTCGTATCAATCGATCACTGTGGAACCGCGGACTCCTCCCCTCAAAGCCTGTTAGTATGGGTCTATGCCCGCCTTCGTATGGTTTAGACATATCTCACATCGCGTGCAACCATCAGGAGCAACTGATCTCGCGTCGCTCAGGTATGTATTCCCTGGTGCCGTAACGGAGAGTCGATCCTTCATAACTCTAGACACCGTTGGGAACTTGGTATTCTATTCTGCAGGCAGTGGCGATGTGGAGGGCGGCGAGGATGATAGTATGGGCGTTTATGGCGAGGCTCAGGGGAAGACCGAGGCCCCTGTGAAGATGGACACAATTGCTCAGGAACGTAGGTCTCTCATCTTGTGGAAAGGCTCATAGCGTTTCTCGGACAACTATCGTTGCTACAGTTGATCTTATTCCCACACAAGAGGACGTTGAGTGACATGGGTTCTCTTCAGAAGCCAATTTGGTGGTGTTTGACGCTAAGCCGTTGAAGGGAGCGTCTGGTCTGGCCTGTCTCGTGAAGTGGCAAGTCGGTGATAGTTCGGATCGAATAGAGGAAGGAGTGGTCAGGTTAGCAGGGAGGGCCTCCCAGGGGGAACTCCAACTGGTATTTGCCAGGTACCCGTTAGATGGGGAGCACTCACAGACAGTCATGGCTAGGTCTTTACAGAACTCAGTGTTCTGCGAGCCGGTGATAATACTATATAGTGCTTACGCCATGGTGGGGATGATGTCCTTTGTAGATCGTAGATGGCAAGTGTGCAGTGGCTACCACGGGCTCCTCGTTGGCCATCATCGACTTCGCCACGCCCGGGTCTGATCCGGTCGCCATTCCTCTCCCATCGGGGGTTGCAGCTACCACCCTCCTGGCCTTCCGTGATGGCTTTATGTGCGTACTCACCAGCGGAGCGGTGCACATTTACTCGGCTGATGGTCTCTCCAATGCTGTGATGGCCTTGGATGCCACTCAACCCGTTAGAATGATGACGTGGGTGCCAGCACTGGAGTGTGCTGTAGCCTTGTGTGGGGACGGACCACAGCTAATGCGGCTACTTAACCCGGTCACTGGAGAGATACCACCCGAGTACGCCATAGAGAATCAAGACGAGGAGATGGCCTCGTTGGGGCCCATAACCGACCTCAAGGTGAGTCCTCAGTCCTCGTCAATGCTATAAAGAGCTGATCAGATGGTATCGATGCTGGATCGGCAAGCGGCGACCCCGGCAACTCTACCAGACGACACGATGGCAGTCGGCTCTCCTAATGGTAGCGACAACGGTGGATCTAGGCTTAGTCAGCCAGCCTGCCTTGTCTTATCTGGTCGGGGTCAGCACTCCCACCTCCGTGCTCTTGCGTGAGTTTTATCCTGTACTGGATCCTATTTTCTTATTCACCTAGTCGTTTAGGTATGGCGTGGGTATGTTGAAGCTGGGCTCAACACCATTGCCAGGTAGAGCCACGGCCGTGTTCACGATAGAGGATGAGGTTCGTACTCGCTACATGCTCATCTCGTTCGTGGATGTAACGCTGGTACTGCAGCTGACAGGCTCGGGGGTGGTCGAGGTGCCCCCAGGCGAGGCGGAGTTCGTCACTGGTCTCCCCACTGTGTTTGCCTGTCAAGGGGTGCAGGTCACTCCAGCAGAGTGCAAGCTGGTGCCGAGAGGAGGTGATTGGCATCCCCCACGTGGGTGTCGGATCGCTGCTGCCTGCTGGGATGGTGGTTCGCTCATCATGGTGGCCCTAGGAGATGGTGAGGTGCGCCATCGTGGCCGTGTGGTGGCCCTAGCTATCGATGCACCGGGCCTAGTCAACGAGGTTGGCAGCTTCGACACCGACACTGAGATTATGACCGTGTCAGCGGCCCATGGGCTGTTGGCCCTGTGTACCAGAGGGAGCAAGGTTGCAGTATATCGATACGAAGAGCAACAGGGAGCTACCCAGCTTGGCTTCCAGGCTCTTACTGTAGCCAACGTTAGCAGTACAGTAGAGACCATTCACATGAACTATGTCGGGGGGCTCCACTCATTGTACCTCGGCCTCACCAATGGGGTCCTCATGAAGTACTCAATGGACCCTGATCTTGGCTCTCTGGGAAGGCAGCGGGCAAGGTTTCTCGGTCCCAAACCAGTTCGCCAAGTTACCACGTTGCCGGACGAGACCACGCTAGCCCTTGGTGCTGGTACATTCGCGTGCCGGGCCTATGCCCGACCCAATGAAGATTGGTGCGTGCCGACCACTGGTTATGGAGTGGATGTACCAGTTTTCGTGGCGCCTTACGTTACGGAAGCATGCCCCACAGGAGGGGTGGTATACCTCTGTGATCAGGACGCGGGGTCATCAGCTATGGTGTTGGGGAGTCTACTGCTGCCTGTAGAAGGCCACTGGTCTGGCTTCCACGATTTACTCGAGCCAGTTAGCCTCGGCAGGACCGGTCGGAGAATAGTTGTACTAGACGCTCATCCTGAGGGGGAGCCAGGAGAGTTCGTCATAGCAGTACTGGCTAGAGATTCAGCTTCCAAGGGTAGTAGTAGTAGTAGTAGTAGTAGTAGTAGTAGTAGAACGAGGAACATCCTGGTGGTTATTGATGTCTTAGGTACGCTGAATGAAGGAGGCTCTGTCGTGCATCTCATAGGAGGACGGACGTTTACTATGTTGGCTACTCTCAAGTTCCCGGCCAACGAAGAGTGCCTTTGCATGTGCCCGATAGTGTCCAAGACAGCTCTAGTATCCCAACAACCTCCAGTGCTGGCAATGGGTATCCATCGGAGAGGGACTGAGGCAGGAGAGGCTGATAGCTACTCGATAAGACTGTCAGTATCTCTCATGGTGGCTAGACGGCTCTTCTATGGCCTCTTGAAGCAGATACACTTATTTCGAGCTCGAGCCGGCCCCGATGACTCACCGTCGTTACGAGCTGCAGCTGGCCAAGGAACAACCTACAGAGGCGGCCATCATCACTATGACGGCCCACGGCGATGGGGCGGGGCTTTTGGTCAGTCTAGCCAACGGCACGCTGGCACTGTAGGTAACCTAGGTGCGGATTCACAGTGAGGTGTTCTCATCGAGGTACAACTTTAGAGACCGACTGGAATTGACACGGCAATCGTGGAACAAGATGGAGGCGCCGATTTGGCTCCATTGTGATCATGATGAGAAGTGTCCGGATCGGATCTACTCTGCCGCTCGTGCTCGAGGGGGTCTACAACTGCATGGCATAAGGTTGGGACGCTGGCTTCAGTCAGATAGGAGGGTTATGGTCTTTTCAGAAAGCGAGATTGGTCCCTGCATCCACTGTGTAGAGATTTTGGTGGCCAACTCGGTGCACAATTCGCATCGGCCTGCATCTTTGACCGTGATACGGTCATTGTGGGTGACAAGCGTGGCGGCCTCACGACCATGCGGGTGCCTGGCCACATAGCAGCTGACGAGAAGAGCGACCTTGCTGGATACCCTATGCGGATGCCTCTCGAGATCTCGGCTTGCGTACTACGCTGTTGTACATTTGGCCGCAACAGTCAGCTTGTGTTACTCCTCAGTTCGAACCGTTGGCGCATATCACTCTGGGCTGTGATATCCCTACGGCAGTATGTGCAGTTGAGACGTCTTTGCTCGGCGCTCTACCTCAATGTATTGTGTATGCTACGGTAGGCATGCCCAGCTGTGCTCAGTCTGATGATGCCTGTCTGCTGTAGATTCGAGGGGCCATCGGAGTTCTGGTGCCGTTGCCAGACCATGGGAGCGCGATGGGCGCTGGTCCGTGGAAACAAAGGGCACAGGCGGGCAACATAGAATCCTTCGCGGACTCACCACAGTTCCTATCGGTAAAGAACCTCTGTGACAGTCGCAGTTGTTTCTGACCTTCCTCATTCAGTACTTAGAAGGGCTCTTCCGTTCTTGCGTGTGCCCAACACGACCCAGTCAGCGACAGCCGTTACAGCCTCCCTCCACAGGTGTTATCGATGGCGATATGTGTGAACAGGTGCGAAGCTGGTGAATGTCATGTTGAATGGTCATGATGGGCTGTCAGTTGATCGGTCTTGACGGGTCCAGTTTGAATCCCACGGTCCAGCAAGTCCTCCTAGAAGCGGGGATGCTTCCAGAGGGCGACACTCAGAGCGTTGCCGACCAGATAGCGGCCTCGTTGGACAACCTTCGAGGGGTCATGGCTACCGCCGCTTTCCGAGTTTGACGTTTTTACGTGAGGTCTCTGGTTTGGTGTTTTTCTCTTGTGTTGGTCATGGATGAAGGGAAGAGGTCGGGTCTCGTAGTCGTCTGTATTATGAATGGTTCTGAAGGTGGTGCTTCAGAGGGCACTGACAAGGCGCCGTTGGTCGACGTGCGGATTTACGATACAGAAGGCAACTTGAAGGAGACTTCTCCGTATCGGAGCCTTGGTCGGGGGATCAGCACCTCCTCTTCAGCACCACATATCGCTGGATTGGTGACAAGAAGGATGCAAGCCCCGCCCCCCGTTATCATAGAGGCCAAGTCTCTCACTCTTTCGCCGGTTCGCCATCATAGTGATGAAGGCAGTGATGTTGATAGTGACCAGCCGTCTATGGCGAATCGAACCCTTGGCGGACGTCTCAATACGTGGTGGAGACGAACAACACGTTCCGTCTTGGGTGTGCCTGGTACTCCTCTGAGGTCACAGGGGAGCTCTTTCGGGGGCCAGGGTACTGCTGTTGGGAGCTCCAGCTCGAGCAACAATCAGGTGCTGCATCAATCGTCAGAGGCTTATCCTTCCATTGGCAGCAGCCCCCCTTATGTCCCCGACTCTGTCCCAATGCTCGATGGTGACGACCAACGTAGTTTGTGGATGCCTGATGAGAAGTGCACGGCCTGCTTCGGCTGCTCGAGAACCTTCCATGCCTTCCGTCGGAAACATCACTGCAGGATATGCGGTCGTATCTTCTGTTACCGGTGCAGCAATCATTTTGTCAAGGGCCAGCACCGTGTCTGCGACCACTGCCATTCGGCCCTACTGCAGCAGTCTCCGGATAGTCAGCAGCTGATGGCTAGTGAAGAGGAGGGTCTACATATGCCTTTCGAGAGTTTAGTGGCCTCACCGAGGAGTCCCCTCTCCTACAGTGGTCCTGCCTGGCGTGGTCATGACCGCTCTTACTAGCGAGCGAGGACGCCGGACATACCTTCCAGGCAACACTGAGTGTTGACTCTCTAGAAACTGTGAGAAAATGGGGTCGAGGCGCTCGATTTGGTGTCAACCAGTCTGTGACGCACTTACTTGACAACTCTGACGAATCCCTACTCAACCCAACAAGTTCAGACTGTTGAATAGGTTGTATCGGTTGAATAGTTCGTATCGGCTGATGAATGATGGCTGGTAATAACAAATAATGAACGCACAGCGCGTTGTAATAGAAATGGAGATAGTTGATGCTGCCTCGAAGCCACTGGGAACTTACCGATGCTCCGGGAATAATCTAAAATTCACCCTAGAACCGAACCTGTGGTGGCGACACTTGGATGATCTTGTTTATGAAAGTTCTATTGAAATAATGATGGCCAGTTCCGGTCGAGTACATGTCCAAGCTTATCCCATTGATGATACGCCACGTGAAGATGGAACCATTCACAGTAGCGATCGAGTTGAGGAAAATGAGGGATGATTGGAGAATATTGGGATCTCCGACGGTATCGATCACGTGAGCATCGAGTCCGATGTCGAAATGAGGTTTAATCCACGCCTTAGCAGTGCCGTTGACTTGTATACCCTGAGAGATTTTCCTTCCACCGGAAAACAATGAAAGTTGAGCAGAGATATTGAACTCAGCTGAGTAGCTCTCGGTCCTAGGATTGTACTTCCCTGGGCCTCCTCCCCATGTGCAGAATTTAACGGCCGCCTCAAGGAGATGCGGTAGGAATTTCGGAGACAAGTCAACCAAGACAGGAGCTGCACACCCACCAGTTCGAACCTCGAGGAACTCCGGGATACCTTTATTAATGGTGGCGTTGAGCCCGAAGAGAACAGTCTTGGTAGGGTCGAACACGTCAAATATGTAAGTATCGAAATCGACAACCCATTTCAGCCCGAGGTCGAGTTCTCCAGTAGCACAGTAGGGCACATCCTTCGGCTTAGAGGTCTTTGGACAGTTCGGAGGGAAGGAGAAGTGGGAAGGGCCAGCAAATGTGCGCAGAGAAGTTCTTCGAGCGAAGAGTCCACGAATCACTTCAGCTTCGACTAGTACCAAGACGCTGAGAAGAAGATGGGAATATCTCATCACGGTGTCAACCTCGAACAAAAACTACAATTTGAATGTTAGGACTGCAGTTTGGAGTCATTCCGCGCCCAACCTATCAGAAGGGCTCGTTTATCGAAATCAGTCCGTCCTTCACACTGTGAAGTCCACAGGTATGATAGTGGTCAATCGGCTGGCACGCGGAGATGAGCGCACAACGCTTAGTACACGTGAGACCCTTATGGGATCACTCACGAGTCGGCGGATTATGAATCATAATTTATGATCCACTGAGGACATGTCATAGACTTCTCCGTGGTTTTCACGGTTCAAGAGCATTCATCCGAAGGGTCAAGAGAGAGACAAATAAGTATTGTAAACCTCTCGCTAGAGCAATGAACCGCAGGACATTAACGGTATTCCTACCAACGTAATCGCGTCTGTCTGTCTCCAGTGAGGAGAGAAGACAACGTGTTCTGATCTCTCTGAATTTTGGACACTTTAAGAGTCCATGATCTACAGTATCAACTACCGCATCGATATTCAACAGTGAACATTAGACACAAAGAGGGGAGTTTCCCCTTTGCGCCTAATGACAACAGTCACCCCAGGGTACTCCACACTACCAACCTTGAACTGCTATCTCAAACGAATCATTGCCCTTTCCCACTCTCCCAGCGTACCCGTGAAAGGTAAACAATGATTTAACGCTTACTTAGCCCTGTTGCTATTCGATCATTTCTATTGTTGTGAGCTCGCAAGCTCACCAGAAATTCGTACAAAATTGTTCGTGCTAAACTACTATCGCGCTCGCCGTCAGACGACAGTGTCACTCAAAGGGTAGCGAGAGTACTTGTCGGAGACTATCCGATAAGGAGAGGTGAGAACCATTACACTCCTTGTGTAGTTGATTCGAACGGCTACTTTAACACAGCTGATATTGTCGATGCTACTCCTTGTTAAAGCCTATTCAGTCACTAGCCGAATCAATTCTATCATTGGGGCAGTTATGCCACTCCGTCAAGAAGTGCCTTAGTGCAATTAATTTCGCAGCCGCACGCGATAGGAAGCTCAATCTTGTCGACACGACCGTCAAATTCAACGATGGGTGGAAAATGGGCGCCAGTCCCAGAATGGCATATCTGCCCCTGCAGCGGAGTTGGTCTCACTAACAACGAAATTGATTCCCACAACTCGTCAAATTTGGAATTACTTCACACTCATGCCGCTGCGAAATTGATTGCACTAAGACATGCCTTGGGGTGGTGGCATAGCCGCCCCTCCCGATAGAATTGGTTCTACTGTAAGCTGAATAGGCCTTCAAAATGTGTGTACCACAAACGCTGCATCGTCTCCCGCGCTCCTTCCGCCGGCTCAATTCCAACTCGTTCCATCACACTTACTAGACCTAGTGTGTCAGCTTACTCAAATATTTGATGTGCGTCCCCGACAGCCCTACGCCAACAACGTTCGATGCCGTCATCATTGGCGGTGGCGCTGCAGGCCTCGCCGCTGCCAGGGCATTGCAGCTTCATCACGATGTAGCTGTTATCGAGGCGCGACCTCGGCTCGGAGGGAGGATCAGCCCGACCAGGTGGCACCGGGGGGTTGCTATTGATATGGGCGCTCAATACGTACACGGCGTTTGCCCGGAGAACCCTATGGTGGACCTCATCCACCGCGCGAAGCTTCACCTCGAGACGTATCCTGGCTCCGATGAGGAGTATATTACAGGCTTGCGGGCATACAACGCGGAGGGGAAGTTGTACTCAGCTGAGGAGTTGGATAGCGCCTATAGGAGGATGCAAAATCTGATGGAAAGAGCGGAAAGTGTCTGTCGAGAATTGGATGATGACGTAAGTTTCGAAGATGGCGTCAAATTGGCTGGGATCGACCTCTCTACTGAGGACGAGCTCGTGAGGTATCTTTGGTGGTATCTTGTTCGAACGTGGATGGGTGTCAGCTCGGACGCCCAACTCCGAGCTAACGAGTTTAACGGCTCGGACGAGACCGGTAGGTGCGAAGGCCCTGACGGTAAAGTGAAGGAGGGCATGTACGCACTTGTCGAGGAGCTCCGTAGGGAGTGCCCTAACGCACACTTCATACTTTCCTCTCCAGTCGTCTCTGTGGTTGAGCAAGATGGCTTGGTTAAGGTTACTACGAAGGACGGTGCTGAATACTATGCCAAAGCTTGCATCTGCACGGTGCCCTTGGGAGTTTTACAAACAGGTCGACTCAGCTTCGAGCCAGAATTGTCCGCGGCTCAGCGAGAATCCATCAACAGGCTTGGCACTGGCACCAGTGAGAAAGTCTTTCTAGGCTGGGACGAGACCGAGCCTATCCCTGATGACAAGGCCGGTATAGCTGTTATCGGTCCTGATGGCCACAATTGGCTTTTTGAGGTTCTCTCTACGAGTGCCGTCACAGCTCAAGTGGTGGACATCAGCGCATCAGAGGCGATAGAAGGCGCAGTTGAGGCCTTGAAAGTGGCGTTTCCGGACCTCCCACCACCTGATCGAACATCTGTTACATTCTTCTGTTCGGGTCTGTACTCGATGGGAGCCTATTCTCATTACAGGCCGGGATCCACTGAACGGGACGTAGAAAGGGCGGCACAGCGACACGGCTTGGTCTGGTTCGCTGGAGAACACTGTGATCCAGAATACCAAGGCGCAGTGCATGCAGCTCTTCTAACGGGTGCGAAGGCTGCTGAAGACGTCGAGAAGTATCTGGCGAGTCGATCTTGTTAAGCACGGTTTCTGCCTTGAGGGTCGTTTTCTGTTGGATTGTGTGGGAAAAGGGGACGGTAGCAGCATTTGTGTGACAGGCGATGACCCTCATCACCGAGCTCGAGAGCATCCACGACCAGCACAATAAGAAGGACTCTACTATTACGTACAAATTCCGTTTCTTACCAGACGCTATCCCAAAGTGTTTCGGTGACAAGCAGCTGCGAGCTGACTTCAGGAAGTGGGGATTGGATGAGGATATGGTAATCATGGTTTGGGCCGATAGTTAACACCTCGGAAGGCGATCCGGAGTGGTTATAATTATGTGAGATTTGAGAGGCTTGTATGCTAATTGAGTAGCGCTGAGAGAAGTGTAGCTGCTCCACCTCCTTGGCGTCGTCGTTGTCGTCTACAAATTGTGTGGCTAGCAGTAGCGATGGTATTACGTGGTAGGGTATGGTACTGGAAAGCTGTGGTTCGTTAAATTCCAACTCCAATGGGGCATTGCTACTGGCAACATCTACTCTGGTTCCGCTGGTCTAGGCTGATTAGCTGGGAGAGACTTGTGGCTTAGTCTCTTCCTCAAGAGCTCTTGATCGCTACCGGCCGCTCGAGGGTAGCCTCAACATCATCTTCCGCCGATCAGGTCATTCTGCGTTTCCTATTCGACAGCCCAGTCACCACTGAAGCGGAGACCGAGTTCATGGTCCAGCAGTTCTTTAGGAGTCCCGAGGCGCAGCGTGTGCGTACTCACTTTAGCATTTTTTTCGAGGCTGCTGGTTCTATTGAACATGGCGTTCGAAGTTTGGCTATACCGCACACAGGCGTATACGGCGCTCGTTCCTTGCTGTTCAGATACTCCCCCATGCCTGTAGTGGTGTTAGCGGCATCGGGACGGACGGGGAAGTGGTCATGCAGCCACTCACTGTCAAGAAAACCGATATGAGTATCTTTCACGTGAGGTGGGGTGTCATGGGTTGGAGATAAGGAGGGTTAATAGGTGCTGACGGAAAAGGGGATTGTGAACGGCACTACTGGACGTATCCAAGGCCGATTCGAGGAAGACTGGGAAGGAGTAGTGGTGACGAGGAGGACGACCCTCGCTGATGATGATGATGCTTCTAGATACCCCTTTACGACACTCTGAGAGAGGCGTTGGTCTGTGAGGAGTCTGAACTGTATGAGATCTTCCCCGATCCAATACGTGATACCTGACTTCAAACCCCAACAGCATTTACTAGCCCTTCCGCTGCCACTATCTCGCTATTCTGCTGGCAGGTCAGGAGCTTCTGTTCAACGTTTTCCTACATGTTGTAATCGGCGGTGCATCGAATCAGTATGAGGAAGTCGTGACTCCGTACATCGAACACACTAAGAAGATTTTCAAGGTAAAAGATCTATCACATGTCCACTGGCAATACCATCGTTAAGTCGTGCTATTTTCGGTCTTCCTCGTCTCTTCTCCATCGTCATCAAAAGTAGCTCTCACTTTTTGAAGTATAGATAGTACCAGGCTGTAGGTCAGAGAGAACACCTGCGAGCAACCTCAGGGACCTGTCTCGTTAAGTCAGCTGTCCGGCTTCAGGATCTGGTTTCCGTTCGTCTCGGTCCGGATGGGTCAATAGTTTGCCCATGCAAGGCGTACAAGATCACTAGCTCGAGTGGTGGCGTTAGATTGCATTCGGGCGATCATCGTAGTAACTATTGCTATGTTATAGTAGATCCGACTACTAGGCATCTCACATTATGGTACTATCAATATCGCCCCTTATGGTGAACATGCTGCCATTGTGATGTTGGGAAATCTCTCTTACTGTCTTCGGTCTCGCGTTTAGAAAGGGAGCACTTGGGCACCCCGGAATCTAAAATATCAAAACCCATGTTATAGAGAATAATTCCTAATTTATTCGTAATATTGTACTGTGTGCTATATATTAATATTAGTTTGATAACAAATATCATATTCACAGATATCTATACAGTTCCATCATTCTAGATTATCTCTAATGTTGTCCTGACGGTGTTCAGTCAGTGTATGCTCCTTACGGCATGGGGGGGGAGCCACTCACAACGTCGCTTCTCGCCCCCATCCAGCTAACATCTGACGAGAAGACATTCTCACCGATCCCCGTTACGAGGACGCTGCCTTCAGGGACTTTGGTCGCGATCAGGCGTGGAAAGCAGCGGCTCCTGAAGGCGTCTGTAGGGCATAGCACATTCGTCGCATGTGCAGTATGTTTCGGCGGACGACTGAAACTGCGATTATAGTGCTGGTGGTTGGTGCGCTGATTGGGCTAGGGAACAGTGTAGGCTGCACACTTGTGATGAGACCCGTTCTACTTCGTCAGAGGTGGAGACTTCACGACACCACGATGAGGTTAGTTGGCAATACGGGCCGGTTTAACATCTCCAAGAAGGAGCTTGTGCAGGGCTGGCCGGCGGCTCTTATCAGTCGAAGAGGCGGGAAAGTTGATTACTTGCAGAAGGCCTGTGAGGGTGGCTAGGATGGAGTGACTTGGGTAGAGCTGTTACATTGATCGGTTCTTCATTTGTTAAAGACATCAAGAAAATTTTTGAAGTCTTCTTAGCATGTTACTGCCAATGTATGTCGGATTTCCCACCTTGCCGTTAGTCTGTTTGCGTTTAAGTAACCGATGGGACGGCTACCTTCTAGTGTTTTTCCAATACTACTATGAGCGATAACAAGACCAGCAAGAAGCGTTGGTTGCCTTTGGAGGCCAATCCGGAAGTCATGACGGATTATGCCAGGAGCCTCGGTATTGTTCCGCACATGTTCGCTTAGCGGTCATTCGATACTGCTTAGGTCTACCTTCCTTCCTCCATTTTACCGATGTATTGTCAGTTGAGGATTGGGCACTTGAGATGGTGCCTCAGCCAGTGTTGGCAGCGGTGAGCTCTGATACAACTGAGTATAGTTCCTGACTGTACTCCAGGTCTTGCTCTTCCCAATAAAAGATTCGACTGAAGCAGACGACCAGAGGCGCATTCAAGCTGTGAAGAAGGAGGAAATACCTGCTAGTGTGAGCCTCGGCCGATTGTGCCTTTGTTTCTTACTGCTGCTACAGGCGTACTTCACGAAACAGACTGTGGGAAATGCTTGTGGTACCATAGGGATCATCCACTGCATGGCCAATATTGAAGGCCAGTGTGGAGTTGAATACAGTAACGGCGCTAGGTCGTGGTTCCGAGAGTTTGTCTTGCAGAAGAAGGTTCTTACATCAACAGCCTCATGCGAAGCACCAAGTCAATGTCGCCTGATGAACGCGCGGTTTACATCGAGAAGGATGACAAGTTGGAAAAAGCTCATCGTGAAGTGAGATGGACTTTCCTCGTCAAGTTTCTGCTATGTTCGATCTCATCTCAGGCTGAGAATCAGGGCCAGAGCCGTCCACCGGCCGAAGATGAATCGGTGAAACCGTGGGGCGATTCTATCATACCGATCTACTGATCAGGTCACCACTCACTTCGTGGCATTCACTGTTGTCGAAGGCGAACTGCTCGAGTTCGATGGCCGCAAAACTACACCGATACCTCATGGAAAATGCCCCGCAGATCAAGTACGAAGTCTTGGACAATTGTAGCATAAGTTCCCCGTAGGTGCTGCAACGAACAGTAGAGGTTGTGAAGAATGTGTTTATGAGTCGAGACCCCGATGAGATTCGCTTCAACATCCTAGCATTGACAGCTGGAGAGGCGTGCCTTTAAGAGTTGTTTTCCGGCTACTGTGAGGAAACGATAATGCCCCATGGTATGCACGCGCAAGCAGCTGCCGATCGTTCTTCATTTTACTAGTTTATGCGTGAATCCCAATAGATAGTTGACTTGGTGGCGACTACTTGGTGATGATATGACGAATGGTGAGAGTTTTTCCACCCTATTGGGGCTGTCATGGCATTGGGTTCGGTAGTCGCGAGTGTGCAAGCTCTATCCACTCCAGTATTCATCAAATACTCCATGGAAACTCAGCTCTGTATAAACTCCCCTATGTATAGTGATGCTCAACACACTAGCGATTCGGTAGAAGTCTTGCTGCCCACAGCTGTCGCCTACGAGCCATACGAGTATGAACAATTCACATACTCGACTGACAGACAATTCGTGTATGCTCAAGATGAGGTGCACCAGAGTGTGTTGCCTAAGCCGCTAAGAACGCCCTCGCGGCTGTACGCTTGCCTAAAAACAGGTCGATGATCCGCAATCCCGTATCAGGCGTGTTGTGCGAACTACAGTGGGGGAGACGTACATATGTAATGATTTAGTCATACAGAATCCATCTTCTGCTGTAGTTCTAGACGCAATTCTTCTAACAATACCGTCTCTCGGTACTCCCCTAGCGATTCCACGGCATACCTTGGCATTCTCTATGGCTACATGTGAAAATGCTGGCAATCTTCAATTGGGCTCTTAAGGTAGACTACAACTCAAAGACACGAATGTTATACACCAATCATAACACATATCCAGGGCATCGAGCGTCGCGATGCCTGGTCAAATTCATCGTGAGTATAAATTATCATGGTCCTTCTTCGAACCGGGACCATCTGGAGCCTTCAAACCGTTCAAAGAAGATGCGCGAGGGCAACAAGGGCAGCCGCGGTAGCCGACATGGTGTAAGCATCACTGCTGCCAGCTTCGCCCGGGCCGTAGCAGGTATCCTGAGCGGGGAGGGCCTTAACTTCGTCGGGGCATGTCATGAACTGGGATATCAGATTGAATTCATCGCCCAGAATCTGACCCGGCTTGGAGCCAAAGTCAACACCAGCTGCGCAGGCGCAGTTAGCGGTGAGAAGGGCGAAGACACCGACGAGCGGCTTGCACACTTCGATCTCGGCGAAGCAGGTGGCCATGGGGCAGTCAGAACCCTCCTGGCAGTCCAGGCAGATGGGGTGGAATAGGCATCTGCGTTCGTCGTTTTCATACAAGTTCATAACGTCTTCGGTGTAACTTTCAGAGACGGGCGACACGGCAGAGAATCTTGTCATATGCTTGTCTAAGGCGGGGCATTCAGCAGCGCAGGCCGTGACCAGCGCCAGGGTTTGGTCGACCTCGTCAGAAGCTGAAAATGAAAAGCTATACACGAGAAGAACAGAGCCAATGAAGCTTTACTCGTCGCGGCGGCGGTAGTCGCGGCAGCGGTAGTCGCAGCGGCACTAGCAGCAGTGGTGGCGGCAGTAGTGGCAGCAGCAGTAGTGGCGGCTGACGAGCCAGTGGTGACGGAGGCACTAACGCCAGATGCCAAGGTAGCGAGGGAGATGAAGCGCATTGGGAGAGGAAAACGCAAGGAGACTTGTGAACCTGGGGGGAGGGTCAATACGGGCTGCTCGAACCAGCATCGCCTCAAACAACCGATGACGCCCTACTCGATCATGTCATGCCTCAGGGGGTGACAGTGTACCTAATAAACCCTTCACAATCACCGAAAAGCCCAGGAACTCCATGTAATGCCCACAACAAGGCGATTGCATTGAGTTAGGGCGATAAAAGACGGGAAGCGCAAGGAATAGGAGACGGTATGTGGCCAAGTCATCTGAAGGAAGCAAGATTCTGGCCGAGCGAGATTTGAACTTGCGCAGGCGGCTCGCCAGTGGCGAGTCGCCACATGTCAACTCATACAAGATGCACATAGCGCTGGTGCCTTGTATTCAATCTGACCAGTCCGCCCCAGACACTATTCCTGTTCCACGAGAATATTCAATTTAAGGCGTCTTGAAATCAGGAGCAACTTGAGGAGTTACTCAAGGTGTACTTAAGAAGTACTCAACTCATTTCACAACGTTTAGGAGCAACTTAAGGAGCTCCTTAAGGTGTACTTGAGTACTCATTTCATTTCGCAACGTTCAGGAGCAACTTAGGTAACTCTTTAAGGTATGTATAAGTATGTACTTTCTATCTAATATCTAATCACGGTTACGGGAAAACCACGGTAGATGGTTCCTACACCTGTCGCAATTCGTCCCTACGAAACAGGCCGACTGGTTCATGAAAACATTATTAGCCTTGCATTCACCGACAGACTCAGTCTGAAAACGACATCCTAATGTCAAGAACTCGTACGATCACAACACTTCCCGCCGGGATTGATCCCATTAATTTGATGAATCTCCCCTTATTCCAACTCTCTTCTCTTACTAAACTTGCTAGTGACCCAATTCCCAGTACGATCGTCTTCCACAATTTATCAAACTCTCGATCGCCCATCAAGAACTTTACCCCTGTAGACAGAGAATGGTCTACGGTCAACCTCCAAGTAAGATAGAGCGGAACTGAGGTACAACTGGATTTGTCTAGAAGCTCTACGAACAACTTGACATCATCGACTCCACAGGGTCGGACAACGCATCCTAATAAGATTGCGAATCCGTATGTAACCAAACAAACAAAGCTTGAATGAGTGAGTATGACAACATAGTAAATTGGAAATGGTCTACGAGTTGCAGTAGGAAATGACCTGGTTGGGTTTGACACTACACCTCTAGCTTTATCCGACTCGGTAACGACACCTTCGAACCGATTCCGTCGGAGGAACAAATGAGATATAATCTGATAGGAGAAGTATAAGTAATAAGACAGAAACAATCTAGACTAGACATGCACAGTGGGACAGTAGAAACATAGTAGATATCAAGCAATGGTACTAACTAGTATCACGACCTGCACAATAACGATGATGCGATAGTCACTATAGAAGTATTTTGCTTTTATCCAACGGACAGCGAACCCGATGGTTACGGAATTATCCGAGAAATCAATAACAACATATCGTTGTTCGATATAGCAATAGTTAACACAAGAGTAACAATAGTAGGTGATGACGACCAGAAGACGGAGTCGAGAGATTGACTTGCGGAGCTCATCGATTTCTTATTACTATTATATAGAAAATTAGCCCTGCACTCATGATATATATCAGCCCGAGACAGTCGTAACCATGAAGTCTCTATGATAATCCCAAATCAGGGAAGTATAACAGAGACGAAGACTCTAGTGAGACCAGGAACGTCGGGATATCCACCGATTCACGCCGCAGGGGCTCTGACGCCCAACTACTAGCCACCAACAACACCAATGACCCGAAAAAGAGGGAACCGACATCCCAGCCGCTGTGATCGGCAATATCAAAGGAAACAACACGAGCGCAAGAATGTTTCTGTGAGGGAGGAATTAGGGAGTCACAGAAGTACCACCAGTGAGGATATTAAGATAGTCTATAATCAACATAAGTGATGTCACGAAATTCCTCCAGGAGCAACCGGATAGAACAGTCGAACAATAGTTCCCATAAAGTTTCATAACAGCAACCGCTGCATTATATCACGACCAAACGGTCATGATATGCTTAGTTGATACCGCCAAGCTTTGTCGGGGTGCTACCATCATCATTAGAGGGCGATGGAGCATCCACTATCTCAACGGAACTCTTGCCAACCTTACGAATAATGAGATAAGTTGTTGGTAAACCGATGACGAACAATACCCAGCATATCCAGAACTGAGCCGAGTAAGGCACCCTAAGCTGAGGCAAATCAATGGTCCACGAGATCACTGCACCAACACTCTGGACACCCTTATAGAGCCCTGTATAACGAGCGGCAAGACCAGCGTCGTCGCCAGCAATAGCACCCATAATCCAATAGGAAAAGGTCTGCACGACAGAATCACTGAACCCATAGAGTATATATACGATGAGAGGGTACCAGTAGTAATAATCGCTCAAATCAATGAGATCCTCAGGCTCAACAACGTTGTGATATCTGTCGTAGCCACCGTGGTAACCATACTGGAGATAACACCCCAAGGCGTAAGTGATGTTAAATGAGATGCACATGAACCAGAAACCATTCCTAGCCCGCTGAGCCAAGGTTCGTTTGGGATCATCCTGAATTATACCGCTAATCCAGGCACCAGCCATTTGAGCTAGCCAGTATAGAGCCGAGTTGAGACCTCTCGTACGAATGGTGAATAATACACCGTTAACGCAATTGAAAACGTATGTATAGAAGAAGTTGGATCCAAAGAATAGCAATAGGAGTAATAACATATTCTTGTCGAATATGACAGACATAGCATCCAGCAGCTCCTCCTTAGCACCCTTGGCTTGAGCCATCACAGCTTTACTGCCGTCCTCCAGCACTACCTTAGCAGGGTTCATGAGTAGGAACAAAGCCATGACACCACCAACCGCCATAATGGCAATAAACACGAAATAGGAAGCAGCATTGGCACCACCAGAGCCTTCGCTGAAATTGAGAGCAAACTGCAAGATGCCGCCGATGAAGCCACCAAGGTTGAATATAACCCAGAAAGTTGTAATGTAATGACCCTTCTTGTTCTCAGGGGCATACGCCATCATTAATGCACCCTGGGCTGTCCAGAGCCAACCAGCTCCGAAACCACACACAGCACCAGCAAGGATGAAGAGCCAACCAGTTCCAGCAACATGGCCAGACACATAAGCTGCCGCTGCATAGAATGCGTAGCTCAACCCACCGACACACATGAGGATTCTTGGGCCCAGAATATTAAAGAAGAACCCTCCCAAGTAACCGAATATAGCAAAGCAGACATATAGTGCAATATTGGCCGGATCATTCGCAGAGGGATTAGCATTGCCAGCACCACCTAGGCCTTGGATAGCGTTGAAGAAACCCGGACAACAGAATGCAATAATGCCCGTGATGACGACCTGCGGGTAGCCCCTATACAGCCACGCTGCCCTAGTCTGCTTGTCCTGTCGTTGGCTCAACATTCTAATCCGTTGCCAGATGTATCAAATAAGAAACTATACTGGAAAACCAGTCACTAACTACCACACCTATTCTGACTAGTAGTCACATCACGAATCACAATTTAGGGACAGGCATCGAGGTGAACTTGCACAACCCAGCTACCAACCCAGCTATCTATTCCAAAGAGGGATTCACAACAAATCTTAGCACGACCGTCGCAGACAGAGAAAGCGTCTTGGGCGGACGCTCAACCAACTTTGTTCACGCGTGCAGATCGCGTGCAAGCAGCGCGGTGTTGGCTGGCTGGGGACAACACAACAACGGTTCTAGCGTTGGACATCGTCAATGTTATAGGCAAGCATGATCATGGAATCATCTTCAATTTCGATGCTTCTTCCTATCATGAGTGAGATAGAACGGCACTGATCCCGGCGGAGTCTTCCATATCTTCTTCCCTAATGGCAACTCTCGATCAACTGAGGCCTTCGACGTTGGAAAGTGGTAGTGGCTCTGGCAAGGCGCCCCACAAGAAGCGTAGGTCACCATATCCTTGTACCTGATATGGTACAAACACTGGACGCCGGAGAGACTATGATAATTATAATACAAGGCAGATTGGCCCTCTTTACGAACGAAGGGCTTCCCGGGAAGCAGAATGCCGAGGTCCCTATGGCGGTCCCTAGTTCTCCTCAAGCCTGCTGCTGATTCCTAACAGGGAGATGGTGGTCATGACAGTAGAATAGGGCGTATCGCTGGTTACCTGCATTTCATTAGCGTCAATGAAACCGTCCATACGCTTTGACGGTCTAATGTGCAGTCTTTCGCCTCCGGGAGGGAGGCTCAATCTTGCCAACTGTCCGCATGACGTTGCTAAGAGAAGCCACTACTAGGCCACAAACGGGCATGTTTCGTATCTTACACTTCAACCTAACAGGATCCCAGTCCATCGGCTCCAATACAGGCCGGCTCCTGTGCTTCCTCAATACACTCCCTTGCCTACTCAAGGGGTCGATCGAAGACGGCCGTGCCAACGAATGAAGGTAGTCTCCGCTCGGACACTCCGTCGCGTACCTAAGACTACCCTGGAAACACCTTTCCCCAAAATATATCTCACCTTTCACTGTGAGCACTGTCGAGCATTGTGCTGGCCATCGGATGGACCATGGACACGTTGGGGTCACCACTACTCAGTGCCAGCTGACTTGACCGTCGGAACTTGTTCTCCACGGCCGTATCATAGAGGCTCGACTTGGTAGGGTCCGACGACACATCGACGGACGCTACCATTGGTTCATCACTGATCTGGGGACGGACCATCAAAGGCGTAAAACTGCGACAGAGTATTTACTGAGAATGTGACAGATTTGGATCCACTTAGATGGATCTCAAGGTTCTTATCCACCCGGTTCAGCAGGTGGTCGCACTGGCGTTGTATTTTCTTCCATATATTGTCAGTCCAACTCTTCCACACAGTGTGCCGCCTACGGAGCCAATCCCGACTCAACCATCCAATGCGAAGCCTACTTCTCCTCCTCAATGTTAGAATGTGTTTGGAGGAGGTTCGTGACGTCGTCCTTGAGTTTACTGCGGGCATTTAAGGACTTCAACAAGCGCTGGAATCGTTCCTCGCGCCTTGCCTTGTACCTACACCCGCCCGATCCACTTCCCCATGATGTTCTTCCCGACCTACCGTTCAACCTTCTCTCTGATGTACTCAGCATCAGCCTCACGCTTCTCCACCGCCTCCTTGTATACCTCATACTTACGCCTACGACGAGCCTCTGCCGACCGCAAGAGAGATTGGATGAAGCCCTTTGACACTCCAGGGCCCCCACGGGCACTCTTGCCCCCTCTCCTTGGTGGGCTGATCTGTACGGGAATCCGCTCTTGAGACTAGGAATGCTGAGACCGAGCTTCACCTTGTCCGGAGGCGATGTGGGCTCATCCTCCTCCTCGTCTACATCCAATCGGATGAGGTCCTCTATGAGTGTTCTGCAAGAAGTCGTAACTTCACCATGCCGATTCTTGTGAGGCCCAGAGCTTGTATCGGTCGTATTGGAAGCCACGGAGCCCTAATACTGTCGTAGTCAAGGACAGACAGGCACTTTTTCAGAGGTTCAATCCATTTCATAGGACCTCCAACAGGAGAATTTGAGCCTACCTTTTTAGGCCGACGCCGCGAGGTTGTCGGAATCCACCTGGAATGCTCTTTCGTAGAGCCTCCACTGAATAGGGGCCCGACCATGGGAAACGCAAACAGCTTACAAGTTGGTATCGGCCACCGATCTTGCGCGCATTCTACATGCGGAAGGTCCCCGGATCGATTCCCGGCGACTTCACTGCGCATTTTCTTAGCGCGCGCCCAATCAAAAGTCAAACTCGACTTCGAAATGAATGGCCTTCGAGATGGCGACGCCAACGTGCTATTGCAGACCAACGCTGACGTGTAAGACAAAGCCTGATGAGCACATCTCATGAACAATCTCTCTTTGTTACCTCTAGGAACACTGTGCTCACCAGAAGGTGCCCATTCGAGGGCCTTCGGGACGTCCACGATCCCTCCATGGAAACTGTGAAGTTCGTTCGGCAAGCGGTACCTCATTCATCCTTACGACCCTCCCCCTCACTGTGAGAACATTTCAGAAAATTCTAGTCATCGGTGCGGGTGGCCTCGGGTGTGAGATCCTGAAGGACCTGGCGCTCAGCGGGTAAGGTCTCGCAGAGGTCATCAGCCTACTGTCTCTTGGTAGGTTCACGGACATACACGTCATCGACATGGACAATGTGGACGTCACCAACTTGAACCGCCAGTTCTTGTTCCGGGAGTCCGATATTGGCCTTAGTAAAGTAGGCGTGGGGAAACTACTAAGTGGCTGATCGGTCAATCATTGCTATCAGGCAAAGGTGGCCGCAGCCTTCATCAACGACCGTTGTGCTCATCTAGGAGTGCATGTTACGCCTTATCACGGCAAGATACAGGACTTTGGGCCGGACTTCTACGAGCAGTTCTTCCTCATAATAGCGGGTCTCGACAATATTCCAGCGAGGAGGTAATCCTCGCGCTTCATGGGGAGGTCTTGTATGGACTACCTCGCCTCGGCTGGTGTGATGCCTTTACTCGTAGTCGAAGTGGGAAGTCCATCCCGTTGTTGAGAGTTAATTAAAGCTCGTTGATTAGTCGCTGAGGAGATCAGTCCGTAGAAAAATTATATCTAAGGTTGCCGACAGGGCGTCTCGAAAGCAAGGTTGTGGCCTGTAAATGTGGTCGAACAATCGGTCCTGCGTGCGCCGTATATAGATGATGATGGTTTATTGTTATCTACCCAGAGGCTCTTTCATTATTCAGTCTTAGCATTGAAAGTAGCGGCTGAGAGAAGGCGGAGAAATGGATTTGGTTTTTAGATGGTTAAACTCCACCCTCCATAGCATGGTCCGGAGAGACGATGAGGGTAACATCGACCCTTCCTCATTGAAGCCTCTCTTAGATGGCGGCACTGAGGGGCTTAAGTAGGCTACTAATGATATGCTCCCCCTTGGCAACAGAGGTGGTCTTAGAGGCCAAGCTCGGGTCATAGTTCCCTATCATACTGCGTGCTTTGACTGTACGTTGGAGTCCTTTGGTCCGCCTGATACCGGCAACTACCCAATGTGCACCTTAGCCGAGACGCCGAGGTTGCCTGAGCATTGCATTGAGTAAGGATTCCATCACTGATGGTAGGCTACGTTGGGGGTCCACAGGTACGCCCTACTAGTATTGTGGGAGAAGGCCTTCCCAGGCGTTAAGGTTAATACAGATAACGCTAATGATATGAGATGGATCTACGAACAGGCTGTAATTGGGGATTAGAACTTGAGTTGGTTCGGCTCTAGTCGTCGCTTCGCTCGCTCTGAGCGAATCGCGAATGAGAAATTGGCAGTAGGTGAGATCTCTAAGGAGGTTGGGCCTGAGTTGTTCGAGAGTACCTCACTTGAGGCCTGCCGAGAATCCTTGGGTATCATCTCACTCCATCAGATGTTTTAACGTCGTTGGTGTGTTGAGAGCGTCTTCACCGTTTGCAGGTAGCACGAGCCGAGACCTTTGGTATCCACGGCGTTGACTATCGCCTCACATTGGGCGTTGTGAAACGCATCATACCGGCCGTTGCCTCCACCAATGCCCTCATATCCGGCATGTTGGTCGCAGAGGCTCTTAAGCTGGCAAGCTACTGCGATCCCAGTAGGCTATCCTCTCTTGTTGGCGCTATCATAATCATTTCTGTAGGCCTGGACAACTACTTCATGTACATGGGCCAAGCGGGCGTGAACACTCAGACGTTTGAGTGGGCCAGGAGCGACACTTGCCTGGTGAGCGTGCTACTACTACTACAGCCCGTTGAGGCTGTGACGGTAGGTATGTAGCGGCTCTGAGGCAGTAGTGGACACGCTTGATCCGGAAACCAAGACTCTGAAAGACTTACTAGAGGTAGTGGCTCGCCATCACCAGTGAAACCTCCGCCTTGTAGTTGCTCTGTGACCCATCGGGCAAGTTCCGACTGCAGCGGCCGAGCATATCTACAGCGATGGGAATCGTGTTCATACAGCGGGTAGTAGTGTTCGTGTATGGTAATGAGACTATGATGATGTCAGCCGCCCTCGTTGCGAGCTGAACATGAGTGGAAGCTGGACAAGTCTTTGAAGGAACTCAGCGATGCTGGAGTGTTAAGGGAAGGGGAGGAGGCCACCGTCACAGATCCCACGCTGCCTAGTAAGGATCTTTGATGAGACGATTGCCTATGCTTGTTCCTGGTTCAGCTAAGATGATCCTGCGAATGAAGTATTCGAGCATGTGAGGAGGGGGAGGAGCTGCGATGATAGTGTTGTGACTGGTGATTGTCTCTGAACGTTTTTCTCTGTGTAAAGAGAAGCTGTGTTTGGTTGAAGCGTCTCATGAGGGTGTGCCGAATCTTGAATACCTTGGCGATGGGAGGCACTCGTAATATCGAAATCATCCGAAAGGAATCGACGATTTTTCGAGATAGACCACTGAGGGAGAAGAATTGTTTGATACAGTTGTTGCTATAAAGATGAGGTTGCTCCCCTAGCATAGCGAAACTTGTTCATGGCCACGCACAGTACAGCTCTTCAAGAGCGGAGCGAAGCTGACTTACACAGGATAGAGACCTGTTGGATAGGTTAGTTCATCTGCTGGTTGGGCAACTAGGGTTGACCTAGTCTGGCTCGTGCTGTCGTGTTATTCACTCGGCGTTTCTGGCGAGGTCAGCTACTATTTATGTAAATACTTGTGTGGAACACCAGTGATCACTTCGGGAAATGGTTGCAGAAATATTAAATGAGGGTATACAGCATGCAACTTCGTAGAGTACGTTTTACACACTTCCGCTTCACGTTCCTCAAGCCCTTCAGCGGTCTTCCCTAGCAATGCCTGAAAGCCAAACCTCCAAGCTGGTTGGAGGAGCTCTACTTACCTCAGGGGGAATTTTCCCATAGACTCCACCGGAGCCGTTGCGGTACTTGCTCTAACCTCGAGTTTGATGCCATGGTTGGTGAATTCACCCACACTGAACTCAACAGTGTGGCTGAGTCGGGTGAACTCCTGAGGACGAAAGACCCTTACTTGCGACGGCTTCGGCTGGTTCAGCTAGGTGGTCGGACCAGCCGAAGCCATGGACCTCATCCTTCGGAAACTGAGCCGTCCATCGAGGAGTCGACATAGCCAGTCCATGGTTTCAGAAAAGAAAAAATAAACTGCTGCACAGCCACTACTCCGCCAGAAGAACAACAACAGTACCGTAATTTCGAGACATCATCATTACCATAGGGTAGCTAACTGTGGGTGGCCATGCGGTGTTCACCACCCTATTTTTCCATCATGCACTGGAACGTCGTCTGAAGACGTCTACGCATTCCTTCGCCTCCATCCGCTCTGCCAAGTCGGCGGGAGTCTCCCCCTCGTGATTTCGTGCTTCCACCTTGCAGCCACACTCAATCAATAACTCGCACAGCTCCGGAGCTTCGGCCTATGGTAACCTCATGATGGTCTTCCGGCCAAAAGCCTCCTACCCCGACGGCAAAGAACAGAGTTGTACAGCCGTCCTCGTCCTCCAACTCCCTTTTCGCGCCATGTTCCAACAGGAACCTGAGGCCACCTCCTCACGACCAACAGTCGCTGCTGTACTCACCTGCACACGTCAAGGTGGCCGTAGAGGCTAGCGAGCATCAATGCGGTCTTGCCCGTCCTGGTCTGCTGGTTCACCTTAGCGCCACGACCCACCAAGAACTACAAGACGAGTAGGACTAGGCACCTTCGATGGGCCGCCTCACCTCGACAACTGGCAAGTGACCACTGGCCGCCGCCCACATGAGAGCGTTCTGATAGTTGTAGTCGTGGTGGTTGATCTTCGCCCCTTTACCACAGAGATACTCACACACATCAACATGGCCGTTCACTGCCGCCTACGACGAGACAGCGTCGTAGAGTCTCCATCAGTGTGACACCTTCATAAGCGGAGACTCAGAGGTCTTCTCAGAGGCGTAGTTGACATCCTGTAACTGCTCATCAACCAGCCACCGCACCACTGGCAAGTGCCCATTGAAGCTGGCCCACATCAGAGCGTTCCACCTAACGCCATAGACTGTGCACACATCACGTGCTCCGTCCCACCCCTCGTCATCCGGAATATCGACAGAGGCTCTCATCTCCACCAGCGCTTCCATTGAGTCCAATCGACCAGCCTCCGCAGCTTTAATCATCGCTGTTTGCCCTGACATCACCACTAATGAAGTCAGTTCTCCCCGCAGCGTACCTTCCTCATCCTTGACATCGAGAACTCTGCGCTTCTCCGATAAGGTGAAGTTGTTGATATCCTTCAATTGCTCCTCAGTGAGACCGGTACTGGCAGCTCTCTGACGCCTCAATTGGCTGTCCAGGAGGAGTCTGACGGGCATCACGAAGAGCTCTACTGTTGTCAGCCTGCATCTTACCTTATGCATTCGACATGGCCTCCCTTGCTGGCCTTCATGATGGGAGTCTCCCCTCGCTGATCCTTGGCCGTGATCTTCGCGCCATGGCGAATGAGAACCTTCCCGACGATGCCTAACGGCTACTCAGTAGAGACGCGCCTACCTCAACAATCCCCCTCCTCCCACGAACAGCTGCATGCATGAGAGCTGTCCGACGGTCGAAGTCCTTTTCGTCCACCTGGTAGGGCTTTTCCAAAACTCTACCGATGCACCATACGGTCACCTTCGTGTTACTGTTGGTCAAAAGTCCTTCGACAGCATCCAACTTGCCCTCTACAGCCGCAGCAATAAGAGGTATGCGCATCTGAAGGCAGCCTCCTTAATGACGCTCATCTCGGGCTCGCCACCTGATGGCTGCCAATCACGGATGGAGGTGGTACGAACTCCTTGCAGTCGTCCTCAAATCCCCCTTGCTGGTCCTTCTCAACTCCTTCCTCAGCATCCTGTATGGTAGGTGGTGAAATCGGCTTAGTCATAGCGAGCAGGAGGACCCGTACTGCGTTCTCGGTGTCGGTCGTCTTCATTGACAACACAACGATCATCACGGTGCTTCTACTAACACCATTTATGAGTACAAGCATGAACTTCGAATATTTATGCACATTTTGATCTGATAAATTAGGGCTCCGGTGTGGGGCTTGGGTTCGATTTCGCCGCTTCACGGAAGACATATACCAACTTGCCGTTGAGGGTCCCCTCCGCGTGATCCAGTGCCGTCTGGCCGTTCTCATCGGCAGCGTACCTACAGTGATCAGTGGCAGGAAAGGTACACCCCAGCACCGCAGTGTTGCCTACAGGTTGGCCTTGGCACCCAATAAAAGTTTGGCGCACTGGATGGCGTGGTATCGAGCAGAGAGGATAAGAGGAGTTTCTCCACGAGTGGTATGGGCCTCGAGTGGACAACCATGCTCGATGAGCAGCGAACAGATGCGAACATCGTCATTCTGAGTCAAGCCTCACTTAAGCAAGTCGTAATAGGCCTTACCACAACAGCCGCCGATAGAGCGTTGAAGCCCTCAGTGTCCTGCTTATCAATGCATACCTTGCGCTCTTCAATGAGGTATCTAGCCATGGTGTTCGAATATAAGGGCAAAGGCCATTCTTACTTGCAGATGTCCACCCTCCCAAAGGTGGCAGCTAGTATGAGGGCGTTCTTGCCAGTACGACTCTGGATGTCGAGCTTCGCGTCAAACGATACGAGGCCCTGACAGGGACAGACTGTTTACCTGGCGATGATGGGGAGGGCGGGGTGACCTCGACAACAGGGAGGTGGCCAGCTGCAGCAGCCCACATGGCGGCTGTTTGGAACTCACGGTCGTGAGCGTTCACCTTGACACCGTTGTCGAGGAGGAACTTGCAGACGTCCCAGTGGCCGCTGGCAGCCGCCTTAAGATGGCATCACATGAACAATCATCCATAGCGACCACACACCTTCATTAGAGAGTTCTCTCCCTTTTCGGTCTGGTAGTCGGCCTCTTGAGCATGGTCTGTGACGAGCCACTCCACCACAGGCAGTTGCCCAGCCATGGACGCCCACATGATAGCCCTCCACCTGATGTGCGGCAAGACGGAGTAACAAGTTCGTTTTCTCCTCCTTCTCCTCGCTACCCCTCATCGTCCTTGGCCTCGACATTAGCATTCAGAGATATTAGTAGCTTGACCACCTCCGTCTGCCCAGCCTCTGCAGCCTTCATCAACGCAGTCACACCTGAGGGGGTATGGCCACTACAGAGTTCGGTCCAGCAGCCTACCTTCGTCGTCAGTAGCATCAACGACACGACGCTGTTCCGTCTTGGAAGGCCCGTCGTTGAGTCCAGTCAGACTGATGGCTTGGGTCTTCCGGCGTTGCTCTACTTGAGCGTCCACTAGGAATCTGCATACTAAATCTTGGCGAGGAAGTACATGGCCTTGCCAGGTCTCACCGTACGATCTCCACGTTGTCGTTCTTGGCAGCCTTCATGAGTGCCGTCTCCCCCACGTCGTCCTTCGCTGAAAAGCGAGCCCCGGCGTCAGCAAGTACCTGTTCACAGGCCCCACTCCAGTCTAGAGATGTGAGGCAAGACCACACCTTGCAAACGTCCAAGTGACCGTTCTTGGCAGCGTGCATGAGGGCTGTCACGCCGGCCGGATCCTTTTGATC